TTGCCTCACATTCTCATTAAGAAAAAATTCACACACCTAATTAAATGGGCATTTAAAAAGTCAGAATGTGAATATATATGTTCAAACTCTTTTAGGTCATTTTTTAGTAGCAATAAACAAAAAAACTATGTCAATTGGACATGCTTTGATACTATATATGCCCTTGAATTTTTATTAGATAACATTTTTGTTCGCTTTGGAGATTCCGTATATCGTCAGGTTATCGGAATTCCAATGGGGACTAACTGTGCACCACTTATTGCGGACCCTTTTTATACGACCGCAAAAATTAAAAATTTTTTGGTCGTATATTGGTATGACGTTGGCGTCGTCGTCGTCGTCGTCGTCGTTGTCGTCGTCGTCGTCGTCGTCCGGCGTCGTCTGGCGTCGTCCGAAGACACATTGGTTTTCGCACTCTAACTTTAGTTTAAGTGAATGGATCTCCATGAAATTTCACCATAAGGTTCAATACCACGAAAGGAAGGTTGGGATTGATTTTGGGGGTTATGGTACCAACAGTTAAGGAATTAGGGGCCAAAAAGGGGCCAAAAATAAGCATTTTTGTAATTTTCAGACAATAACTTGTGTGTAAGTGTATAGATCTCTCTGACATTGTACCACAAGGTTCCATATCACAAAGGGAAGGCTGTAATTGATTTTGGGGGTAATTGCCTCAAAATTTTAGGAATTAGGGGCCAAAAAAGGGGCAAAAAACAAGCATTTTTCTAGTTTCATGACAATAACTTGTGTGTAAGTGTTTGGATATTTCTGAAATTGTACTACAAGGTTCCATATCACAAAGGGAAAGCTGGAATTGAGTTTGGGGGTAATTGCCCGAAACGTTTAGGAATTGGGGGCCAAAAAGGGGCCAAAAATAAGCATTTTTCTAGTTTCCAGACAATAACTTGTGTTCAAGTGTATGGATCTCTCTGAAATTGTACTGCAAGGTACCATACCACAAAGGGAAGGCTGGGATTGAGTTTGGGGGTGATGAATCATAAGGGGGTTCAAAAAATTTGGGGGGATTTTTTTTTTTTTTTTTTTTCTTTTTTTCCTTTTTTTTTTCTTTTAAAATTTTCCATTTTAAGTTGATTATTTCTGATTTATATTTAAAAGCAAATAATAATGATATGGTAGGAGATACACACCAAACAGGATGTGTAAATTATTATATAATAAGTATTGTGCAATAGCAAGAAATTTTCAATTGCACAGTATTGCACAATAGCAAGAAATCTTCAATTGCACAGTATTGCGCAATAGCAAGAAATCTTCAATTGCACAGTATTGCGCAATAGCAAGAAATATCCAATAGCACAATATTGCGCAATAGCAAGAAATTGTCAATTGTACAGTATTACGCAATAGCAAGAAATATTCAATTGCACAGTGTTGTGCAAAAGAAGATACTTCGTATAAATTGCTTATTTCTTGATCAATTTCAATGGGGTTTTATTCTTGAATTCTTGGGGTTCTTTAATATGCTGAATCTAACCGTGTATTAAGTTTTTGGATTTTGGGCCCCGTTTTTAAATTGGTCCACATTGAGGTCCAAAGGGTCCAAAATTTAACTTTGTTTGATTTCATCAAAAATTGAATTATTGGGGTTCTTTGATATGCCGAATCTAACCGTGTATTTAGATTTTTAATTTGGGGTCCCGTTTTTTAAATTGGTCTACATTAAGGTCCAAAGGGTCCAAAATTAAACTTAATTTGATTTTAACAAAAATTGAATTCTTGGGGTTCTTTGATATGCTGAATCTAAACATGTGTTTAGATTTTTGATTATGGGCCCAGTTTTCAAGTTGGTCCAAGTTGGGGTCCAAAATTAAACTTTGTTTGATTTCAACAAAAATTGAATATATGGGGTTATTTGATATGCAAAATCTAAACATGTATTTAGATTTTAGATTTTTGGCCCAGTTTTCAAGTTGGTCCAAATTGGGGTCCAAAATTAAACTTTGTTTGATTTCAACAAAAATTGAATATATGGGGTTCTTTGATATGCTGAATCTTACCATGTATTTAGATTTTTTATTTGTGGGCCTGCTATCAAATTGGTTCATATTGAGGTCAAAAGGGTCCAAAATTAAACTTTGTTTGATTTCATAAAAAATTGAATTATTGGGGTTCTTTGATATGCCAAATCTAACCGTGTTTTTAGATTTTTAATTTTGGGTCCCGTTTTTTAAATTTGTCTACATTAAGGTCCAAAGGGTCCAAAATTAAACTTAGTTTGATTTTAACAAAAATTGAATTCTTCGGGTACTTTGATATGCTGAATCTAAACATGTGTTTAGATTTTTTATTATAGGACCAGTTTTCAAGTTTGTCCAAGTTGGGGTCCAAAATTAAACTTTGTTTGATTTCAACAAAAATTGAATATATGGGGTTCTTTGATATGCTGAATCTAACCATGTATTTTGATTTTGGACATTGGACCATAATAGGTAAATTAAAAAAATTGAAGTTCTTAGACCACATTCTTTCTGTGTCAGAAACCTATGCTGTGTCAAATATTTAATCACAATCCAAATTCAGAGCTGTATCAAGCTTGAATGTTGTGTCCATACTTGCCCCAACTGTTCAGGGTTCGACCTCTGCGGTCGTATCAAGCTGCGCCCAGCGAAGCATTTTATTTTGTATTGCTATGAGTTACAATTTATGACAAAAATCAGCAAAGAACCATCGAAACAACATCTGATACACAAATTTAATAATACTTTTAGATATTTGGATGATATTTTGGCTCTCAATAATGACGACTTCAGTATGTATACTAAAGAAATTTATCCTGTTGAACTTACTTTAAATAAAGCTAATACTAACAATAACCACTGCCCTTTCCTCGATCTTGATATCTATATCATTAACGGAAAGCTTAATACTAAAATATATGATAAAAGAGATGATTTTTCATTTCCTATCGTTAATTATCCATTTTTATATGGTGCATTCCATTGTCACCATCTTACGGTGTTTATATATCTCAACTTGTACGATTCGCTCGTGTATGTAACAATGTTTTAGATTTTAACGAGAGAAATTTATGTATTACTGAAAAATTATTACACCAGGGTTTTGGATATCATAAACTAGTCAAAACATTTACTAAATTTTATCATCGGTATAAGGACATCATTCGTAAATATAGCTCAACATGCAGACTTCTTATACGTTCAGGTATTTCACATCCAATTTTTTATGGAAATATTCTTTATAAAGCACAAAAATGTCAGTATTCACCTCTGAAGCTAACAAAACCTTTAAATAGACTTATTAAGAAGGGATATAGTTACGATACTGTTGTCAGGTCATTAAAGATTGCATATTTTGGCGTTAATATTGATTCACTTATAGGGTCTTTGCATCGGCACTAAACACATTTATTTAAAAACCAGTTGTTGGCATGACACGGGTTATGTTCTTCTCATATATGTTATGATGGTATGATACTAAACCCCTAACGGGAAGGATTGTGCCTGATATTCATATGATGAAGACATAATCTTTCAATCAGTTTAATTGAAGTCTGGAGCTGGCATATCAGTTAACTGCTAGTAGTCTGTTGTTATTTATGTATTATTGTCATTTTGTTTATTTTCTTTGGTTACATCTTCTGACATCAGACTCGGACTTCTCTTGAACTGAATTTTAATGTGCGTATTGTTATGCGTTTACTTTTCTACATTGGCTGGAGGTATAGGGGGAGGGTTGAGATCTCATAAACATGTTTAACCCCGCCGCATTTTTGCGCCTGTCCCAAGTCAGGAGCCTCTAGCCTTTGTCAGTCTTGTATTATTTTTAATTTTAGTTTCTTGTGTACAATTTGGAGTTTAGTATGGCGTTCATTATCACTGAACTAGTATATATATTTGTTTAGGGGCCAGCTGAAGGACGCCTCCGGGTGTGGGAATTTCTCGCTGCATTGAAGACCTGTTGGTGACCTTCTGCTGTTGTCTGTTCTATGGTCGGGTTGTTGTCTCTTTGACACATTCCCCATTTCCATTCTCAATTTTATATGGAAAAGAAAGAAAAAGCATGAAATATTTTATACAGACTCAAAATAACTTTTAGCTCACAAATTTTCATGTCAAAATCCAATGAAATGTGACAGTAATTTTCTTTATCATTAATAAATGTTGATATTACATGTAGATGTTTTTATAGAGTATACATATATCTACAATTCCAAGAGGTCATTTCTTCTCAATTTTGAACGGCCAGTAAAAATCTGGAAGTTTCTTACTTTATTTTTACAGAGCTAATATAATAGTGCAACTAGATAGGATACATTTAAACAGCTTTGAATTTGAACTATTACTTTAATTGTATACTCGGGTATGAATTGAACAATATAAAAAAAAAGAGATACAAATAGCCCTTTATATCATAGTAATAAGCAAATATTGTAGCTCCTTGACCCTGTCCACCCCCTCTAAATTGTCCAGCAACTATAATGTTTAAATAACAATTCCTTTGGTTGTGGTAAATTAGAATAAAATAAGTTAGATATATTCCAGTTGGTTCTTGTATTATTATGAAATGACTTCCTGTTGGTTGGTGTTAAGATACATGGTACATTCCTCTTGGTCGTGGGGGTACTTAAAAATTGCCTTCCGACCCTAGTACCTCCTTTTTAATGGAATAGCCCTTACTTGCAATGTGTTATTTTCTCTTTTATGGAATTAGACCAATGCAGGTAAAATTAAGATAATGATGATTTATACTCATTGAAATAGTTCAATACAAAGTGCTTTGAAATATTCTTCATTTTTGTCTTTTCTTTTTTTTTTTTATTTAGAAAAACAGTTTATTGAAAGTAGTGACCATGTTACCTGTGGATTTTGCTGAGTAGCCGTTCATTAGCATACTCATTAATTTTTTTGTTTTTATTCATATCAAAATAAACTTTTTCTATTTCTGGTGGTAAAAGAAAGCTGTATAGTTTATTGAAGTAAATAGTTCAAGGATAAATAGTTTATCATTTATTATTGCAGAGGTGGGAGTTCAAACATCCACAGCCATTTCTTCGAACCAGAGAGTTTCTATGGCAGGAGGGTCATACAGCCTGGTCTAATAAGAAAGATGCGGAGGAAGAGGTGATTCTATTTTGACATTTAATTGTATACCCATGTTACATGTTATTGTATGATAATAATGTGTTTTTGTTTATACTACTTTTTTAATGTGAACAAAAGTCTTGTAATAAAATTTTATCTTTTCTAATATTTTCCCAATTTCAGATATGTCTTTCCAGAGTTATTAGACTAATTTACTAAAGTTTTGACAGTCATATCTCATGATCATTTCAGTTTTCTTAATTTATCTTTAAAATTTTTAACTCAATGCTTGGTGCCATAAAGGCAAGTCTTTTTATACGACCGCAAAAAAATTTTGTGGTCGTATATTGGTATGACGTTGGCGTCGTCGTCGTCGTCCGAATACATATTGGTTTTCGCACTCTAACTTTAGTTTAAGTGAATGGATCTTTTTGAAATTTGACCATAAGGTTAAATACCACAAAAGGAAGGTTGGGATTGATTTTGGGGGTTATGGTACCAACAGTTAAGGAATTAGGGGCCAAAAAGGGGCCAAAAATGAGCATTTTCTAGTTTCCAGACTATAACTGTGGAACAGTGTATGGATCTCTCTGAAATTATACTACAAGTTTCCATACCACAAAGGGATGGTTAGGATTTGCTTTGGGGGGTTATGGCTCAAACCGTTTAGGAATTAGGGGCAAAAAAGGGGGAAAAACAAGGTTGTCCTGGTTAATGGACAAATACTTTAGTACAAAACATAATTTAAAGCAGTGTAAGGGAGATAAATCAAATACATCATTGAAATTATCTCCCTTACACTGCTTTTAAATTATGTATAAAGTAATGGTTAATGAACAATAAAGATAATCTAAAACAGTGTAAGGGAGGTAATCCAAATACAACGTTTTGGTTACTTCCCTTACACTGCTTTTAAATTATGTTTAAAGAAATGCATATTTATAAAGGAAGACCAGTAAAAATATCTGCAAATGTTTTCATCTTTTTTTTTTACAAAAAAATCCATATGAAAGATTTGACACTATATTTTTATTAATTCTATTATAAAATAGATTAAGTTAGCACTATGGTAAATTTAAATGGGTAATTATGGTTGCCAACTCCATTGGAAATTTGAATTGAGATTATGACCATATCTTGAGGGAAAGAATTTTTTGGGGGGAAAAAGGGGGGGGGGGGGATAAAAAGAAATTGTGGGGGGCCAATTTTTTCTCATTTCAGATTTCAGAAATTAAAAAGAATTATTCTTCAAATATTTTTTTTTTTTCAAATTTCAAATATTGAAAAATTTCAAGAAGTAATCTTTAATTGCACAGTATGGCGCATTAGATTTGTAAAATCTTTGATCACATTTATTTATTTGTTATGCCGAATCTAACAGTGTATTTAGATTTTTAATTTTGGGTCCAGTTTTCAAATTGGTCTACATTAATGTCCAAAGGGTCCAAAATTAAACTTTGTTTGATTTTAGCAAAAATTGAATATATGAGGTTCTTTGATATGCTGAATCTAAACATGTATTTAGATTTTTGATTTTTGGCCCAGTTTTCAAGTTGGTCCAAATTGGGGTCCAAAATTAAACTTTGTTTGATTTCAACAAAAATTGAATATATGGGGTTCTTTGATATGCTGAATCTAACCATGTATTTAGATTTTTTATTTGTGGACCCCGTTATCTAATTGGTTCATATTGAGGTCAAAAGGGTCCAAAATTAAACTTTGTTTGATTTCATCTAAAATTGAATTATTGGGGTTCTTTGATATTCCAAATCTAACCGTGTATTTAGGTTTTTAATTTTGGGTCCTGTTTTTTAAATTGGTCTACATTGATGTCCAAAGGGTCCAAAATTAAACTTTGTTTGATTTCATCGAAAATTGAATTCTTGGGGTTCTTTGATTTGCTGAATCTAAACATGTGTTTAGATTTTTGATTATGGGCCCAGTTTTCAAGTTGGTCCAAGATAGGGTCCAGTATTTAAACTTTGTTTGATTTCAACAAAAATTGAATATATGGGGTTCTTTGATATGCTGAATCTAAACATGTATTTAGATTTTTGATTATGGGCCCAGTTTTCAAGTTGGTCCAAATTGGGGTCCAAAATCAAACTTTGTTTGATTTCAACAAAAATTGAAAATATGAGGTTCTTTGATATGCTGAATCTAACCATGTATTTAGATTTTTTATTTGTAGGCCCCGCTATCAAATTGGTTCATATTGAGGTCAAAAGGGTCCAAAATTAAACTTTGTTTGATTTCATCGAAAATTGAATTATTGGGGTTCTTTGATATGCCAAATCTAACCGTGTTTTTAGATTTTTAATTTGGGTCCCGTTTTTTAAATTGGTCTTCATTGAGGTCCAAAGGGTCCAAAATTAAACTTAGTTTGATTTTAACAAAAAATGAATTCTTGGGGTTCTTTGATATGCTGAATCTAAACATGTGTTTAGATTTTTGATAATGGGCACAGTTTTCAAGTTGGTCCAAGTTGGGGTCCAAAATTAAACTTTTTTTGATTTCAACAAAAATTGAATATATGGGGTTCTTTGATATGCTGAATCTAACCATGAATTTAGATTTTTTATTTGTGGGCCCCGCTATCAAATTGGTTCATATTGAGGTCAAAAGGGTCCAAAATTAAACTTTGTTTGATTTCATCAAAAATTGAATTATTGGGGTTCTTTGATATTCCAAATCTAACCGTGTATTTAGATTTTTAATTTTAAGTCCCGTTTTTTAAATTGGTCTACATTAAGGTCCAAAGGGTCCAAAATTAAACTTAGTTTGATTTTAGCAAAAATTGAATTCTTGGGGTTCTTTGATATGCTGAATCTAAACATGTGTTTAGATTTTTGATTATGGGCCCAGTTTTCAAGTTTGTCCAAGTTGGGGTCCAAAATTAAACTTTGTTTGATTTTAACAAAAATTGAATATATGGGGTTCTTTGATATGCTGAATCTAACCATGTATTTTGATTTTGGACATTGGACCATAATAGGTAAATTAAAAAAATTCAAGTTCTTAGACCACATTCTTTCTGTGTCAGAAACCTATGCTGTGTCAAATATTTAATAACAATCCAAATTCAGAGCTGTATCAAGCTTGAATGTTGTGTCCATACTTGCCCCAACTGTTCAGGGTTCGACCTCTGCGGTCGTATCAAGCTGCGCCCCAGCGAAGCATTTTATTCAAGAGTTGTGGCTCTTTAAACATTAAAATTTCAACAATGATGAATTTCTCTGGTGATAACTAACGTTTCTTTTAAGGATTCTTTAGGAAAGAATAAGTTACATTTAGGGTCGATTTTGTCCTTGTAAATTAAAGAATTATGATAATTGTACTTTACCAGTCTTAATAGGCCCCTTCACGGTTAGTGCAGCCATAATGAATAGGGAGCAGATTTTCATAATGGAGGTAAAAAAGGTTTGAAAAATACGGGAAAACATCATTAAAACAGAACAGTTGCTTGGTAACATGCATACGATTTCCCGTACTATCATACTATTTCCACCACTATCCAAAAAATCTGCCCCCTATTCAATAATGCCGAACTAACCTTGAAGTGGCCTATTTGGGTTTTTTGAACTTCAGAGAATGTAAATTTTACCATAATGTTAATGGCATAATTTGACTGGGATGTCATATAGGAAATTTGTTAAAATTGTTTTTAATTTTTAGATCATTTTGGCTAAATGAGTTGCTTAAGATATTTTTTCCAGATAATAATTAAATACAAAATATAAATTCTGTGTGAATTTTGAGTTAGGCTTGTGCTCTTTATTATTTTCTAATCGTGTATACCGGTAGATTAAAGCTTTTTGCCATTTTACTGAATGTTCAGTTATTCCATTAACAGAAATTTTTTTTAGGAATTTTGTATTAAAGAACAAGTATTCAACATTTTGTACCTACAAACTGAAATAAATTACACCCCCACTCTAAACATGGAGGCTGTTTTACAATCCCCTTGTCAGTCTGGTCCTCCTCACAACAAATATTTTCATCACACTGTTCTCCGAAACTACTAAACAGAATGACTTCATATGGTCAGCAACTTAACAGTGATGCGTTGTCATGTTTGAGCACTTTTTGAATCTGTCATATACTTTGTTCCTGTTTGCTGATACTTTGGATTTGTTTAATATGTTGAATGAATTAAATATTTCATCACATACATTTCCAATACTACAGAACATTATGAAAGTATATTTGGTCAGCTCAATAGTGATGAGTTGTAATGCTAGTACATTTTTAGGATCTGTAAGATACCTGCTTCCTGTTTTTCAATACTTTGAACTATGATTGGCAGTATGCTTAGCACGACAACTCATGCATTCTTGTTTGGTTTTTGGGTCATTTGTTTTACCCCATATACCCTTTATATCCAATGTTCAAAGAGCAAGCTCCAATTAGATTTTGAAGATTTTGAAATTTGTTGCTCCAGATTTGTTTTTGTAACTAGAAAAGTTAAAAATCCCATGATAATTCAGCTTTTCTGTTACAAATCTCACTGAAATTTTAACAAGATGTCAAGTTCCATGAATTAAGCTCCTCTCCTGATTTTGATAATGGTCCTAATTTTTTTTCTGCAGAATAACATGGTTTTATTGGTCAATTTAAAGACATTTTTACCTATGCAAATTCAGTTTTATTTCAATCAGTCCCATGAAATGTAATAAACTTTTACAATCCTGTAATCCATCTGCTGTTCAATTATGTCAATGGTAGGATAGGTGTATCATAAGCTCATGTATCCCTAATTAGAATATTATTGAGAAAGAGGAATAGCTACTTCTAACACTGTTGACAGATATTATTTCAATCCAACTAATTACCGGTTTTGTTTTTATTTAGGTATACACAATCTTAGAACTTTATGCCAGAGTTTATGAAGAGTTATTAGCTATACCAGTTGTCCGTGGAAAGAAGACGGAGAAAGAAAAGTTTGCTGGTGGAGATTATACAACAACAGTAGAGGGTTATATCTCAGCCAGTGGAAGAGCCATTCAGGTTGGTCTGTAAAAACTGCAAGCTTTTGGAAAATCATTCAGTTATTATCAATAACCAAATTACAAAGAAATTTTAGAGGTAAAAGGAGTTATTTCAGTTGTCTCCCTTAGGTAGCTTGGTTGTAAAAATATTCAACATAAAAAAAAGATTTTAAAGTTTAAAAACAGATTCTTCAATTTTTAATATTTCTCATTGATTTTAATTGTTTAAGATAAATTAATCACTGTATGACAGTTCAAACATCAGTTTTTGTTACTTTTACACTAACTTAATCAACTCCCATTAGCAAAATAGTTTCAATGTTTTTTTAAGCATAATGATAAAATCAAGTTCAAACTCAAATTCCTAGGTTTTATACTCTCAATGCAACAGCTCATTTTCAAATAAAAAGATTTGTAAAAAGTTATTGAAAAAGTTTTCTATTAAATAAATTGTGTAAAAGGCGTTATATTAAGCACTTGAGACATTATGTAATCTGGACAGAAAAAATAGAATCACTTTCAGCTTGATATATTAAAACAGTTGTTACTCTTAAAAATCACTTGTTAGTACAATAACTGTATTCCTTTTGTATTATCATAGGGTGCTACATCACATCACTTAGGACAGAATTTCTCCAAAATGTTTGAGATAGTATTTGAGGATCCAGAAACGCAAGAGAAACAATATGTTTACCAGAATTCATGGGGATTGACCACACGTACAATTGGTGTTATGTGTATGGTACATGGAGATAACACTGGTTTAGTCCTGCCACCAAGAGTTGCATGTGTTCAGGTTGGATATTATTCAGAATAAATTCCTTGTCTTTAATGTAAGGTGTGGATCCAATATTTGTAATTTGTTTGCTGTAAAATTGTTTGTCATTGTTTGTCTTATAATTGTCAAAACAAAACAAAAAATCAGTAAAAAATAAACTAGAACAAAATGAATTTAATGAGTCAAATTTAACCAGAATTAATCATTAATCATTGATGTACATTTGAACCTGTATTCAGCAGTCAACCATGGGGAATGACAAAAGTGACTGCTCAAGAGAGGTGACCTTTTAAAAGTGGTTTCTAAATATTCCCATAGTGCCCTTGGCTAGGATCACAGCAAATTGTTTTAGGTTTGACTGTATTTAATTATTTCCTTTACATATACATTCTGTATTTATTTGTTATATTTTTAAAAGGTTATAATAGTACCATGTGGTATCACAGCTAACCTGTCTCTTGAAGACACAAAGGCTCTGATGGATAAATGTACAGAGTTCAAGGACTTGTTATCAGATGGTGGCATTAAATGTAGAGCTGACCTCCGTGACAACTATTCTCCAGGATGGAAGTTTAATCATTGGGAATTAAAGGTAAACAATGCTTATAAATCAAAGTTGAATACATAGTTTAATGATTTCAAGACAACTAAAGGCCCTTGTGTATTTATTATACTCCCCAAATTTTTTGGAGGGAATGTATGGGTCAAGATGTGCAACTCATTTCAGGTAGGCCATAATGGTAACCCTTTCTTCCATTCCTCTGTCCATATGGTAACCTTGGGTATGTATGATGACTCATTTCAATGCTGAGACATTTTTACAGATATGGTTAATTTTGGGGTATGAAGTAAGCTTAAATTTTTCACAAATTGGGAACATCCAAAAAGGGCCAGTGTGATGCAGCTTCAGCAAGTAAAAAGTCCCTTTTTCACACAGTTAAAGTCTCTGGAAATTCAGTTCACTTGTTGGATTTTGATACAATGGTAGATATTAGGAAAGGGATAAAGTCTGTTAATATTGAGGTCAATAGGTCAAAATTCAAGATTATTATTCGCAATATTAGTAGGGATCATCCATTGATGTGCTGTTCAGGGAACAATGTATGGCTCTACTTTTTCATTGTAGTGACCAAAGAACAAAATATGATAAAAAATATATTTAGTCAGGAGCCTGTAATTCAGTGGTTGTCATTTGTTGCTGTGTATCATATTTGTTTTTCGTTCATTATTTTGTACATAAATTAGGCCATTAGTTTTCTTGATTAAATTGTTTTACATTTGTCATTTCGGGGCCTTTTATAGTTGACTATGCGGTATGGGTTTTGCTCATTGTTAAAGGCCATACGGTGACCTTTAGTTGTTAATTTCTGTGTCATTTGGTCTCTTGTGGATAGTTGTCTCAATGGCAATCATATCCAATCTTCTTATTTTTATATACAAATTAATGTTATTGCATTTTTGACCTTTTGTATATCATTGTTTGTAAATTGACAGGGAGTTCCAATCCGTTTAGAACTGGGTCCACGTGATATAAAGAACAACCAGTTTGTAGCAGTCAGAAGAGACACTGGTGAAAAAGTTACGATGAAGAATGATAATGCAGTCAGTCAGCTAAAGACATTGCTAGACAAAATACAAGATAATCTGTATTCAAAGTAAGGATTACTCAATACCAAATACACTAGAAATATTTGGAATACATAGGAAGGAAAAAAACAAACTTCAAATAACCTTGATTTCACCAAAAATTTTAAAGGAAGGGGATGTTACCAAAACAGAGACGAGAAAAAAATATAAAATTTCTAAAACACTGTTTTTGAATTTTGAAATAGGAATGGACATTGTATACAGTTGTATTTAAACTCATGTTTGAAATCTGAAGTTTGATTTTCAGCACATTGAATATGTATACTTTTTAAGATTTTCTCAAAAACTTCCAATTTTTTCATAAAATGAGGTAAAAGGATGGTTACTTTGACTACTGCAAGCAAGATTAATTGCAAGATTGTATGATTTATTGTACTCTAACTTCTAAAACTGATTGACAAATTATTTTTAATACACTATGTTGTCTTATTTTTGCATTACTATGATTTAATAGAAAAACAAAGGATATAGAGTATCCATCCATGACACAAAATCAGTACATATACAGAAGATTATTTGTGTTTCTCTCCACAATTGTAGTTCCTTCAAAATTCTGACAAAACTGCAATTAGTTTCATCAAATCAAACTGTTCAACTGGTAGATAGATACTTTATTCTCTAAAAACAATTAAAAAAGGTACGGAGAAGGAAACATAATAATTTAACATACATATTAAGGTGATACATGGAGTAAATTTATACAAAAGACAATACAAAAATAGAAAAAACAAAAACAAAAAAACAAAGAAACCCAGAAATGTGATATTAATAAAAAATAAAGAGATAGAAATAGATACATAATAAAATGTCCATTAACCAGAAGCACTAACTTTTTCATTTGTTACTCTAATAAATTTACACAGTCTTCTTAATATTGAAATCCTTTTTGAATTAAACAGAGAGTGAAATTTTGCGGTATTTGTCTTATATAATAGTATGATGGAAGGAGAATTTTCCTTTCGATTTCTATAGCAGGGCATTTCATGATGTAATGATATTCGTCGCCTATTTCTTCCATATTGCAGATATTACATTTTCTTTCTGATTGGTCATAATTATACCAAAGTCCACTTTCGATTGGTAATGAGTGGTTACGGTTCGATATTTATATAATGTTATAATGGTCAGATATTTTAACCAACTGCTGTAGAAAAACCACAGTCAAATCAACAAAGTTAAATATTCATCCTCTTATTCATTCATTTGCAGAGCAAAGTCAGATTTAGATGAACATTTAACAATAGCTCATGATTGGACTAATTTCTGTGATATGTTGGATAAGAAAAAGATTATACAAGCACCATTCTGTGGAAGGATTGATTGTGAAGACAAGATCAAGAAGGATAGTGCAAGGTATAATCAATTATGTATATAGGTGCAATTGATTTTTTACTGTCTTTAAGAATTAACAGTTGATATCATGAATCTTTCATGACCCCAGATTTACTGTTTATCATGATTAGGAGCATTGCATTTAAGAAGGTTCTCAAAAAATACATTTGCTGTAGATATAAAAAAAAAAGAACGACTAAAAAAAATTAAAAAAAAAAAAAATTGAAATATCATAGAGCTATCTCATGTTATCTGCTGGAATTACCCCACATAATATTGTTAATCAAGTGTTTTGCGTAGAGAAATAAAAATTATGGGAAGGGGTTGAATATGTTACAGTTGAAGTTTCTGTTTACTTAGGGATTTGTGTCAACAACATATTTGGAGGATAATTTAATTCTACTTAAAAATATCTGATATCAGCCCTCGACTCTTATTATTCCAAAGAATTCATTATGTGACATACTTATGACTAATGTGTAATATGTAAACTTTAACACAAGTTCTTTTCTACAACTTAAAAAAACTTAACACAAACTATGTCCTATTTCAGTATAATCAAACTAGTACATTTTGTAAGCTGTTAATATATTGTCATGTTTTGTATTTACAGAGATGTAGTTGTAGAAGAAGGGGCACCTGCTATGGGAGCTAAAGGATTATGTATACCATTCAAACAACCTCAGAAATTACCATCAGGAGCCAAGTGTATACATCCAGATTGTAAAGACAAACCACAATTCTATACATTGTTTGGACGAAGTTATTAAAAACTTACAAGCTTTTAGATCCAAATACTTTGTTCAATACACATTTTATATTGCATGTTTAGGTAATAATTAAAAGAATCACAATATGTAAAGACTTCAACATAGGCTAAGTAAAAAAAAAATATGTTAGTTTTGTTTGTCTTGCTATTTAAGATGAAGTTCATTATATCATAGTTTACATTTTGTTCTACACTTTAAATGGATCTGCTGTTAAGTATTAAGGTGTGAATTGAGTAGAACACACACAGATCTGAATCCAATATACAAAGGAAATTTCGTACTTTCTATAAAATTATGAGAATACTTAATTTTTAGTTTATTCTCAGCAAAATTGACAGCTTAGGGAAAATATACCCATTTAGAGACTAAATTATCAATTAAAGTCAAAATGATTCATTAAACCATTCAAGCTTGATAAGTGCAGTTAGATTTGTTTTATTTATAGAAAGTTATGACTGGAATATTCCTGCATGATTCTTTTATTGTAGTTTATTATCTGTTACAATTACTTCAGCTTCCAATTGTGTCACAAATTCATGTATTAAGCAATAAACTATAAACTTTTTAGATATTATATAAACTATACAGACATTTTGAAACTTTGCTTTCTTGATAAAAAATGGTTTTATTTTGAAATCCAAATATGGAATGAGTAAGGCATTGCTGTTACTTTTCCAAATAATCTACTTATGTTGACAAAGAATTATGTTATTTATACTATATATTTGATAAGATTGTTACTGTTATAGATTTAAGTCAGTGTTGTCATACTACCAACATTTCTTACCCAAGATTGCTTTCTAAATGAACTTTAAACACCAGACAAATGCATTTGAAACATCACAAGGTTATTTTTTATGTATAATTCATGAAATATTTGCCATTGGACATTAGGCAGACAACAATCAATCCATATAATTAGTTTCCAGTATTTGAAACCTTACACAGTTGTTTCTTGATGTATAACTGTTTTCCAGTTCTGTTTTACGGCATATATATTTTTTTTTGCATTTATGAAAGCTGCAGCACATTATTTTCTCTCTAATTTAAAGTTATTTTGATATGCAGATTATATTAAGATACTATAAATTCAGAAATTATTGCGAGGTTTTTATTAATGCGAATAATGCGATTGAGTGAGTATCGCAATAATAAGAACTCGCATTCTGATATCTGATATAAATAACTGTATGCAGATTTTCTTGCAATCGCAATAATTAATCTCACATATTTGTCCTTTCCACAAAAATCGCAATAATAAATGCACGCAATAATTTCTGAATTTACAGTATTCATAGCCATATATGTCAAAGTAGCTATGGCAACAAGTGTTCTTCTGATCATGTTTAAAAAAGCGGCAAGTTGTCAACTTGAGTATAACTGCAAGTGGTAATTTATTAAAAGATGAATCAATAAAAATTCATACTCCGTTACTAATCTTGTTATTTTATACTTAATTTTACATACAACAGGATTGTAGCTATGACAAAAAGAACATATCAGTGGTCGTCTATGACAGAGATATTCCATAAAGAGACTACCAAATCATGATTGGTATCTATTAAACTTACAAATAGGTGATTTGGTTGTTCCTTATGGCATATCAAGCTTAATATTTCAGAAGGTAGAAGACCTGGATGCTTCATACTTTGTATATACATGTAGATGCCTTATGTTATGAAGTTTCCGTCTGTCATATATCCATTGTCCTTGACCTCATTTTCATGGTTCAGTGACTACTTGAAAAAAAAGTTCAGATTTTTTGTAATGTTAATTTCTCTCTTATTATGAGTAATAGGATAACTATATTTGGTATGTGCGTACCTTGCAAGGTCCTCATGCCCGTCAGACAGTTTTCACTTGACCTGGACCTCATTTCTTGGATCAGTGAACAAGGTTAAGTATTCGTGGTCAAGTCCATATCTCAGATACTATAAGCAATAGGTCTACTATATTTGGTGTATGTAATGATTGTAAGGTGTACATGTCCAACTGGCAGGTGTCATCTGACCTTGACCTCATTTTCATGGTTCAGTGGTTATAGTTTAATTTTTATGTTTTGGTCTGTTTTTCTATTACTGTATGCAATAGGTTAACTATATTTGGTGTATGGAAATATTTTACGATGTACATGTCAGTCTGGCAGGTTTTATTTGACCTTGACCTCATTTTCACGGTTCATTGCTCAATTTTAAGTTTTTGTGTTTTGATCTGTTTTTATACGCCCGTCAAAATTTTGACGGGACATATTATGGTATTCAAATGTCCGGCGTCTACATGTCGCACTGTAACTTGAGAACGACTTATCCAAATTTCATGTAACTTAACATAGTTGTTTCTTATGATGGTCAAACGATCTGTATACTTTTTGGTGAAAATAAGATTAAAACTTTTTGAGTTACAGGACTTTGTAACTAAAACAGGGGGGGTGGTTTTTTTCACATGTCGCACCGTATCTCAAAAACGATTTATGATTATTGCTTAAATCTTTACACACTTCTTAGTTATATTAATCTAAAGATCTGTATACTTTTTGGTGATGATTCAAAATTTTATTTTAGAGTTATTGATTTTTTTATTAAAAAAGGGGGGGGTTTCACATGTCGCGCTGTATCTCAGAAACGATTTATGATTATTGCATAAAACCTCACACAAGACGACGGGCGTATCATGTGCTCGTGGCGCAGCTGTTTATTCTAATACTCTATGCAGTAGGTCAACTATATTTGGTGTATGGAAATATTTTACGATGTACATGTCAGTCTGGAAGGTTTTTTTTTTTTACCTTAAACTCATTTACACGGTTCATTGCTCAATGTTAATTTTTTGTGTTTTGGTCTGTTTTTTCTAATACTGTATGTAAAAGTTCAACTATATTTGGTGTATGGAAATATTTAACGATATAGATGTCAGTCTGGCAGGTTTTATTTGACCTTGACCTCATTTTCATGGTTCATTGCTTATGTTAGGTTTTTGTGTTTTGGTCTGTTTTTCTAAAAACTTTTAGCAATAGGTCAACTATATTTGGTGTATGGAATGATTGCAAGGTGTATATGTCTGTCTGGCAGGTATCATCTGACCTTCACCTTATTTTCATGGTTCATTGGTCAATGTTCAGTTTTCCTGGTTAACTTTGTTTCTTAGATACTATAAGCAATAGGTCAACTATATTTGATGCATGCAATGATTTTAAGGTGTACATATCTGTCTGGCAGGGTTCATCTGACCTCGACTTCATTTTCATGGTTCATTGGTCAATATAGAATTTCCATGGTTTGGTCTGTTTCTTTTATACTATGTCTATATTCTGCGTATGGAATGATTGTATTAAAGGTGTACATGTATTGCTGGCTTGGTTTATCTGACCTTGACCTCATTTTCTTGTATCATAAATGTTAATGTGATACTTGTAGTAAAACTTTATATGTAGGACTATCAACATAAAATCAATGGTCATTAAAGTAGGCGAGACATTTCAGCATGTGCACTCTTGTTATGTAGGGGTATGATTTTATATTTGGTCTGCAGCTAGATAGTGTTGAGTTGTAGAGTGTAATGATTTTTAGCGGTGCAGCCACTACCTGTTTGCAGATAGTTTTAAAGAGACAGGTCCAGACCCAGTATCGGTCTTATTATATATCATGAGAAGCATTATGCTTGCCATTAAAGGAGAGGAAATTGCTTTGGACCCTTATGAAGCACCCGAGTTCTTTCTTTTTGCTGTAATTTGTTTTTGACATATTATATACAATATCTGTGATGTTTCTGCAAGTTAACAATGTAATAGTTTTGGCTATCATTTGTGCTAATAAAATGCTCCGCTAGGCGCAGCTTGATACAACCGCAGAGGTCGAACCCTGAACAGTTGGGGCAAGTATGGACACAACATTCAAGCTTGATACACACTGAATTTGGATTGTGATTAAATATTTGACACAGCATAAGTTTCTGACACAGAATGAATGTGGTCTAAGAACTTATAAATTTTTAATTTACCTATTCAAACCATATCATTATTATTTGCTTTTATATATAAATCAGAAATAACCAATTTAAAATGGAAAATTTTAAAGAAAAAAAAAGGAAAAAAAGGAAAACAAAATCCCTCCCCCAAATTTTTTTGAACCCCCTTATGATTCATCACCCCAAAACTCAATCCCAGCCTTCCCTTTGTGGTATGGTACCTTGCAGTACAATTTCAGAGAGATCCATACACTTGAACACAAGTTATTGTCTGGAAACTAGAAAAATGCTTATTTTTGGCCCCTTATTCCTAAACGTTTTGGGCAATTACCCCCAAACTCAATTCCAGCTTTTCCTTTGTGATATGGAACCTTGTAGTACAATTTCAGAAAGATCCATACACTTACAAGTTATTGTCATGAAACTAGAAAAATGCTTGTTTTTTGCCCCCAATTCCTTAAATTTTGAGGCAATTACCCCCAAAATCAATCCCAGCATTCCCTTTGTGATATGGAACCTTGTGGTACAATGTCAGAGAGATCCATACACTAACACACAAGTTATGTCTGGAAGTTACAAAAATGCTTATTTTTGGCCCCTAATTCCTTAACTGTTGGTACCATATTAACCTTCAAAATTAATCCCAACCTTCCTTTTGTGGTATTGAACCTTATGGTAAAATTTCATAGAGATCCATCCACTTAAACTAAAGTTAGAGTGCGAAAACCAATGTGTCTTCGGACAAAGACGATGCCAACGTCATACCAATATACGACCGCAAAATTTTTTTGCTGTCGTATAAAAACTGGGTTTTCATTTCAAACGTTCACATTCAGTGATCTATAAGGCTTAAGAGAAATAGGCAATGCCAATTTATATATATGCATCACAGGAAATTATGTCGAAAGTTTGCTTTATAATTCTATAAAAAGATCTTTGAATTTGACCTTTGAAGCCTTATTGGACTTTTTGTAAGGACTTAACAACACTTCATTACTACACTTTAGAGAAAATTCTGCAAGCTTTGTTTTCGTTTTCACTGCAACCATTCCTTAGAAGAATAATATCAAATATGTTATTTCCAATAGATTTCAAAGTCAACTCTGCTGCCAGTCATGGATATTCTATCAGCACCAAAATAGCAATACTTGTTCAAGTCATTCACAAGAATAAGTTTGATTTCCATTAATTCAGTTGTTCCTGAGAAGATTTTTTAAGTTCATCCAATCAGAGATTACAAAAGGCAAAGGTTGCTGTTTTTGATGACAAATTGTCACCCTAAGTTACTACACTTGTAAAGGGCTTTTGTAAGGAGCATTGAACTCCGAAGTGATTGAAAAATTTAAGAATGGTCGGCTCAGAATTTGGGCAGGATGATATACATGCATCTTCCCAAGACTGTGAACTAGCATGTTAAACATTACAAAAGCTTCATTGGTGCATTAGACAAGTGGAAATCTTTAAAGATTTGTAAAGAAAAGGTTTTTCGTGTTAAATGAAGACCGTTAAATCTGACAACAATTTGTCAGATACAGAGGAAACAAAAAATAGACACATTATTCTAACTCTGGGCTATCTCATCTTAGGTCTTACTCCTGAATGCTGTGTGCTAGAGGAGCAGCAGCAAATACCGATTTTTAAGTCTGAAGATCGAACACTACTACTTGCACTTCCAAAAGTGGGGCGTCTGTTTGGTTGTATAGGATGTATAAATTCACAACCTCTTCTTGTCAGAATGATGACGTTAAATCTGATGCCACATGTAGTGTGTGTCATGCTCTCAGCATGTTAAAACTCCTTTAAATTACTCTTTTAGGGGTCGGTAGGGGGCCTGTTGCAAGTTTACATTTCAGTCCCCATCCAATTTACCCTTTGTTTTTCCAAATTTCCCAGTCAACCTGGTTTACAGTAGCCAACTACCGGTATTGAATGTATTGTTAATATGTTCTCATCCTAAACATGAATGAAATATTTGCCACTGGACATTAAACAACCCATAATCAATCAATATTAGAGAACTATTCACTTCATGTAATCATATCTTTCAAATTTCATTTCCTCAGACATATGGATTTGCAAACCATAATGTAGTCCTAATGACTGACATACATTAGGCCTTGTTCTACATACCAATCATAGATTAACTCTTACTTAAAGTATCTGTGAAACAGACCTACATAACCAAACCATGAAAATGAGATCAAGGAAGACAGACATATGCAAAACAGAAACCTTAGACTATAAGCATCCATATACCAGATATGGATCATCCCATTCATCAATTTTTTGAAACATGAAGCTTTAGGCATTAACCGAAGACTGCTGCCAGAAAAGATACCAATCTGTCTCACATTCTTCGACACTCATCTCCAACAAAAAATATTTAATGGATTGTTACAAAGTAGAATAAGATTATGAAGTGGACATTTTATTGACATAACATAAATCCATCATGGAGATGCATTAAAATGGATTGTCAAACTGACCATGTCCATCTTCATGTCCTTTTTCTTCTTTAGTCCAACTGAAAAAGAAAATAGGAAATTTAGATTTCATTTTCCATTATCACAGACAATACTAACTTTAAATATTAATGGCCAACGCTATGCAAATAAAAATGTTATTGTAACATTTGATATTAAAGAAATGCCCAGTTATAAATTCTGACAGGGTCATCTGAAAACAAATTCACATATAGAGACTTCAAATAACTTATAAATGTACTTGACTGATTACAAGGCTCAGTATAGCGTATATTATACAGACATGTTTTATTCCTGCATTGTATTTCTCCTCATTGCCTTAGTCAGTATTTAACAAGTTCACTCTTTATAATCAAGATTGGCCTCTGCATTTTATACTTAAGAGCAGATAGACTTAAATACACAATTTATGTTTGTATTTTTCTATAAAATGCTGTTGGTTAGATGTGTACACGCTAATTGAAAAGATCTATTGGTAAAAAGCCTACTACAAAGACATAAATGCATAAACATAAAATTGATCAGCCATGAGAAAAATGTAGTTCGTGATTATTTTAAAGGTTCTTTCTCAGTTTCATGGCGAGGGTAAAATAATATAGCAAAGCCAAAAAAGTTGTAGACAAGATCATGTTTGTTTCATACATCACCAAAAAAATAAGCCCCCCCCCCCCTCCCCCTCTCCCCAAAACAAAACATTTGAATCATTCAACTAAAATTGGAGGATTTCCCAGTCACCTTAACAAAAACAATTTTTTCCAAAATGGTCCAGAACATGCTGAAAGGGATACAATACTATTAGTATAGGGTTGATACACTTTTCATTTTTCCAACACTTTTCAAGGACTGACTATTTTTATAAATGACAGTATATAATTCTTTTTTTTTTTAAATTTCTATCTTGTTCAATGTGTGCTCATAACTAAGTAAAGATTGCAATAATTAAATTCCTACTTTCAAGGATTTCAAGACCTGTACCCCTAGAGTCAGTAACAATTATTATAAGCTACTATGTTCAAGTTCAAGCTTAAGCTCACTTGACTCGACATTACTGAACACATCAATATTATAAGGGCTCAGTATAGCGTATATTATACAGACATGTATATTTCCTGATATTTTTATCCTCATTGCCTTTGATGTAACATTTATTTTAATGCAAGAACATTCGTCATTATCTTGGTGTCCATACAGTTCATAAGGGGAGAGGAAAAAATTTATCAGTTTCTCAGTCTTTGATTTATGCATTTAGTGTGAATTAATTTGTTTTTCTTGTAATGACAGTAAGATAGTCCTGAAAGGGATACTATAAACAAAAGTATAATTACAGGATTACAGCTTTTCTATAAAAGCATGCAAAGCAAACCTTTGATCGACTTGCTTGCTATGTTTGCTTATAGATGTTTGTAAACAAAAGGGTAGGCGGAGTTTCAGTCTGTTTAATATATACTGGTATTTGATTGGACAATAAAAATTGACAGACAATGTGAAACTTAACATTTAAATGATGTTAATGTTTATTGTCCAATCAAATTCCAGTATATAGTAAACAGACTGAAATAGGCTACCTACCTGTTGTTTACAAACATCCAAACAAACATAGCAAGCAAGTTGATCAAAGGTTTGCTTTGCATGCTTTTAAAGAAAAGCTGTAACATTTTTTTAAACATGCACTGCATTTCTTTGAATTCCCCCCCTCCCCCCCTCAATAGGCAATTCTATTTAATTTATCAATAATACATCAGTATAAGGCTCAGTATAGCGTATATTATACAGACATGTATATTTCCTGATATTTTATCCTCATTGCCTTTGATGTTATTGCCACAACATTCATTATCATCTTAGTATACTTAAAATTCAAAAAGTGAGGTGTTCCTTAGTTTTTAATAATGCACTTAATCAAATTGGTCATACATAATATTAAAATATAAACAAATGACATTCACTTTAAAAAAGTTAAAAAAAAGTTAAACATAATTACTAAATTCAAAAAAATGTTGTCCATTAACATTTTTATTTCAATTAAAGAGAAATAACTTGAGATGGTTGAATTAATCGCAGAACCAATCTTTAAATTACTGTGGGGATTTTTAAGATACAACCGAAAAGTGGCATGGTGTCATACCAAGGGTTCGAGATAAGCGCTATTCCACTTGCCAGAGGCAAGTAAAATCTGCAGCGGGCAAGTGAAACCCATCAAATAGTTGTCCGCTGGGCAAGTTGAAATATTGTGTTTGTGTACAACTATGTCAGATGTTATTTTCTCCGAGGTGTGTGTATTATTGTATTACTATTTTTCGTTGTCTTTATTTTTTTCATATGCGCATGCCTGGAAAATCGTAAACATCTTGGTTTCCCCCAAATAATTCTATTGGTCGACAATTCCTATGTGTAAGCCATTGAGCACCGGCGTTTTAGATTGTCCAGTCACAACTGCTCAGGGATTTCCGCTACTTATCGTCTAAGGAAGTCGATACAACGATCCAATCAGAACGCAAACAACTTTTGGGTTGATTTAAAAATGAAAGTAGAAATCTTCAATTCTTTACCTTACAGCTGAGCACACTAAATGTGATCATTTCTGCAGTGAACAATTACCTATTGCAATTTGAACTTGTCAGTTAGTTACAATAAAGAGTATTAAATAAAATTGAGAATGGAAATTAGGAATATGTCAAAGAGACAACAACCTGACCAAAGAGCAGAAAACAGCCGAAGGCCACCAATGGGTCTTCAATGCAGCGAGAAAATACTGCACCCGGAGGTGGTCCTCAGCTGGCCCCTAAATAAAATTGTGTACTAGTTCAGTGAAAATGGACCAGATGCACCTAATTCACTAGGAACAACAACAGCAGCAAACATTCAGAGGTCACCACAAGGTCTTCAACAGGTTGACTCTCTTTATAAAATTAAAGGTTTCAAATTCATTCAATGTTACTGTAGAAACAAGCTCTTATAGTATTGCTGTAAAATGTAAAAAATGCCAAAATAAATTACAATTGCATTGTTTAGAATGAATGCACATTTTTTACAGGAAATTTGACAACTGGGTCAATTTCTACATGTACATTTGAAATTTTTTTGTAAAAGTAAAAGTTTTGTTTAAAAAAAAATGTGTATGGAAACTTGAAATCATCTGCCAGGAGAGGTCTAGAATGCAGGATTTGGCTTCATTTACCCCTAGACCCCTGCCTTAAGCTTAGCCTTCCCCATTCGTAGGGCAAGTTAATCTAAATAGATATTGAAGGGCAAGTCAATGGTCTTTATCTAATTTCTACCCCTGCATACCACGTCAAAACCTCTACTAGGGAACACTATCACTGGCTTTGATGTTAATTCAATTACATTCATTATCATCGGAGTATTCCTTCAATGCAAAAGGGGAGGGGACAAATCTTGCTGTTCCTTGGTTCTTAATTTTCACATTTAGGGTTAGGGTTTTTATTTTGATTTTTTGTAATGACAAATTTTTCAAATATAGACCTGAAAGATATACAATATTATTTATTCTTTGTTAACAATTTTTTCTCACATATTTCTCACCATTTTAATTAGAAAGTTTATATTTGTGTGCTCTAAGAATTTCTTGTGGTTCCATTTAACTATATTGTTCATGAATGTTACAGGTTTTCACTTTTTGACATGCAATAACAAAATAGTAGACAACACTTTCTTTTATTTTCAGCATGCCTCTTCAAGCAGACTTTCAAATAGACCACCATAAATTAGATTTATTTTTACAGAAGTGCCATTTCTCAAGTCATTGACTCTTCTTTTCATAAAGATGAATTTTTAACTTCATTTCCATAATTGTGTGAATTTCAATTTCAAGACTTTTCAATGCCTCATATTGCAAAAATTTAGTACAACCCCCTTTTTCGGGATTTCTAAACCATTTCATGTTCACTTGACATTATTGAACACATCAATATAAGGCTCAGTATAGCGTATATTATACAGACATGTATATTTCCTGATATTTTATCCTCATTGCCATTGATGATAATGGGACAACATTAATTTTCATGCTAGTATTCCAACCATTCAAAAGGAGAGGGAACAAATTTTGCTGTTTCTCAGTTTTTAATTTATACATTCATTGCGTAATTATTGTTTTTTGCAATGACCTTTTTTTCCAATCCAGTCCTGAAAGAGATACAATAGTATTGTATTATACAGGGTTAAACTTTTTTCTAACCGTTACATATTTCATTACATTTTCTTAAATCATCACGACTAGAGTGGTAATATTGAGATGTTTTTTGGTATTTAATTACCTTCTTGAATCCAATGTCATCAGCATATTCACGGAAGCATCTCCTACACATGTTCAAGCCATATTTTCTTATCAGACCATGAGTATTCTTACATACTCTACTGCAAAAAAAAATATACATCAATTTAAGAAATGCTGTCATACTAATAAAAATTTAATCTTTACATTGATAAATATAAATTTAACTTTTGTTGCAAAAATGTGCTAGTATAATGTTTGAACTGTATCACTTAAAACTCAAGGTAAATGCAAAAGCTTTATTTCTGTTTTACTGTCAATTGAGTACATGTACAGAAAATACAAAAAGAGGTTTAAATGGTGCTGTCCTTAATCTCAACACCTTCTTCGGTAAATTTAATTTAGGAATTAATGCATTTTTATGAAATGTAGCAAAATCAAAATTAAAATAATGAGTTTTTTCAAACATCTTGTTAGTTGTCAGATCAAATGTGTACTGTAGTGTGAAGATATTTTAAAGCAGTGTTTTCCCAGGATCTTCAAACAGCACCCTTGGATCTGAAATGGCACTTTTTCATAAAATAATAGCACCACATTTCATGACAAATTCTATTGAATACAGCAAGAAGCTGGTAGGTCAAGTTTAAACCACGTTTAGACGGTTTACTGAATAATATCAAGATTAGTACTAAGAGGAACACGGAGGGGGATTTAAATATGTGTAGTCTTAAGGAAAAAAATTATTGAAATGATTCAAATAAGGTATGAAATATTTTACATTAACAGTAACAAAAACTTGAAAAAAATTATAGGGTCTGAAGCAGTGACAGTCATGACATATGTTAGTCACCTTCTAATATATATATGTATAGTTGACCTTCCCATGGATATAAACAAGTGCCTGTGGGTGCACAGGTTTTTCTACAATCGAGGGTAACATTTGTGGGTTAAACTTAAACATGTTACATGGCCATATTTGACGAAAGGTTATAATAAACCATAACTGTTTAGTAAAGTATTTGTTTGTTTGGTTAGTGTGAAAGCCATTACGACCCACACACAGCACCTTTGAGGTCAGTGTTGAGCTTCTTCTATGGTCCTACTGACCCATGATTGTATAGTAAAAGTATTATCCTCGAAATTATTAAATCTCTCGTGTTATTTCATCAAATTCATGGAAGACGAGTATGCCCCTTCAATTTGTTTAAATATATTATGGAAAAACAAACGGTCTATGATGGCTTTTCTGTATGGAGAAACTTGATATAGGAGAAATGGTTAATAGGCTTTGTCTGATATCAAAATGCCCAATAAAATAAAGATTGAATTGAAAGAAATTGGCAAAGATTTATTCGAGTTATTGGTCTCCAAATTGATCGTTGTCTATCAATTTTATTAAAGAAGTGTTCTCTCATTTAAACACTTGTTACGTTTAAAAAAAAAAGTACCAATAACGTGAGCCAGCGCCGAACTTTTTGGGATGAGCATTCCAGATATTTGCGAACCCCATGATGGCGAATCTAAAAAGACTGACATGTGCGAGTCTCGCTTTGATGTCGATTTCCGGCAAGAGTAGCTTCCCTTCGTACAAATATTGTCGAAAAACAACGAAACAGTCATTCAAAAGGCTTTCGACGTGTCTCAAAATTTTCGTTTAAATTAAAGAATTGTCAAGAGAGATACAGATCGTATACATTGGTTACAAAATTGAAATGGCGACCTTATTTTGACATTTTTTAAACAATGGGTGTACAGAAAACTACAGCAGGTTAACTATCGTCTATTTTAGATATTTTCAAATGTGAAATTGTCAAAGTAGGTTTTATTTTTGAGAGACACACTATATCAACTGCTTGGTCTGTGTTATGCTTAAGTTATATGCAAACTAATGCATGTTTAAACATGATATTGATAAAATACTCATTTACAACCAAAATAGATTTCATTATTTAGCATCTGTGACTGGGTTAAAGAATTATGACATCATTTGTTACTTATTGTGATGAATGATGAAGTATATGTTCGTGATTTTTTACTCTGCTGAAGACTGAGACAAATTAGTCTAATTCAAGGCTAGCTAAGGAACCATACAATACACCTTATCGCTATTTGTCCGCCATTACTGGACATCACACAAGTTCCCGTAAAATTTTGACGTCATAATAGAAAATATCTGACGCCACAATGGAAAAGTGATTGTTGTAAGACGTCAAAAGTTCGAGCAGGACTGATTCTCGGGTCAAGCGGGATTAGCGATAAGGTGTATGTTGCTCTTATGGTCCTTAATAAATTTTTGACAATTTGCAAACCATAGAGCTACTATGTGTCAGCAAATTGTCAAAAAATATAATGAACGTAAGAGCTAAGGTTCTGCAGCTATATTCAAGGCCAACAAAAAACAAGTTTCCAATTTAGATTTTATGCATGAACTGCTACAGTTGACCTGCGGTCATTTGGGGGGAAACATGTCATGGAACATTGTGACACAAATATGTATTTGCTTTGTGACATCAAGTATTTCAGGGAAAAATCACCAGTTGAAAGATCATGTCATGATGAACATGTATTATATTTTACCATTAATAATGTCAGGTGCACAGTCTCACTAATTTACGACAAAAAGTGTTGAGGTGACAAGTGGAAAATTTAGATAGTAGTCCAAATAATGATGATTACTTGAAAGGCTGTTTTATTTTTTTTTTGCTGTGATGCCTTCCTACTACACATAGGTGATACAGCAAAAAAGTGAAATAGCCTTTCAAGACGTCATAATTATTTGGATTAATTTAGATACATGTAGGTGATTATGTGATGAAATTAGTATCTTTGCAGTCTTAGAAGAGTTTCTAAATCATTACTATAATGCAGGTTTCTATATTTATTGATTTAAAATAATTGATAGATAATATTTCTTGACTTAAAATTGTTTTTTGTCAACTCTTTCTTTGACTTTTTTTGTTGCTTCTTGATGGTTCTTGTCACTTATTTGTTTATTCCTATTTTTTAAAATGATATTGTTAGTTGAATAAGCGCTTAGTCTAAGTGATTCATTTATTTGTGTAAACAAACAGAAGATATGAAAAATATTTAATCAACTTGTGCAATTTAAAGCTCCAAGCTCAAACTCTGACAATAACAAGAAATCTTCAAAAAACTGAGTTGCACAGCGGCGGATTTAGAGGGTTTTTCAGGGGGCCCGGGCCCCCCCTTTTGTGGGAAAAATTTGGTTGATTATATAGGGAATCACTGAAGCATGACTGGAGCGGGCCCCCTCTTAGGAAGTCAGTGGGCCCCCCCTTATCATAATTTCTGGATCTGCCACTGGTGCAATATGCACACATCTTGAAAGTACAGGCAAAAAGATTTAGAGCTTTTAATCAGACTGCTATTTGGTGTAGTCAGACACATTAATAGTGGGAACTTGTTCCAGAAATAAATTTTACAGTGCATATGCAAAAGACAGAAAACAGAAATTAAGTTGAAGATTTTGTATTCTAAATTATTAAAATTATTTGTATTTACAAAAATGTACTTGTACTAACTGCACATTTTTATGCCCTGTCTAAAACAACTATTTCAGCCAACAAATTACTAAAATTGCTTTAAAAACTGAAACAAAATGACATTAATTAGGTATGTTATTAAAGTAATTATGGATTAAATGACTGTGTGCATCTTATTTTCACTTTTGTTTTTGTAACGTTAAATGTCTATTAGATTTGTTTTGTTTTTTTCTATTTACAGGTGGTGGAAACATGCAGACTATGAAAGGACAGTTAGGATTAAGGAGCAGTGGTAAGTTGAAGTACAATAATTTGTTTTTACTTGTAATAACTGCACATTTTTACCCCCTTTCTAAATCAACTATTTCAGCCGACTGATTACTAGTTATGGGGCAACCATTTTACTTTGAATTACTGTCATTTTAAATGATCTTATTCTATTTTAAAGAATTACCGGTAGATAAATTGTTACTGAAGGTGCAAAAAAAGAATATTCATCTAGCCAAAAATGTTGTTTGTTTGATTGGGTTTTTCAACTGGAAAGATGTTTTAAACATAATCCCTGTTTAAAGTTAAATAATTGTCAAAAGAAGGTGTACAAACAACCAATATAAAGAAATAAACTGAAAACACAATTTGAAAAATTGCATGTACATATGTAGGTATGTATGTAAAGCAAAATATGGTCCTATGAAATATTGTCCCCCAAGACAATAATTCATGGCTTTGTATCATGAAATATTGTCCAGAGAAGGACCAATTTCCATATGAAATTTTGTCCATATACAGACAATATTCATAGATGAATAGTATGAAATTTTGTCTTGTTGAAGGGAGGTTATCCAAAGTTACATTTTGTGTATATTGTGACAATATTTCATAGATGGATTGTTATGAAATTTTGTCTCAAGAAAAGGGGGTTATAGACATTTAATATTTTGGATATTTTTAAAATGTTTTATTTGATTGATAATAACAAATATACCTGCTTCATTAATTTATGAAGCAATTTATGGTTATACACAGTAAATTTCATGAAAAATATTTTTTTTAAAAACCAGAAACGCTCGCAATTTCTTGGCAGAGGAATCCTCAGGGAAGACATAATTAGATTAAGAAATATTTTCGTGGACAGTATTTCACAGTGAAATATTGTCATGGACAGAATTTCACAGTGAAATATTGTCATGGACAGTATTTTATTGTGTAATATTGTCCAGAAGGAGGTGACAAAATTTCATCGGCAAGGACAGTATTTCATTATGAAAGTGTCCGTGGACAAATATTCTATATGAAATTTTTCGGACGGACAATATTTCATGGGGGACATTATTTAATGTTACATGTATGCATCAGATGATTATGCAAAATAAAGATTTCGACTCTCTGACGGGAAGCTTTTGTAATAAGACGGTTTATCTTTTAGATATATACATGTATGTAGTTTGCTCAGTTTTGAAATTTCATAGCTGTCATAATTTGATCTTTTTGTCCCCTGCGCAACATGTTGCAGGGGACATAGAAATACCGGACAGACGGACGTCTGGTCTTGTTAGAGCTCTCATGTGTACAATTCTTGCCAGAATTTTCTGAAACTTATATCATAGGTTTATATCAGCAATGTCTTTGAAGAGTTTGAAAATCAGTGCCAATCAATTATTTTTAAAAGGGTTAAGCCCCTTGGAAATATTAATTATATGGAAAATTGCATTGTTAGCGCTCTCATGTGTACAATTCTTGCCAGAATTTTCTGAAACTTATATCATAGGTTTATATCAGCAATGTCTCAGACTAATTCGAAAATCACTGCTGATCAAATATTTTTAAAAGAGTTATGCCCCTTGGAAATATTGATAATATGGAAAATTGTATTGTTAGCACTCTCTTGTGTACAATTCTTGGAAAAATCACATTGCATTTGCCTTGTTCCTTGGATAGATAAAATATGTGCAACGCAGGGGACATTGGAACTCTGTTCTTTTATTACGATGTCGCTTTAAAATGCCATTCTATTGAATTTGATAAGTATTGATGAATTCATTTAAAGTTAAACTGAAAGAAAATTTTTATGTTCTACATTTTCAGCACATAAAGGTAAGATGTCTTGAAGAACAATGGTATTATTATTTTGTTGGTTTTAAATTACAAGAACAAACTTTCTTTTATATTTACTTTAAACTTACATCATTGCTACTGTTATCACATCATGTCTTTTCCAGAGGCCTACAACAAATAAATCATTGAAATTATTTTTCTTACAACCAGCCATTTGAATTTAAAGCAATTGGTGATAAATATTGAAATGTAAGGAAGTGACTACCTTAGATTAACCCTTAGTTTCACCAGAGCAGCTTTGGTTAAAACATCTGATAGTTTATAAAACAATTCATAATAAGATTTAAAAAGAACTGAAAATTTCAGAAAAGCTGGTTAACACATGCATGGTTTTGATTGTGTCTAAGGAAATTTCATTTGTTGAAATAGTAGATACTTTTTTTTTATTGATTAACCATTTGAAGAATGTTGATCCATTACATAGAATTATTATTCCCCTGCAAAGAAAGTTGGTTTGTTTTGGTTTTTTTTAGGGGGATTTACAGGAATAGCCCTGTCCGTCTGTCTGGCTTATGTGCTTTGAAAGTGCAACTCCAGCTACACGACTAGATGTATATTGATGAAACTTTATAATTTTACTTTAGTTATCTATGTTATGTTTTGTAGACTGTTTTTTGTCTTTTTTTTTTTTTTTTTTTTGCTGTGGCGTTTTCCATTTTTCTTCAAATTATGAGTTTGAATATCCCTTTGATATCTTCTACCTGAGGATGTACATAAGGGTATATAATGCAGTCTAACATGTTAAAGGGGAGATAATACAATTTGCAGGATAGGGGTATCCTTTTGTGAATTGACTCACAGTTCTAGCTTTATAAAAAATCTTTTATTTATCTGTGGGATCAAATAAGTTCAATCATTAATTCATATTCAAAACTAAACAAAATGTGGAAGTAATAGCTCTAAAACTGAGTGAAGAAAATTATGGTTACAAATTTAATCTTTTTATACAGATTTATATTTAGGTCTAATAAGTTGGGGAAAAACCCATATCACTCGAGTAGCTTGAGATGAAAAATTATCATACAGAAGATCAAAGACAAATTTATGAAAATAGCTTTAAAATTAAATATAATATCCTAAATGGAGTAGATAATTACAATGTTTTCTATTTCAGCTCATTCTACTACATCAAGTAAGACAACTCCTGTATATTTCTATTTCAGCTCTAGCTTCTACTCAATAAGATAACTACCATATTTACTATTTTAGCTCTGTCTCCTGCTCAATAAGATAACAACAGTATTTTCTATTTTAGTTCTAGCTCCTATTCAATAAGATGACTACCATATTTTCTATTTCAGCTCTAGCTCCTACTCAATAAGATAACGCCATTATATTTCTTTTTTATCTCTAGCTCCTACTCAATAAGAAAACTACAATAATTTCTATTTCAGCGATAGACTCCTGCTCAATAAGATAACTCTGATATTTTTAATTTCAGCTCTATCTCCTACATCAAGGAAGATTATGTCTGATAACAACAATATTTTCTATTAAAGCTCTAGCTTCCGCTTAATAAGATAACAACAATATTTTCTATTTCAGCTCTAGCTCCTACATCGAGTAAGATAACAACACAATATCTGGTACTGGATCATATGAATAATCACTACAGAAAAGTTGTTGGTGCTAAGTGTAAGTGCTGATTATAGATGAGGAAAAAAACAAATATATGTGTCAGAAATATCCAAACAATGATACAGTGTATAGGATATAGTCCCCTGGCAAGGAAAAATATGAATTAAATGAGATTCAGGGTATATAGCAATGAGAGAGCAACCCTGTATTATCAAAATACATTTTTTTTTGCTATTGCTATTGCTCATCTGGCATGTTTTTAATTTTTATCTGTACCATTCAAATGTATTTTTTAAAGGATGAAATATACTTGGGTAATAGTATAGATAGAATTTAATTAAAAAAAACTTTTTCACAATTTTTAAAAAGATGGGACTGTCAGTAAATGTTCATGAGACGATGTAAAAGAATTGTTTATGAAAAAATCGTTATAATCCAAAGGAACTGAGGAAAAATGCAATTCAACACACTGAGAGTTGCTGCCACACCTTTAAATATTTTTTTGAATACCCTCACATAACAGCAAGTTCGTAGAAAAAGAACAGAAAAAATATGAATGTTTTGAAATATGTAAAATTTGGATCTTCCTTTAAAAAAACAAGATAAAAAAAGTTGGAAAATTGATAAAATTGAAATTGGCTGTTTGTTAGAAAGAGCTAAACACAAAAACAAGTATTTACAAGAATTATTTCAAAAATCACTAGAAATCTTACTTAGAAGCACAAAAAAACAGAAACAAAAAATGTATGTGCTATTTGACAGTTTGTATAAAAAAAAGTTAGCAAAAGAATCTATACAGATTTTAGGGTATTGAGAAATAATAATTTTTGCACCAGGACAACAAATTATTTAATTTTAAATGTTTAAGCCTGTACTTATAAAATGTATGGTTTTCTTTCAACAGCTGCCATCGATAACAAACCACCAAAGGCTCTCAAAACTAGCCAAAAGAGTAAGTTATTTCTTTGTACACTAAAGTTTAAAACAATTCTTTATTGTATTCATTTTCAATGAGTAGGTTTTGGTAAGAATTGAAATTATGAGAAATTGGAATTATAATATTAAGATAAAAGATTTGTCTTTGTTGAAAAAATATTACTGTTAGTCAAAATTATATAGTCAATATATTAATTTTGTTCTAACAATGTTGAGGGGGACTAATTGCATACTTTAGACATCTACAGCCAGGTCTCAGTCCTTTGTTGGACTAACCATTTATTATAAGATTTAGGTCATGTTCAATATTTCATGGTATTCTATTTCATGTAAAAAATCAGTTTTTTGTCTCGCCTTGACAGAGTCAAAAAGCGAGACATAGGTATGCTGTTTCCGGCATTGGTGACGGCAGTGGCGGCGGCGTCAACAATGTATTAGTTTGTGATTAGGTCTAGTTCATGGTGAACCACTAGTGTTAGGTCAATGATATTTGGTATGCAGTTGTATTAGCATTGGCACATCTCATTACCATGGAGATTATTTGGCCCCGCCTCCTCAGTTAAGGTCTATTGACTTTGAAACTTTGCTTAGTTTACATGTATTAGTTTGTGATAAGGTTAGTTTAAGGGGAACTGTTAGTGGTAGGTCAATGATAATTGGTATGCAGTTGTATAAGTATTAGCACATCTCATTTCCATGGAGAATATTTGGTCCTTACCCCTCAGTCATGGTCTATTGACTGAAACTTTTGCTTTAGTTTACATGTATTAGTTTGTGATTAGGTCAGTTTAAGATGAACCACTAATGTTAAGTCAATGATATTCGGTATGCAAATGTATTGGCATTTGCAAGCTTCATTTCCATGGAGATTATATAACCCCACCCCCTAATTATGGTTCATTGACTTTGAAACTTTTACATAGTTTACAAGTTAATGTTTGTGTTTAGGTTTGTTTAAAGGGAATGACTTATGAAAAGTCAATGGTATTTGGTTTGCAGTTGTATTAGCATTGGCACATCTCATTTCCATGGAGATTGTTTAGCCCTGTACCTTCAGTCATGGTTCATTGACTTTGAATATTTGCATAACTTACATGTTAAAGTATTGCTATTTTAATTTCAACATTTGCATTATCAAAATAACAAATAGGCGAGACATATCTATGTGTTAACAGTTTATTTAGATGAAAAGTTAACTACTAACATTTAACTTGGTATAAGAATGCATCTAGGCCAATGAAAACCCATCCATCAAAATTAGGCTTATAAATTAAAACACATCATGCTTGAGTGACTGACCTTTACATCTTAGTTCAGATCTTGGATGCTTAACAACCTAAAATCACATAACTGGGTATAAGTTATGCATCCATTTGAATTTAACAGACTTACATCCAAATCAGGTCACTTTGATCTACATTTCATGTTTCAGTGACTTTGGATAAGTTTTGCATTCAATTTCAGTTCTCTGATACAAAGTGACCTAAAAATAATTTAAAAGATGCATCTAGAGGAGCTGGTGTATCAGCTTCCTTCAAGACTAAGGTCACTCAAACCTATCTCATGTTGCAGTGTCTCTAGTTAAGTTTTACATTTACATGTACCTGGTAAGTCTAGGTGGGCCAATAACCTGTTCCATGTACTTGTTTAAGGGGTATAATAGCTTCCAACCAAAATTGGTCACTATGATCTACAGTTGGCACATGGACTTTGATAAAGTTATATGTCCTTGTTTAGGTCCAAGATACTGAATGAGCTACAGTTATATATAATGTTAAGTGAATTTATAATGACCTACAACTAAACATCTTAGTGAAGGGATGATTCCATGCAGCATTCATTCTATCAAAGCTATTTCTTCAGTACGCTATAACCAGTAATCATATTTAGATGTATTCTGTAGTTTATCACAGCCATAATTTTCATTAAATGCAGTCATTTTGACAAATAGTTCAGCCCTTTTAGCTTTGAAATTAGATTTTCTGTTCATAAGTTTCAATAATTACATAAGTTTAAAGGACAAGTAGGTTAAGAAGGTTGAACTTTTCTGGATAACATATGTTTTTAGATAAGTTGATTTAGAATGCAATAATTTGATATATAGGTTTAAAGTGTCAATTCATTAAATTTATACTTAACCTAACATTGTAATATTTTGGTATTTAAATTAGTTGAATTAATTGTTTGTTTTCAATGAACTTCAAGGTCATTATGACTTTCTCAAACCTCATTTATATATGAAATATAGATTAGGAGTAAAAAAAATGATTGGTATAAGAATCTGTTGTCAGAATGTTCACATTTAAGAATAAAAAACATGTGAAAACTGATAAGACAAAAATCTAAAAAGTTTTATTTGTATGTGTTTTTAGACCAATATATTGTTTTTTTTTATTCAACTCTGTTTCAGTACGTGATAGACAAACAAGAGATTATGTAAAGAAAACTGGAACTCGTCCCCCTTCTAGAACAATTCCTTCGAGAACTCATTCACAGATGCAGTATTATGATCAGGATGATTATGATGATGAAAATCAATGGGTATGTTTTTCATTTCTCTTGCCTCTGCCTGTTGTTCTAAAGCAAAACAGTGTTTTTATTTCAATTGTTGCTCTGTCATTTACATCACCTACTGTTAACTTCTCTGATTACCGGTATGCCCATTTCAGAATACATTTTTATAAAAGATCATCATTGTTATACAGTAGCTTTCATGCATCACAACTGCATGCAGTATATGAGACATTCATTGACTATGAAATTTTCCCCTTGTTGAAATATATAGTTTTCATAGAAGTTTGTTAAAAAAAAAATGTTATGACAGTCTTTTTGATGTATTCACACATTTCTGTTTCTAGCAGAATTTGATGGTTGACTCCATTAGCCATGTATCAATGCTTTTGGAACTTTACATTGTTTGAATGCATGAATGAGGATTTTCATATGTGTATGCTACTGCTTGTTGCATTAGCATCTAGGATATTATTTCAAAGCAGACTATAATGTTTTTCCCCTTTTGTCATTCATTATGGACTTTTTACATTGTTGAAAGTTTAAGCTTTTTGGTTAAGTGTGTTTATATTGATACATACATAAGACACTTGGGTAAGTGGTTAAGATAGCACCCCTACACTTTAGTTTCAAGCAGCATATGAGACCCTGTTTCCTAATTCATGCTTCAGGGATTTTGCTTTCGGTTGCTTATGTCACAAATTATACTCTGGTCTAAGACAATATATTATATCACTGTCGGATGTCTGTACAAAGATAACTCAAGTATGCTTAATGATCCTTACTAGATTTTTACATAATGTTGTGTTCTATAAGGACTTGGTACCTTTGAACTTTGACTATTAACAGATTACTTTCTCTTACATGACTGAATTTTATTTTTTAGCTATGATCTTGTATAATTAGTAGACAAAGAGAATTGTAAACAGCAAAAATAAACAACATGACAAGATTTATACAAAGCTAAAACATGACCAAAATCATTAAATCAACTCCTCATAGGAATTATTTATATTCATTCTTTGCATTTTAATGACCAGTCTCAGATAGTATATGGGTGGGTGGGTATTTTTCCAGTCCGTATGTCCGTCCATTCTTCAGTCCCAATGGAGATTAAGATTTTTGGTGAAGGTAGTTAACCTTGAAATTGTGGTCACATTAACTTGAACTTGGTACACATCTTCATTATGAGGTTAACTTTTAAAGTAAATGCCAAATTAGGATTTTGACCCCGATTTCTCAGTTCACTAAACATGTAAATATAGTCTATTGACACATATTCTGTTTGGGATTATATTAAAAAGTAAAATAGGTATGTAAAAATGTAAATGGAAAAAATAAGCTTGGTCTTTATATTCCTCATGGTCCCAGATGAAAGAGTCTGACTCTTGGAGCCTCTAGATTTGTTAGGGTCTTTTTATCAACTGGAAAAAAATCAACTTAGAATGGACACAAAACAATGAAGTTATGGCAAGGCATGGCTTTTTTATATCCCTTGACCTTTTGCAATACAAATACAGCCTTTGTTTTTCAGCAGTATAAATAATCTTTATTCCAACAGAATATCAGACAATTTTCATTGTCCTTGTTCACAAAGATAACCTTTTTTGGTAGATATGTGCCCTTGTTTATATTTAACATGTATTTTTTCCACAATGTGAATATTGACAACTTACAATTTGTATTTTTCTTAAGGGAGAATATGATCCTGATGATGAAGAGGAAAGACTTGTTCAGACTATAATGAGAACTACATTGAAGCCTAAAAGTAGTACCAGTGTAAATGCCACCCATGGTTCAGTGACCGAACCAACAGAAAGACAATATGAAGATTATGCTCATACAAATGTAACACAACAACCAAGGGCAATGTCTGCAAATTCTAAATGGATGAAAACTAGAAATATTATGACAGCAGTGAGGGCTGTTACAGCACCAACATCAGCTCGAAAAGATAAAACGTATGATGGAGATTTAATTGAAAAGAGATCACATGCATTTACAGAGGAAAAGCCATTTACACCGAGGACATTAAAAACTAAAAATAGATCATCAAGGTTAAGTGAATACAAATATTACACTCCTCCTCCTCAGAAGAGGTCGGGAAAGAAACAGGAAGAAGAAGATCATGAAACAAAGAAAAAGGAAACCCCAGCACCAAAACCAAGGCCTAGACAAAGTGCTAAATCTCCACAGAGAGTTGATGCTTCTATGACTGACACATTAATGTTTGAAAGTCTCCAGAGTCGTGATTTCTCAAGATTCAAGGATAAGGAAGAATTAGTTCCTAAATTAGACATTTCTTTGGACAAAGACCACATGAACTGGCTCCAGGAGCAACAGTATAGAAATACAGTTAGAGAAAAGAGTGGAACATTAAGGTCTTCAATGGGCCGTATCCAGGAGGATGAAATGATGCATAGCACTGACTTTGACCAGACAAGGGATATGTCAACACTAGGCAAATCAAGTACAAGGTTAGTCAAGTTACCCGTTTTCACAAAAATTTAATGGTATATAAGAATATGATACATTTTTCTTCAACAATATGCAAAATCTATAACCATAGGGAAAGCATTTGAAAATAAAATGTTGAAAAATTCAGAGATATCAATAACAAATTGTTTTAACTACTAACATATATTCATAGAGTATAAAATTGAGAATGGAAACATGGAATGTGTCAAAGAGACAATAACCCGACCAAAGAACAGAAAACAGCCCAAGGCCACCAATAGGTCTTCAACACAGCAAGAAAATTCCCGCACTTGTTGGCGTGCTTCAGCTGGCCCCTAAACAATAATGTATACTTGTTCAGCGAAAATGGACGTCACACTAAACTCCGAAACATATAAATGAGCCAAAATTTAAAAAAACATACAAGACTTACAAAGGCCAGAGGCTCCTGACTTGGGACAGATGCAAAAATGTGGCAGGGTTAAACATGTTTGGTGATATTTCAACCCTCCCCCTATACCTCTAGCCAAGGTGAAATGAACAAACACACAGCAATACGCACAGTACAACTCAGTTCAAAAGAAGTCAGAGTCCAATTTTAGAATAGGTAACAGAAGAAACCAAGCAAAATGACAATGATCAACATAAATAAACAAAGGACTACTAGCAGTTACTGACATGCCAGCTCTAGACCTCAATTAAACTGATTGAAAGATTATGTCTTCATCATATGAAAAGAGTGTATGTATGTTCTGAAATCCTGTTCGAAGTTGGGGTTAATACTATAAACATTGTCAAAGACATTTGACAATTACAATATTTTTCAAAGTGGTAAATAGAATGATATTAAGGGAATATGTAAATGAATAACAAATTTTAGAAATTATATTGAAAAAAAGATTTGATGAATAATTGATCAAATGAATAAATGAATGTAATTTATATTACAGGGGTTTTGGAAACACATCTGGCAGTCAGCGACTACATAAAGAGTAAGGACATTGTGTTGTCAACCTGTTAACTAATTATTGTAAACTGCTGTAAACAGAGTCTTATTATGTTTTCATTTTTTTGAATTAAAAGTGAAAGAAAAATAATAAAAAGTTGTTAAATATGAATTTTTATAATTTCAATGTCAAATTTTTCAATCTTGCATTTATTTATGTCTCCAACATATTAAAATGTAAAGAATAAAGCTTAAAATAATTTGGATTCAAAATAAAATATCCACTTTTAATTTTTTTTAAACTGTTAACAGCAGGTAATCTTTCTATGTCTATGCACATTCTAATTTCCCTTCGGTTTGGTGGAAGTCTACTACACATATCTTTATTTCTCATTGATTTTTACATATATACCTTTTTTGCATCTGACAAAATAAGAGCTTAGCTTTTTGATTTTTTAGAGTAGAATATCTTTAGCTTTAGAATCTAAAAATCTAGAAATTTTTTCTTACAACTACTGAAACATTCCATGTTGAAAATTAATTTAACATTAAATTCATGCATGTTCTTTAGTTTCTTTTGCAGTAGTAAAGAATCAGAAAAGGGCTTTAAAATTTAGCTTTCAGTTGATTACAAGGACTTAAACAAATTTTGATATACAAAGTTACATTTTATTTTAGATTTGCATGATGAACAGTCAACCTTATATTACAGCATTTGAACCTGGACTCAAAGGGGCTGTTACTATAGTTACATTGTATTCTAGAATGCTCCCAAGTAGTCTTCCCTTGCTTCTGGACTCTAATAAAAACAAAAACAAAAATGTCTTTTTTTTCTAAGAAAATCTATTGAAGCACAATGTACTCGCGGAATATTAAAGATAAACGGTTTAGTAGAGAAAGAATTAGTTCCCTTTGTCTGGTTAGTGGTTAGTAGTTAAGTGCTATTAAAACTCACTAAAATTTGCATGTAAGTTCTGATTTAGCAGTAGATCTGTAGCATTTAAAGTTAACAGTGGATTCTTGTAAATGGTGCTTCAACAAATTTTTTAAAAAGTTTGTTAATCATATTTAACAAATTAGCATTTGTTGACATTTTTTTTTCAAATTTTCACATATTTCACAGGCTAGTTCAGTGACAAAACACAATTAATTGTAAAATTAAGTAAATTTCAAGTAAAATTGCATTACTTGACTAGATTGCTCACAATTTTCCACATTTATGTACTATTATTATCATCAGTGGCCACCAAGCTAAGAGAAGCAAAATGTGATCTGATATAAATGATTTTTATATGCTGTAATTAAAGAAACACTGTGTATATTTCAGACATTTTGACATATCTAAAAGTCCACGTCTTAAGTTGGCGTAAGTGAAAGCATGATCAAGTTGGTTAGTTGTTGATTTATTGTTCTGTAATTTTTATTGAGCTGATTTTTGCCTCTAAGAATGCTTGCAGACCCTTGTTTGTCAATGTTTTTGATGAGTACCCAGAACTCACGGAGTGAGAAGCCTGGTTAAAATTGTTAAATCTGTCATAAAAGTCAACAGACTAGCATAGAAATTAAATAAATTGCAACTGTTTTAATTCTTTTTGATTATATATATATATAATACCCCCACCACCTCCTTCCACGTCCTGGTAAGAAATAAACAAAATTGAATAATAACAGATAGGAAATGTTGAGTTTGTAGATTTTTTTTCCTGAGCGTAAATAAATTTCATTTTGAAAAATTGCCTTTGTGAAATGATACAGTCATTTATTTGTTTTGAGGAATTATTATTGGGACTCTGTTTGCTAGTGTTGATTGGAGTTTAATGTCAGGGAAGTAAAAAAATCCCATACTGCACAATTACTGTAAAATTATACAAAATTTTATGGAAAATAATAATTTAAAAATGTTAAAAACAATGTAATATACAAGCATTTATATCAATAAAATTGCTTGTACAGACAGTATTATTTGCTATGGGAAAATTTTATTCTTCCTTATTATTTATTAAGAGAATACACACTAAAGTAAAATAAGATATTGGTTTTTACCTGTTTACCTTTTATGTGTTTCTTATGTAATATTGTTTCCTTCCTATGTTTTCCTTCCAAATATTGTTTTTGTTATTTATGTAGCCTAATCTATTTATTGCATGTATTAATAAAATGTCATACAAATGTTTAACTTTTCTCTTTTAATTTATTGATGACTATTTTGTATTTACAATTTCTCCATGGAATGTTTTGGTTTTTAGGAACTTAGCTTATGAGCACACTAATGGTAACGCAGATTAAGGTACACTCCCAGATTTCAGTTTAAACATGATTTCAGTCCTGCCTGTCTTCTTTCTTGTCTTGCTTTTTGTAGACTCTTTAAAAATATTTTATAAAAATAGTTGATGGTCTATTTGTTTTACCCACTGGCACTGCAAACAGTATTTGGTGTACATGTTCTATGTAAGCACAAATCTTCCTATATGCTCTCATACATGCAACTCCTCCTACATGGCTATATGGATATTGATGAAACTTTACATAGTTATATAACACTATCTGAGGATGTTTATAAAGGAATATAATCCCAGTTCCACTTATTAAAGGGGAGATAATCAAGTTTACTTACTTAAATATTACAAACTGTGGAAATAATCTCTTGGTGTGTCTAGCATTGTTTTTGTTTTATAAATGTTTACCACAAATCCTACCTACCGACATAGGAACAATGATATTTTCTATGTAATATATCATATATTACCAACATTACAATCGTTCATCTTTTTACAAATTTGCAACCAAAACCAAACAGGTGTTGTTCAATTAACTACTAGTAGTTAGTTCCATTTGAATTTATTTGGGATCTGGTTTTTGAAAAAGCAATTTCAAAGCTTATATTGATTTCAATATGGTTCAGGAGAAACAGCTTTCCTTATGGTGACTAAAAGTTGCACATGAGCAAATTTAGTCATAACACCTGATTTTTTTTTTTAAACAGCTCTTGATAAATTTTAGATAAAAGTGAAATCTTTCAAGAAAATTGAAAAATCTTTTTCGTTTGTACCCGGTAATATGATACCAGTCAAACTTGTTAGGTGTTGATGACTTTTATTCCTTTCAGTGAAAAATAATTGTGTGCTGTAGCTGAAACATGGGTCTCCACATGAAATTCTAGTAATTCCTGAATCTAGAAAAGTTGTATATTTGAATTGGAAAACCTGGTCATGCAATTATAATGGAGAATTAGGCACGGAAAAAGAAAGGTGACGATTGGGGAAAAAGTAAATGGAGAAAGCTCCCACTTAATCCCTCTTAGTTGTTCAAGTTGGTACTGTTTGTGTAGCTTCATGCCTTATTGAGGTTTAAGAAAAAATACACTTGATTTTGACGTATAATGTAGTTTTGGATTGTGGTAACACAATAACGATGATTGCACACGGACAGTCTCCAGTTTCTGATAAGGAAAAGTTGTCTGACTTGATGCATCTAGTTTTACTAATCCCTATCACTTTGATTTCTATGCAACTATGTTAAGAACTCTTGCAACTCTTAGGGTTCCGTAGGTGGCCTGTTGCAAGCCTAACTTTCTGTAATTATCCAATATACCCTCATTTTCCAGTGTCAACCCAAATTTCCTGTCTGTTCCTGTTTGACCCACTATTGCAGGACCTACCTACATGTATTGTATTTATTATTAATTTTTTAACATGCACAAAATATTTCCCACTGGACATAAAGCAAATGACTATCAATCAATCTATGCAACTATACAGGTAGTTGTAATTGAGTTACTCAAATAAATAAGATTTGATTTGAGTGATTGTGCCCATTCACACTTTTTTTATGATTTTTTTGTCATCACTTGGCATCTGTTGTCCATTTAAAACAGTAACTGTGCATATCCTAAACTGCAATCTGGTAAAACATTTTAGCCATTGGTATTGTGAAAGAACAAAGACTTTTTTGATATATACTAAAAGAAAAAAAAACTTTTTGAACTCGCTATTAGGTGTAATACCACCAAATCATAGTATGTCACATCCGGTTGCATACGAAAAAGGGTCGAAAAAAAATATTCCCTTGAATTTGACAGTTGTAGGAAGGTAATCCTACACTTCATTGCAGTAAAAAATTTCTGAGTCATAAACATATATATTGGGTGTTTCAAAGCACCATTATTTTTTTATTTGGTGTTTCTATAGAATATTTTGGGAACTTGAGGTTATATGGTTACTAAAGCTTGTACACAGGAAAAAAAGGGGTGCAAATTTGATTGGTTAACTTCCAGTGATGGCTATTTTCTTATATGGGATGAAATGTTATGTGAAATTTTGTCTATAGTACTGGACAGGATAAACTTTACTCATGCCAAGTATTTCTTTATTTGAAACAAAGATAAATTCTGCGCAATTTTTTGAAAAGTGCAAATTTAACAAAGACTAATAGGGGAAAATCAATGGTGGTATTACACCTAGTATTTCATTGCCGCTTATGCATTTACCCTAAATTCTTTCCTTTCCAATGAGATTTTGGTATGTTCGTTGCCTCTTAACTGTTCGAGCCATTTTTAGACAAATTAGTTATCAATACCAACTACAATTATTGTTAGTGATTCTCCTCAATAAGTATTACATGTATGTATCTTTCTTTTGTTACTCTGTTTCATGTGTATTAATTTAGATACAACATACCAGAATTGTTTTACCTTACAGATCTTAAGCTTATCACACATTATATTATGATAAATTCACATCACACTGTAAGGCATACTCTGGATATAATAAATTGTAATAATAGTATTGCGTAGGTAGTCATATATTAAACAAAAATCTTGTTAATCTGTCAGTAGATGGATCTGGTATGCTGAGCACATATTACATTAAGACTCTGAATGTTATAAATTGTAATAACTTTGTTGGATAGGCAATCCTATATTGATCAAAGAAAAAGAGAAAGGTAAGATGTGGTTTGGCAGTGTGTCACAATGTGCTTTGTTAAATATGGAAGAGGATTTTATTAACACATCAAGATTCACTACAAGCAATGACAAATGTGTCTTCAGATAGTGGTACTGTAGTAAACAAGCAACATATAAACTTAATAATTCATTATTGAATACTTTAAATCAATGGTTCCTGGATAGTGATTAAATTTCATTAAATTTTATTTAAGCAATTATCAGCACAAATTATTGAGTACAGTTATCAGTAATTAGAAAGTTTTACATATAATTTACATATCATCAGGGGAACCTGTAAATCAATGATGCAACAACTGGATGTAAACAATGTTTTACACCTGAAATTCTGAAAGTATTTGTATTCCAAATCATTTTATCTTTACTATATATGAATATGGATTGGTAATACACAACAAACTGTATTAATGAAATTTGAGGTCACTTTATGGTATACTTACTGCATGGCCAATGCAAATGTAAACGTTTCACCAAAAGATACTAAATGGTCTTTCCAAAGTATGCAGAGGATTTCATGGAGATTCCTTAATTGCAAAGGTCTTTCTTCTTTTTGGTTTACATAAAATTACAAGTTTAGCTACAGCTAAGTAATCTTACCAGGCATAACTCAACTTCAATGTTTTATGAAACAAAAAATTTCATTTCTTTTAAATGCACATTAGAGTGAATCTTGAATGTGGTTAATCACATCATGTTGTGTGATAAATAATGCTTCAGTTTGCACATTTAGCAATTTTTTAATGCAAAGTTAGAATTCATCAGCAAAATTATATTTCATCTAGGAATTAGGGTTTGTTTGATTGATAGTTTAGAAAAGATATAAAAATCAGAAATTAAATCATCATTATCAGTGGTCATCTTAACCAGAGTTTTTTGTGTGCATTTTGTGATATATTCATAAATATAGATTGTCAATTGCATGATATTATTAAAAGAATGTGAGCACTCATCATAGAGAAATTCCCATATAGCAAAACAAAAACAACAAACTAATAAACACATAGATGTCATTATATGGATTTTGACAATACCATATAAGTCAAGCCCAAAACCAACAAGATGCAATAGAATAGTTCATCCATAAGTTGCAGGGGCCTCGGTGGCCGAGTGGTCTAAGTAGTTACTACTGTAATCACTAGCCAGTCAACACTGAGGTTGTGAGTTCGAACCCCGCTCGTGCGGGTGCACTCGACTCCAATCTTAATTGACTAGGATTGTCAGTTTTCCTATCGAAGGTCGGTGGTTTTCTCCAGGCACTCCGGCTTCCTCCACCAATAAAAACTGGCCGCCACGAAATAACCCAAAAGCGGTGCTTAAAAGTGGCGTTAAAACACCAAAAAATCAAAAACCATAAGTTGCAGTTATCTAATTTTAGAGATGAAATGATTCATCAGGCTATCTTACATTGCCATATGATCAACTAAACATATTTTTTCTTGGGCATCATATTTGATTGATTGATTGATTGGTAAATCAATCATGGTTGATTGATGATCGATTTATTAATTCATTGATTGATTGATTGAAATTTTTTCTTACTTCATCCTTCAAAGTTACACATAATTTGAACCAATAATGTAAATGAATTGTTTGTAATCAGCACTGAAAAAGTACAACAAATGAATAAATCCTTATTCACATAGAGTTTTACTGTAGAAACAGTCAAATTAATTATCACTGCAGTCATCTTTTCTCTGGTATATTGCATACTTATAAAACCCATGTTTTAACATTCCTGGTAATCAGAGGAAATTTCTGTAAGAACATGTAACAAAAGATGATTGAAACTAAGTAAAAATCTGATGATGCATTAAACGAGTTTTAATTTATAAACAGATTAAAAAAATTGTAAAAAAATAAAGAAACAACTAGTCTCAGAATTTTTTTATGCATTTTATGGTAAAATTGAGGTTACTGTTATTTGGCACATATTTTTTTACAATTTTAAAGGAAACCCATTGGTAAAGCAAATGCTTTAATCATGACTGATGCTTTATTTTACAGGGAAGAAGAACTAAAATATATGGAGTTTATGAAAGAAGTTACAGATGATGTTCTAACTAGAGGAGTTTTTACAAACAGGTGGGATATGAAAATTTAAATGATATTAAGCAACAATAAATATAAAAGGGACAGAAAAAATATATATATATATAGGTCGCTAAGGAAATAATAGCTACCTAGAATTTCACATCATTAAGATAAACTAATTTAAAATTACACTTAAAAAAACAGAGAGCTTATGATCAGTGGCAGTCAATTTCTACTTCACACTTTGCAGGTATTTAGTTACGACTGGTAAGAATTATTCAGACTTGATAAAGATATGTATGAGTAAAAACCAGAATAACAGATAACCAAATATACTGAATAATTTGTTCAAACATTAATTTTCTTAATTCTTATTACTGTAGGGTACTGAAACAGGTGTTTGAAAGTCACATAAGGAAAAAGAAAGGACAGCTAAATGAGGTAGGAAAACAAAGTTTACATACAATACATACACCACAGAAATTTTCTTTTTAAATATTAGTTTGGATATCTCCTCATGATATAGCTGCTTTGTGCTGACACTACATCAAGCAATGATTAATCAATTAATCTAAAATTTTTATATTTTTAAAATCTGTTATAAATAGTAGACATATTTCAAAGTATGTATTTAAAAACTTGGGTGTATGAAATAAATTTGAAAGTAATGAGTTGAAAGAATATACGATGGTGAAGTAGGTTTATCAGTTAGTGTTATAGAAGCTACCGGTAATATTACTGACCTGATTTTGAAAAATGGTTTTGGTATGGTACAATTTTATCAGAAGAGTCAGTTCTGGAATGTTGTCCTGAATATGCATGAAATATTTGCTACTGAATTTTAAGCAAATAACAGTCAATTAATCAATCAGTTTCAGAAAGTGCAAGCTACATTTGTACTAATGAAGAATTGTGGTAATATATTAATTATATCAAGGCCATAACTAATAGAGGATATAATGCTTTAGACACATCCGTCTGTCTGTCATCAGCTAGATAACAATCTATTTCTTGTCTGATGTTCTTCATATTTGAGAGACAGATTATTCATATCAAAACCATAAATGAGTTCTATTAAAAGAATAACAAACAGGAACCATCTTTTTGAGGTGAGCCTTCTACAAATATCACATAATTATTTATGCCTTCATTTCTTGTTGTATCCCCTTCAGAATTAGAACAAAGGTTCACTTTTTATGTGCCCGTCGTAGGCAACAGGGGCATTCAGTGTTACCCTTGACTGTCCTTCCGTAAGTCTGGCCATCCATCCATTGTTCCGTCAAATTTTCGTTTCCGCACTCTAATTTAAGTTTTCCTCATCCAAATTTTATGAAACTTAAAAATCATAGCATTGAATCTTTCCACACTTCATGATTAAATGATAACTTCACTAAGCATTGTATTAGAACAAAAGTCTATTTGGATACCCATAATAAAAAGACATTGCTGCACATTAGTGACTGCAATAGTCAATTTGAACATTGTTTGAATCATGTTATTTAGAACTTTACTTTGTCAATTTGAATACTTTTCAAATATGTAACTTCTAACTTTAATTGTTTGTATTCTAAGTAAAACATTATAAAAAGCATCATATGACCATCATCATCTCTAGAATAGTTCAACTGGTTAGTGATTGAATTTTAACATTGAAATGAATGCTGATATTTAAAGTTCTAAATCTTATCTTTCATTTTGAAGAACATTAGTATTACTTATTCACTGTATACATGGAGTTATTCTATAATTCACTTTTTTTCAGAGGAGAATGAGATCCATGTTGGGTAAAGTTCGCAATGACCTTGGAATTGCTGATGATGATGAATCTGATCTTGGAGAAAGTAATCGTATGGGAGAAACAGTATCCACCTCTTCTTTTAAATTGAGGCCTACTCTGGCTAAATTTGAACATAGTAAGGTTTCTGATGTTACATTTGATTCAACTGTGGATTCACAAAACACATACAAGTTTAAAAGTACATCATCTGCAGACATGTATAGCACCATCCACTCTGAAAATGAGGATTTATCTGCTTCTCAAGCCTTGAAAGATTACCAGATGAAGATCACCAGGAAGGAAGAAATGAGTGAAGGGGAAGTCACTCCTGATGAATCAGAAAGCCTGAAAGTTGATGAAAAACCTTCAATACAAGCAAAAGTCATACAAGTTTCATCCAAAGAGGATGATAATGCCTCTGTGCATTCAAGAGCTTCCAAAGCTAGGTCAACAGGAAATGCTTCAGTTTATTCACATGCCTCAAAGGCAATGTCTGCTGGAAAGAAATCGGAAGGAGCACAATCATCAAAACAGAGATCACAACCAGCAAGTCAACATGATGATGATACATTAACAGAAAGATCACAAAATCGTACAGAAAATGATCAGACTGATGAAGGAGAGTATGGTGAAGATGAATTTGAAAGTGATGGGGACTTCTAATCAAACCACAAATAGGATTTTTAATCATCAAATTTTGCTCAATATTGTTAAAACAACTATTATATTATATAGGAGCTTTTGTTTTATTATAATATGCTTGTTAAAACCTTTAAGGTTTAAACTTATGTTGAAGTCCTAGTACTTGACAGGGTTAGATATTCAGCATATTTTGTACATGTAATAAGATCAATTTTGTATTTTACAAAATTGTTTGAAGATGCTGTCATTGATGCCACATCTGTATTTATACACAGTGCAATGAAGTAGTGGCTAGTACAATGTTTTGATCCCTCCATTAATCTGTCGCCTCATATATGCATTTTGCTCATATAAGGGTATGGTTCATGTGAAATTTTTTGCTAAAATTCTTTTATATTATTATTTTTTTTTTTTTTTCTAGAATATATGTTGCAGCTGATTATCGTGTATTCTATTACTTTATAAACCAAATGATATAAAAATGCAAATCTGGCTTATAGTATGATGAATGTCAATCAAACAGATGGATAGGTGGACAGAGTACCTTTCTTTTATACTCCTTCAGCTTTCAACCCAGAGCCTTCAAAATTTCTAGAATGTTTGCATATAATTATATTGAAAATGTGCAGCTAACTTTCTGTACTCGTTTGGATAGTTTTGCAGATCTTCCAGATGGTAAAACTTTCTACTTAATGTGGGTATCATAAAAGTCTATTTTTTTTTTAGATTTTTGAATTTATGCTTATGTTATTCAAGAAAGCTTATTTTATCCCAAAGGTAAACTTGGGACAAACTTCATTATTAGAGACCTATCAATTTGTCAGCTTGCATTTGTAAAAGTGTATAGGCTTTTAATGATCTTGAGCTTCATACCAGACTAGAGGTTAACAGATATGTAGTTAGGTTATATGTTTGTCTGTGATATTTATGTTTCATTTCATACATTTTATCATTGTTGTGCAATTACTGGTAAGGATATCCTTTTTATTTTTTGCTTTTATATTTTTAATGGACTCACTCATGAAGATACAAGGTCCCAACTTTTGAAGAGAAAAAATGTTATGACAGGTAAAATGTTTGTCATCGGAAATACAGATAACTCATGAAAATCTGAAATACTTTCTCTTCAACTATTTCACATTTTGTAAAGATTGGGTTTTCATTGTAACAGTTTAACTTAACATAAAAGAAGAATGTTTGAAATTATAAAATTCAAATAAAAATAACAAGATACATGTATACACATACACTTTGGTCGCTATATAGCCTATCTGTCAATGCAACATAAGGCAAACATTAATCAATCAATCTATCATATGAAATGACGTAATTCTAAATATTAATTTTTGCTTGAAATATGTAGCTTTTCATATAGTTGAGAATATACAAGGTGCTTTAAAGATAAATATATTAATGTTTGAGGGTATAATTTTATATGATATTATAGAACATTAATTTAATTTCAACATTTATTATGAAAAATAATTATTTATGTAGTAAAATGAATAGGTCCAATTTCCAGTAATAAATTGGGTAGAATTTATGCCCATTATTACAGTAATACATTTGTTACAACCTGTGCTGCTAGGAGACTGGTATGTGATGTTATATCTAAACTTGTTACAACAACATCCTGATGAAGATAATAGTATAATAGTATAAATTGTTTGAAAATAACGAAGATTGTAGTGGAGCTGGGAAGGCAGATATTTGTTACAGTAGTAATGTTTTGTCCTGCTGTAAATACATTAACTTATCTCTGTCCTAAATTCCTAATGCAATACTGAACAAATTGTTTTGTTTTTTTTTTTGCTTTCATTTGGCTGTAAAACTGCAAAAGTTGAATAACTGCAAAACTTTGTCTGTAATTTAACTACATGCCATAAAAACAACTTGATGTCATGTAAAATTGAGAATGGAAATGGGGAATGTGTCAAAGAGACAAAAACTTCTGTTTTCTATGACAAAAAATATGTTGATGTATTTTAGATTTGATAAATTATATGTGTATTTATTTGGAATGTGAGTTTCAAGGAAAATTTCCATACATCAAATTATGATTGATATGTCTTCTTCCCCACTTACTCATTCTTGTATGGAATAATATTTTAGACTTCTGAATAAAAAGTAAGCCCTGATAAAAGGATCTTCTTTAAGAAGTCACTTTTTGCTACTGATGTTGTGTAGAAATTAGATCCGTCCATTTATTTATTTTAGAGCACAACTTGATATAAGCAGAATAAGAATAGTACTAAATCAATTTTTGCAACTAATAAATGCAATGAAATGTAACCATGTGGATTATCCGTCCATTGAGGTAGTTGTCTCATATCATTGTTCTTAAAGCAACATTTTTCATATACACATTTATGTTTAGTTAATATTAAATTTTTAAAAATATGATTAGTTTGTTCTTAATTGACATGTGTGATCATGATGAAGCCAGCTCACAAGTGTACATTATTACATGTGAATGACAATGTTTGTTCTTCATTGCCTTGTGTGATCATGATGAAGCCAGCCCTACTAGTGTACATTATTACATGTAAATGACAATGTTTATTCTTCATTGCCTTGTGTGATCATGATGAAGCCAGCCCTACTAGTGTACATTATTACATGTCAATGACAATGTGTGTTCTTCAATACCTTGTGTTATCATGATGAAGTCAGCTCACTAGTATACATTATAACATGTCAATGACAATGTGTGTTCTTCATTGCCTTGTGTGATCATGATGAAGCCAGCCCTTCTATGTACATCATTACATGTTAATGACAATGTTTGTTCTTCATTGCCTTGTGTGATCATGATGAAGCCAGCCCTACAAGGTTCATTATTAAATGTGAATGACAATGTTTGTTCTTCATTACCTTGTGTGATCATGATGAAGCCAGCTCACTAGTATACATTATAACATGTCAATGACAATGTGTGTTCTTCATTGCCTTGTGTTATCATGATGAAGCCAGCTCACGAGTGTACATTATTACATGTCAATGACAATGTGTGTTCTTCATTGCCTTGTGTTATCATGATGAAGCCAGCTCACTAGTGTACATCATTACATGTCAATGACAATGTGTGTTCTTCATTGCCTTGTGTTATCATGATGTAACCAGCCCTACTAGTGTACATTATTACATGTCAATGACAATGTTTGTTCTTCATTATCTTGTGTTATCATGATGAAGTCAGTTCACTAGGGTACATTATAACATGTAAATGACAATGTTTATTCTTCATTGCCTTGTGTGATCATGATGAAGCCAGCTCCCTAGTGTACATTATTACATGTAAATGACAATGTTTATTCTTCATTGCCTTGTGTGATCATGATGAAGCCAGCTCCCTAGTGTACATTATTACATGTCAATGACAATGTTTGTTCTTCATTGCCTTGTGTGATCATGATGAAGCCAGCTCACTAGTGTACATTATTACTTGTCAATGAGAATGTGTGTTCTTCATTGCCTTGTGTGATCATGATGAAGCCAGCCCTACTAGTGTACATCATTTCATGTCAATGACAATGTGTGTTCTTCATTGCCTTGTGTGATCATGATGAAGCCAGCTCACTAGTGTACATTATTACATGTGAATGACAATGTGTGTTCTTCATTGCCTTGTGTTATCATGATGAAGCCAGCCCTACTAGTGTACATCATTTCATGTCAATGACAATGTGTGTTCTTCATTGCCTTGTGTGATCATGATGAAGCTAGCCCTACTAGTGTACATTATTACATATTAATGACAATGTGTGTTCTTCATTGCCTTGTGTTATCTTGATGAAACCAGCCCTACTAGTGTACATTATTACATGTCAATGACTGTTTATTCTTCATTGCCTTGTGTGATCATGATGAAGCCAGCCCTACTAGTGTACATCATTACATGTTAATGACAAACATTGACTCCAAGATGATTTTATCTCTTACCTGTTAGCTTTACAATCATCTATTAACTGCTTCTGAAGGCATCTTGAATTTAAAATCAACACTAAAATTACATATTCATGAAGAAATATCATTTGTCCACCCATGTGTAATATGAATTTTTCAATCTCTCAAATAATTTACTTGAAGAATCTGCATTAGCTATGATGTCTTTTGTAAGTTCTAGCCAAAGTAGTTGCTATTTTTAATGTTTCATTGCAAGCAAAATCATATATTTCATAATGCAAAGTACAATTAACTTCTTCTTTATTGTATATTTTCCTCTGATTTGTCTCAAATATTACAAGTTTAGTAAAGGCAGCCAGGCCTATATTGCATATCATATAAGGAAAACATTCATGGCTATAAATAAGAACAACACTGGCAATTACTTTTGGAAGGTGCTTTGTTTTATAAAGAAAATTAAAAGAAAAACTTTGGTGGTATTACCCCTTAAACAGTAGCCATGTTGGTTGATCATCAAGAAGGTAAGGATAAAATTTGAAACAACACACCCAGATGATGATTGCGACCCTAATTTAGTAAAATTGGCCAAGTGCTTTCCAAGTATTTTGGGGCAACCCTAATGTCACTGGCTGGATAGCTATATTCCATACCCTTCTGCTACCTATCTATATTTTGTGAGAGCACAAAACATTGTGAAATGAGGTGTTCATTATTTAGATCATATCCATGACTAGCTCAAGTATTTTAAATATTTATTGATAATATATGCTCAGATATCAAATTTACAAAATGATATATGTGTCTATTATTATTTGTAAAGAAAATGATTTCATAAAAAAAAACACAAGTAGGAGAAAAAAGTTATGATGTATGGACCTGTCTGTTATATCCAAAATTTCATTGACAAAGGGAAATAGTTTAAATCACAATAATGCCTATCAATAAATGTGGTTTTTTTTTAATACGTTTAGACGCTAAGTGTAGATATGAATTGTAATTTGAAAGCAATCTTTACCCACTTAGTGCTCCCAAGCACTTTGTTATACAAAGTTTACAGAAGGGCAACAAATGCCTAGTAATGTAAATAGCTCACACTGCTGGCACTTTATGTCAGTTTAGCTAAGGAAGATTTTAGGGACAATTCTTAAACTTGTTTGCTTTAACACTTTTACCATGTGAACTAAATATTGACTTTTATCACTAATTCTCCATCTTTTTATAAAGGACTATATCCAGATCTCTTTATTCTAAAATCAATCTATGAAACAGTTTGCATGTATTTTCTAACAGGGTCCTTTATAAAGCAATGTTCAGATAGCTATCCTTGGAATAGATTAGACTGATACCCAAATTACTTATTTCATAGAGGGCCATCATTTATCTCTGTTTTAAGATTCAGTGCTGTGAAAATGAATATAACACTTTATTGATTTGGTGCAGTCGAAGTGCTTTTCTTGGCTGACCATCATCAGGAACACTCAAAAAGCAAAAGATGAATAAATACTCCTGGAGCTTTAAGATAGAAAGACCTAAAAGGAATAGCCAAAACCATTTGAGGTAAACTTTGCCTGAGGAAGTTGGATCCTTTCTAAATTTAAAAACAGAATTTAAGAAATGTGTGTTATAAATTGTATCTGTAGGGAAGCCTTTGACTACTGAGCTGATACCCTCAGGGACTTGCATTCCACCAGCAGTGGTATCATCCCAATGCTAACACTTTAAATAAGGACAACCTTGCCTTAGGAAGTTGGGACCATAGTTTCCATATGATTTATATAAAAAAGGACCTCAATTACCACACACTTGATGGCAATTTTTCCGAAAAAAATTATTTCATTCTCATCCTGTGAACCAACACCTGAAGTGGTAACTGTGTGGTAGAGTAAACTTCAGTTACATACCTTAGGTTCACAGTTGTCTTCACCAGAGTTATAAACAATTCATCATTCAAAGACAGCAAGTGACAGCTTCAATTAAAGCATGCTTATTTTGTCTATTCTGGGTAATAAACAAGAAATAATGTTGTCTTTAAATGATGAATTGTTTATAATCCTAGAATGGCAACTGTAAATACTTTAAATATCCACCTAAAATTTACTCTCACACAAAATTACTACATTAGGTGATGGTTCACCCTGGGATTAATATCCTTTGGTCCAAGGTTCACATCATAAAATTATAATTTCAAAATAGTTACCAACATGTTATTTATATGTCCTAGCCAATATAAAAACAATGCCCAAAAGCATACGTTATTTTGAAACTAAGACCAAAATTGCAAATTAAGTAGAAGGCCTCATCAAAGATAATACAGACAATACAACAACTACACTTCTACTTGAAGAGCAATCTTAGATTATAAATTTATTAAATTTACTGGACAAACTAGGGTTGAAATTGTAACACCACTACTTCTTCCATGAACACAGTCTACAAATATCTTATTCATGAATTAAATCAAAACACGGTAAGTTTAATAATTTATTAATGTATATATAAAGAGAAACATTTTATCAACATCTTATATATTTATCTCCTTCTACTCTTTATGTAAGGATTGTGTCTTTTCTTCATTATCTCTTTTCTTTCCTTCAAATGACTAGGTAGCTAGTATAGTGATATTAAGCAATATTGTATTAAGAACAGAAAGCTAATTTTGACCATGCAAAATATAACACCACATTCTGCTTTTTTGCATCATCTAAATTGTTGATTTAAATTTCTATAAATGAAGGCTGTGCAAAATTAAACAAAAAATATAACATCAATAGAAATAAATTTACTTCTTTATTTCAAGAAAATTTCATCATCATCATTAAAAATATTAAGGTTTTCACATTTGTTTGGTGTTGGTGACATAACAGGTGATAATCTTAAATTGCCTGAAGTCTTTTTTATAACACTATTTTGCTTAGGTGTGCATGGCACAGTCTGTTCAAGCAGTGGTGTTCCTGGACTATCAATTGGCCTTGGAATCTGTTCTGAACTTGTAATGGTATGCTTCCTTGCTGAAAAAGAGATTAGTGAAGTAAAGAGGGAAGAGTTAATAATAAACATAAACTTCCAGAAAATGTAAGTCACATCTGACCTACACTATATGCTTTATTGACTTATTAAATTCAACATTTGAGTTCAGTTTGTAAATAGTGACCTAAATACATTTAATTTGGTGTAAGGGTGCATTTAATGATTTAACAGAGTATTAAACATTCTTCTGAGAAAAGTGGTCTCATCGTCCTATATTTTAGGCTTCAGTCATTTTCATTAATTTTAACATCTAAGTTCATATCTCAGACACTTAATTCTCACATTTTGTACTTTTTCCACTTTTGATAACTAATTTTATAATAACAGCAATTTTGGGGAGGAGGAGTTATTTGTAATAGTAGATTACCAATTTGTTTTTCTTAAGTTATCTCATAATCAATAAAATGATGATGAAAAACAGACAGATAGCATACACATTGAATCACAAGCCCATTGCTTTTACATTCTCACAGCTATGTTAGAAAATCAACAGTCATTCAGTTTTTTTAATACAGTCATTGAACATTTATGTTTTACAAAAACAAAAAATTTAATAATTTTATCACTTACAGGAAATATAATTCTCCTTTAAAACAAACTATAATATGTACTCATATTTCTATCCTAAATGCAGAGAACTCAGTCAAATCAAAATTAGCCATTATTAGCTTCTTTTATCAAATTTGGACCAAATATAATTTATAGTACAATGAACAATGTAGTTGCACTTGAAAAATCTGTATATGTGTTGTTAAAAACATGAGTTATTTCCCCTGCATTTACAAAAACTTTACACACTAGTAACTATTGGTAATATTTGTTGAGAAGTTTAAGCCTATATAAATTACCTGATCTAAGCAGAACAATTTCAAGCAAAGGTGTTTCATGATGGTGTGATCTCCTGTTCAAATTTACTGGTATGGAAGGTGTAAGAAAACTGTGAACAGTTGACTGAATGACTGGTGTTCCTGGAACATTTGCTTCTTGGCTGTCTGAAAATACATGTATTTATATAACTTAAAGAAAATGTGAGCTTTGATTACTAACAAAATTGATAAACCAATAACTTGAAGATGCTATAGTGGATCATATCTAGAAAAAGAGAGGCGAAATACCAAAGGGACATTCAAACTCATAAGTCAAAAATAAACTGACAATGCCATGGCTAAAAAAGAAAGAGACCAACAGACAAACAACAGTACACAAAACATAACATAGAAAACTAAAGACTGAGCAACACGAACCCCACCAAAAACTGGGGGTGATCTCAGGTGCTCCAGAAGGGTAAGCAGATCCTGCTCCACATGTGGCACCCAGTCTTCACAAAAACATTTTAGCATACTCCAATTACCTGCCTGAAAATCAGTTTTTCACAACTTACTTCTGACCCTATATTAAATATATTAGGGGTTTGGGCCTTTGTGCTTGTGGTTAATTGTTAAGACTGGCAAGCAACTTACATTTTCTTTTTTTTTTATTTAAATTTAGTTCTTTTTAACAGTATTTTTACATTAAATTGTGAAATAACTTTACAGATCATTTAACTAACTGAAAATAATGTCTCACATACATGTATACCACTATGTAATTAAGCCTATGAATCCTGGCTTTTGTAATACCCAGGTAATTTTTGTAGCAGTGAATCTGTAAAGTAATACTTGTACCTTGGCTTCTTTGACTTGAACCAAAATCACTGTAATCTGGAACTGTAGCAAATGGTGAGTCATAAGTACTTCTGTCTCTCAGTTCATGGAATATTGGTGGTGTCTGTGGAACAGATTGTTCTTGTGATCCTTCAAGCCAATACATTGTTACTGGTGAACATCATTTTTTAAATGGAACAAGACCCTGCAATTGAATAACTTTTAAGTAAGTTATTTTGCTAGTCAACTTAATTTGGGAAAGTTGGTTGGTAATTTGATTGCTCCATTTTAATAGAGGTACCAACAAGTGAGTTTTTATACACCCATCAAAATCAGATTATTTATGGTTTAGTACTGTTTTTCTCTTAAAACACATCTCGGAGCCTAGGTGGCCGAGTGGTCCGAGTAGTCGAACTACTGTATCACTAGCCTGTGAACACTGAGGTTTTGAGTTTGAATCTTGACGGACAGGTGTGCCTGACTCCAATCTTAATTGAGGATCATAATGGGGGTACCTTCATGACGAATAACGGTAAAAAATCATGCCAAGTGACGTGAACGTTAATTTTTGGTGCATGGCGATAAAATGTAAACTTTCTTTGACGATAAAAAAATCGACTGATTTTGACGAATCACGTTAACTTCTTTCCAAAAAATAACGGTAACGGTTAATCATTTGAGACCTCTAACGAATCACGATAAGGATATTTTGACGAATCAAGATAAAATTTAAACCAATTTGACGTTAACGGTAGTCAAAAAATGACCGTTTGATGCCTGACAGAAAGGGCATTCCTACCCTCTTAATTGACTAGGATTGTCAGTTTTCCTACTGAAGGTCTGTGGTTCTCTCTGGGCACTCCTGCTTATTCCACCAATAAAAACTGACCGCAATGAAATAGCACAATAGTGCTGAAAGTGGCATTACACCAATCAATCTTAAAACACATCTCACAATAACTGGCTACTTAAATAAATCTTTGTCAAATTTGATTGGTTCCATGAAGGCAAAGAAAGCCCTTTTCAATACTGATAATTTTCAAAATTTTGTCTCATAGTTATCTGGAACTTCTTAAAATATCTCATGATAACAACAAATTCTTTAGAACAGAGAATTTGTCCACTTTGCAAGGATGGAATTGAAGATGAATTCCATTTCCTCATTAAATGTAAAGCGTTAGAATTTAATAGAAATATACTCTTTTGTAATTTAAGTGATATAGTTCCATCTTTTGTTAATATGTCTGAACAAGATAAATTTAGTTTCATTTTGAAAAGTAATGATACTGACATTTGTACTGTATGTGTAGCTGGAATAAGCGATATGTATGATTCGAACATTCATTTAAAGCAAACATAATGTTGTTAAGAACTGTTGTAGTATTAAAGCTTATTGTAATAACTTGAAGTGATAATATCGTATGAATAACACCTCTACGCAATGTAGATATAAAATATGTGTCTCTTATCATTGAGAAAACATATCTCTGTATATTTGTTTTTTTTTTGTTTATTTTTGTCTGTTTTTGTATTTGAATTTTGTAAATGTCAGCTGGTATCATTCCTGTATTGGAATTTACACCAATAAAATTATTTGATTTGAATTGATTTGATTTGATAATTCAAGTTTGCCTCAACCTTCATATACATTTCCTCATGAGTGTTACATGACTTTGATAAATAAATTTTAAAAATCATGAGCATATATAAACGTTATCAGGATAACTCTAGTATCTTTTAACGGATCTTCACCAAGAGTGAAGAATAGCATGATTTCATCTCAGCATGTGTACATAGTTTGCCTTTTTATTGTTTTCATTCTTTTGGCCATGTAGTTGTCTTATTTTTTATCATCTTATGGTTTCAAATTGTCCCCTTGGTATCTTCTCAACCTTGTGACATGCTCATGTGCTCATCTCATGTCAGGAACCTTGTCAATGTTTTTTTTAAATTACTTTTTAATGTTAATATAAGGTCTAAATATTTCCAGATAAAAATGTATTGTCATTTGAAGAATTGGATGTTGATGGAACCCCTAATTGCCCTGTCAGTGGAAATTAAATATGACATTTTTTGGTGTAGCTTTAAGCACTTCTGGTCTGTCAGCAGTAGTTCTTATTCAATAGAATCATATGCATGTCTTAGTTTTACTAACCCAAACAATTGTTAAAAACAATGAAAAAAGCAATAGTCCGTAAAATAAAACCATTAACGGTGTATAAATCAAGATTGTTTCTTCAACTGAAAAACCAGACAAGAATGTCAGCAATAATGCTGAATATAAAGAAGCTAAAATTCCAGTTAACATTGCTTTGTTTCGAATACATTTGAACTATTTGTTTACCTTTGGAGCACGTGTTCAGAGTTCGTCTGCAAGTTTTGTTGTCCAATCAAGAATACGTTTAGATCCTTTGATAAAAAATTGCCCAATGAGAGAAGGTTATCTAAACTGATGACGGCAATAAATCATACTACTCGAACAGAGTCAGAGGTGTCCTGTTCAACTTTTTCTTCTTCTAAATATTGGGATACAGGATCTGCACACCAAACACACATTTGTCATAGCAGTATATCAATTTTTTCTAAAGTTTATGTCCCATTTTTATCTCTTTATTTAAGTAAAATTGCGAAGTTCGGTGTGCTTGATTATTTGTGCATGACCTTACCTACCATTTTTTTTAGTAAAAATAGGTATAAAATATTGAGAAATACAACGATTGCAGAATAATGTTGTTCTTTTTAAGGACCATTTTATGCTCTTAACAGGCAGTTTCAATCAGTTTTCTGAGAACCAAACATAATCACTGCTACTCAATTTGAAAACAATCGGTACATGCAACAGAAAACAGTTTAGGGAGCTGCCATTTGATTTTTATTGGGGGGGGGGGGGGGGGGGGGGGGCTAGGATGAAATTTGAAAAAAAGGCAGGACAGAAATTTTGAGTAAAAAAAAAGGCAGGATGACAATTTGTGTAAAAAAAGTCAGGATAAACTAATAACAAAAAAAGGCAGGACCGAATAGAGTGAAAAATAAAAAGGCAGGACAGAGATTACAACTAAAAATTAAATGCAGGACAAATTTTTCATCCTAGCCCCCCCATAAAAATCAAATGGTAGCTCCCTTACCCTACCATGCAAAACATAATCATAACCATCCAAGGTATCTCCAAACTACTTTTAAATTTAAACCCATGAAAGGCAAGTGGACCAGACAAACTAAGCCACACGTCCCAAAGGAGTTAGCACATTAAATATCACCTATTCTATGCCTAACATACCAGAAATCATTGACACTGGCAAAATCCCCATGCACATATGTCCCCTATTTTCAAGAAAGGGTCCAAATATAATCCAGAGAATTATAGACCTATTTCTTTAACATGCATATGTTGCAAAATTATGGACAATGTTGTAGTTAACGCAATCATGACACATGCAGACAACCATAACATCCTGTATCCTCTTCAACATGACTTTCGAAAAAAAAAAGATCTTGTGAAACTCAGCTTTTGGTATTTATAGATGCAGATGACACTAAAAATATATTGAAAATTCAAAACAAACAGATGTACTCTTAATGGACTTTTCTAAAGCCTTCGATAAAGTCCGTCATAACTTATTAACTCACAAACTAAATCACTATGGGATGCAGGGGCTTCTTATCATGTCGTACCCAAGCTGTCATCCTAGAGGGTGAGAATTTAGGCTATGTCCCTGTGAAGTCAGGAGTGCCTCAAGGATCTGTTCTTAAGGCCCAAGTCTGTTTTTGTTTCACATCAAAGACATACCAGTTGGCTTAAATTGTACCATACGCCTATTTGCAGATGACATCATTGCTTATCTGGTAATAAAATCTAACAGCGATTGTGAAACCCTTCAAAAAGAATTGATACACTAGGTATTTATGAACACACATGGGAAATGGCTTTTCATCCTGACAAGTGTATTAATGTTATGTCCATCAGCAGAAATAAAAAATCCATTCATATACAATTACACTCTACATGGCCACATTCTTGAACATGTTGACAAAGCAAAATACCTAGGCGTGACAATTCAATCAGACCTAAAATGGCACAGTCACATAAACACCATCTGTAATAACCTGGCTAACAGCACACTCTAGGTTTTCTCAGAAGGAATCTAAAACATCAGTTCCACCTCGTTAAAAGAACAGGCATATAAATCTTTAGTCAGACCATCACTAGACTATGCCTGTTCAGTCTGGGACCATAACTTTATTGAGGATATAGACGAAATAGAAAAAGTACAAAGAAGGGCTGCTAGATTTGTCACTAAACGAAACAGATAGAAACAACTTAAGTGTTAGTGACATGATTTAATCACCTAAAATGGTGAGACCTTGCACACAGAAGAACAGACACAAAACTTGTCATGTTTTATAAAATTTCATATCAACTCATTGCAATCACAAAAACACACAGACTAATACAACCGCTCAGTTAGTCCCGGAACATGCACACATGCACTCTCATTCCAAATTCCATCCTGCAGAACACATATACGCCAACAACCATTTTTATACGACCTTTTTGCGGTCGTATATTGGTATGACGTTGGCGTCGTCGTCCTCGTCATCCGAAGACACATTGGTTTTTGCACTATAACTTTAGTTTAAGTGAATGGATCTCTATGCAATTTTACCATAAGGTTGAATACCACAAAAGGAAGGTTGGGATTGATTTTGGGGGTTATGGTACCAACAGTTAAGGAATTAGGGGCCAAAAATAAGGATTTTCTAGTTTCCAGACAATAACTTGTGGAAAGGTGTATGGATCTTTCTGAAATTATACCACAAGTTTCCATACCACAAAGGGATGGTTAGGATTTGCTTTGGGGGGTTATGGCTCAAACTGTCGAGGAATTGGGGGCAAAAAAAGGGGAAAAACAAGGTTGTCCTGGTTAATGGACAAATACTATAGTACAAAACATAATTTAAAGCAGTGTAAGGGAGATAAATCAAATACATCATTTGAATTACCTCCCTTACACTGCTTTTAAATTATGTATAAAGTAATGGTAAATGAACAATTAAGACAATTTTAAATAGTGTAAGGGAGGTAATCCAAATACAATGTTTTGATTACTTCCCTTACACTGCTTTTAAATTATGTTTTAAGAAATGCATATTTATAAAGGAAGACCAGTAAAAATATCTGCAAATTATGCATCTTTTTTTTTTTTACAAAAAAATCCATATGAAAGATTTGACACCATATTTTAAATTCTATTATAAAATAGATTTAGTTAGCTCTATGGTAAATTTAAATGGGTAATTATGGTTGCAAATTCCATTGGAAATTTGAATTGAGATTTTGACCATATCTTGAGGGAAAGAATTTTTTTGGGGGAGAAAGGAGGGGGGGGGGGGGTAAAAAGAAATTGTGGGGGGTCAATTTTTTCTCATTTCAGATTTCAGAAATTAAAAAGTATTATTCTTCAAATTTTTTTTTTTTTTTCAAATTTCAAATATTGAAAAATTTCAAGAAGTAATCTTTAATTGCACAGTATGGCGCATTAGATTTGTAAAATCTTTGACCACATTTATTTATTTGTTATGCCGAATCTGACCGTGTATTTAGATTTTTAATTTTGGGTCCAGTTTTCAAATTGGTCTACATTAAGGTCCAAAGGGTCCAAAATTAAAGTTAGTTTGATTTTAACAAAAATTGAATATATGGGGTTCTTTGATATGCTGAATCTAACCATGTATTTAGATTTTTTTATTTGTGGGCCACGCTATCAAATTGGTTCATATTGAGGTCAAAAGGGTCCAAAATTAAACTTTTGTTTGATTTCATCAAAAATTGAATTATTGGGGTTCTTTGATATGCTGAATCTAACCATGTATTTAGATTTTTTATTCGTGGGCCCTGCTATCAAATTGGTTCATATTGAGGTCAAAAGGGTCCAAAATTAAACTTTGTTTTATTTCATCAAAAATTGAATTATTGGGGTTCTTTGATATGCCAAATCTAACCGTGGATTTAGATTTTTTAATTTTGGGTCCCGTTTTTTAAATTGGTCTACATTAAGGTCCAAAGGGTCCAAAATTAAACTTAGTTTGATTTTAACAAAAATTGAATTCTTGGGGTTCTTTGATATGCTGAATCTAAACATGTGTTTAGATTTTTGATTATGGGCCCAGTTTTCAAGTTGGTCCAAGTTTGGGTCCAAAATTAAACTTTGTTTGATTTCAACAAAAATTGAATATATGGGGTTCTTTGATATGCTGAATCTAACCATGTATTTTGATTTTTGGGCCCCTTTATCAAATTGGTCCACATTGAGGTCAAAAGGGTCCAAAATTAAACTTTGTTTGATTTCATCAAAAATTGAATTCTTTGGATTCTTTGATATGCTGAATCTAACCATGTATTTAGATTTTGGATATTGGACCATAATAGGTAAATTAAAAAAAATTTAAGTTCTTAGACCACATTCATTCTGTGTCAGAAACCTATGCTGTGTCAAATATCTAATCACAATCCAAATTCAGAGCTGTATCAAGCTTGCATGTTGTGTCCATACTTGCCCCAACTGTTGCAGGGTTCGACCTCTGTGGTCGTATCAAGCTGCGCCCAGCGGAGCATTTTATTTCCACATACAATTAAATACTGGAACAGCCTTCCTCTGAGTATTGTGATGAGCGACTCTGTAGAGTCGTTCAAAGCAGCTGTCTCAACCTACACCTACAGTCAGTAAATTTATCATGTGTAATTATAGATTATAACATGCCCTTTTCCATATTGGCCCTGGTATCATCCCAAGACTCCCATATCAGCCCGAGGCTTTAGCCAAGGGCAGATATGGGTCGAGGGATGATACCAGGGCCAATATGGAAAAGACATGTTATAATCTATTTATCACATATCTAAGTTCTATAGAAAAGAGAAAAACGTTCAATTATAACTATTTAATTAACCACAACAGGTAAAATCTGAAAAGATTTATCACATTTTCCATTAATTTTTAATATTTACTGCATACAAATTTATTGTAACATTCCCCTTAATTTTGAATATGGTAATACACAAAAGCGAGAATTTGTCATAACTTGACCTAAATCGATAATAGTTGGTTGGACATTGTTATTAGTGGCCATTGTAGCATAATTCTCATAATTTTCAATACAAACAGTCATTGTTCACCATTGTCGTTAAGGACACAATGACATCACGTCATTTGGAACCGGGGCACAATAACCAATAACCACTTTTTTGCCACAGGCAGCAATATGAGTAGGACAAATGTGCGGTTATTACATATGCAAACCCAATGTTTTCATAACAAATATGTGATAAATAGTTTTATCTTGTAAAAAAAAAAAGTGCACTGTATATACGTTTCCACTAAGCCATACGTAGTACAAGTGACATAAACTTCAACGTGTTGAAGGCGGTCACTACGAAGTAGAAGTAGAAGTAAAGTAATAGTAGGATGAGCTCCAGAATACTATTGATATTGGCTGTTTGATTTTGTTTCTTCTTGTCATACTAGTTTTCAGCAGTCACATCAAACAGATATACCAATTTGCGAAAATATTTATTCTTCTTTTAGGTGTAATGAGATACAAATTTTCAGGAAATCATATGCTCCTTTTTTGGTGTATATATTTTAATTTTTGTTCAAGGATAAGCAAGTTGAGAAATGCTGAACATCTAATGAACCAAATCAAAACATATTCTAAAAGCAGACCAAAATCTGTTGCTATACAGGAAAAAGATGACACCATATTCGATGCATCTGAATCTGAAAGTGATGAAGGTAAGGCCAAACTAGTTTACCTTTGTGTGTCTAACCCAAGTAAGAAACTTTATCGTTGGTTCTCTTAAGGTTATCTTAGTATGAATGAAAGAAATGTTTGATATGTGTTAATGAGAAAGCTAACCAAGGACCTTAAAAACCTAAAGACATCTGAAGGTCAATATACAGTCCTCAACAATAAAATTTAAAAAAATGTATACATGTTATACATGAGTGCAGGTTTTTCTTGCTGTGTTGGACCCATTGGTGGCCTTGGGCTGTTTTCTGCTCTTTGGTCGGGTTGTTGTCTCTTTGACACATTCCCCGTTTCCATTCTCAATTTTACAATATGTCCTGCAGTAATTTCCCTGAGTAATAGTTGTGAAAATGTAAGTTTTTCTCATTTTCTTTTTGTGTCATATTTGGTTTGATTACCAATGAGACAACTATCCACCAGGGCTCAAATAAAAAATAAAAGCAATTATAAGTCACCATATGGCCTTCAACAATGAGGAAAAACCCATACCATATAGTCAGCTATATATGGCCCCAACATGAAAAATGTGAAACAATTCAAGCGAGAAAACTTACAGCCTAATTAATACGTAACAAAATAAGAAAAAAACAAATGACACATGAACCAACCACAACCACTGATTTATAGGCTCTTGAATTGGGACTGGCACATAAAGAATGTGACGGGTTAAACATGTTTGTGGGCGCTCTACCTTCCCCTGACCTGGGACAGTGATGTTGCAGCGCAATATAAGATCAAATTGTAAAGATCAGTTGCAAATGGCTTAACTCAATAGATTGGTACAAAGCATAAAAAACATCTAACTTAAAAACAATAGACACAAAGCACATATAAGAGTACTTGCAGATAATGGAAGCTAGTTCAGAATCAACTAATAAATAAATCATGTTTTACCAGACTAAAGTATCTATTAGAACACATCCAACGGATTTAGTGTAAAGATGTCATAAACAGTCTGAGAAAAGCATGACCTTGTGCTATGTCAAAATAATAGTAAAGAGTATCGACAGGGTGTAATATTTTCCCCTTAAAGCAGATGGAAAATTTGAATTGAAAATTCACCACACCTCTCTCACAATTGAATGCTTGTCCCTTTTAAGTATAAAATCAATGTTCTTGTTTGTAAGGATCATTGTATTGCATATGCAACACCATCAGATTGCTTGTATTTTTCAATTTTGATGGATTGTGACATTATCTTAAATTTAAACAGATTGCAATGATGATGTAGAGATTCAAAGAATTAATCAGCCTAGAAGGTAAGTTTAAGAGCTTCTGTGCGTACTGGTGAGTCCCAATGGTCTCAAAAAATATATTTGATGGAAAGTAAACATTAAAGATGCATTAGCTGTCAATTACATGTTCACTGATTCCACTCAATTTCTCATATTTGATTTATATTGTAAAACGAATATCCAAAATACAAAAAGTCCAAAGGAAACAATTAACAATGCATGTACTCGTTATAATGTATCAACATATATACATATTTAAGACTAGATGCCATCCAAATAACCCTCCATGTTTGACATCATTTCAATGCTCACAACAAATGCTTCAGGAATAAGTTTCAAGTATGCTTAAAAGCATGAAATCAAAGGAATCTTAACAGAAACAGCCAAAAACATTTAAGGTAAACTTTGCCTGAGGGAGGTGAAAAACTTTCAACAGAATATAGAACAAGGAAATGACTGTTTTGTAGAAACCACTGATATTAAAGCTTGCTTTTTAAAGAATTAACACAGAATTGTTGCCAGTGTCACCGGATATATTTATCCATTTTGTTCATTATAAAGCATTTCATATTATTTGTGTTTTCAGTGTTGTATGTTTCCCATTCATATCATATTCATATTTCATATTCTTGATTCTTGACGATTGACGAAAATAGTTTTGCGCTGCGTATTTTGAAATAAACTATAGCTTTGTACGCTATGTTTTGCTTTGCGTACCGAATATTTAAATTAGTACAATAGAAAGGTAAAGCGATTCTTTATTATTATTTAAATGATATATATTTATATTCAAATAGCATGAGTTATGCATGAGCTCAAAGCGCGGCAATACTAACCATATATATATTAATACAATTTCACTTTTCGAGTTAGTCACTGGTCATTATTACAATCGGGGAGGCGGCAGACTAAAGTCACCGCTGCAGGTACTTGTAAATTTATTTATCCTTTTAGCTATGTTTAAAATGTTTCAATTAAAGTAAAGTTACTTTAGTATTTCATATATAGAATTCAGTATGGCTTGAAAGCCGCATTTTGGTATGTAAGTTAAAGTCAGAATAAAGCTCCGTTGCATGCAAATATTTCAGTCATATATATTGTTCATATTTATTGGAACATAATTGTAAACTTGGTTTACAATTTGTTTACTTGCAGATTATATAATAAAGTATATATAAATTGGACGACTCATTTAATGCAGAAATGGCCCACACGCATTACCACGACAAGTTTATGGGTTTATGGTGACTTATTCCTTATCCCAAGTCGATGTATTATTGGTGTCCCATTTTTCCTGCGACACCAGTTGTATGTAAAGCAAATAAATTATCAGTTTATTCTGACAAAATTTTCAAGTTTTATAAGTATAATCTAGATGTCTCAGGAGACTACAACTTCTTGTTTGATATCCATCTCTATGTGTTAGTCTAGTACAGAAATAAAGTACTCATCCTGAAGTAAACAATCATCCTTAAAAGATAAAGAATCCATCATCCCTTTTGTTTTTATAATTGCAGAGTAATTGTGCCTAGATGAGATTCTAATATTGTTATTGTGTTTACAGACGATCTCCACTAATTGGCGGAAGCATAATGAGACCAGTAAAAACAGCACAATGTAATCGAAGAAATTTGGTAAGCTCTTATAATGTTATTTTAAAATTTTTGCTTTCTATTGGAGTTTTTGTCATTTCGGGATACTTGTTTCTACATGCTTAAGAAAATGTATTGAAAAAATTTACACCTTTGTATTTTGAAGTGAAAATCTGTGTAGATCAATGAAAACACACAATGTTATAGATCTTATTCATTCTGGAAATAATCAAGTTATTCATAAGTTTCTTTATAAAAAACACCACACATTACAATGAGTATACTGTAGAAAAAGAAAACCACATACAATAAATGCAAAATTTAACTTTGTGGTTTTTTAGAAGTCCACAAAGAAAGCTGGACACCAGTCAACTCCATTGAAGAGGAACTCATTAGAAATGCCACAACATGGTGTAAAGAGAACAATGAAAAACAGTGCAAATATAAAGCAAATGGATATATCAAAGGACAAAGGGAAATTGAGTAAAACTCAGAAAGAAAGAAAGAAGACAAAATTTTCCTGGTCCGGAAGTGATGAAAGTATTGAACTTCTGCGCAAGGATGAAGGAATGACATGTATGTTAATGCCCATATTGATATTTGTTCAGATAACTACTTGAAACATAATGTACTTTTTAGGTTTCATGTCTGTCGATGCCACGGTTTGTTTAATTATATCTCCAAAACATTGTATGCAGGGAGAAATATTGTTGATGTACTGCCCATCTGTCTGAAAGCAGATTGAAAGAAACCAACAAAATACATGATTAATTTCAAATTTGACCTAGTCCTTATCTGCTAATTTGTGAAGGTTAAGACATTTTCTTTGAGCAAAACAGTATAGACTTGATCATTTCTTCACATAGGGAAATTTGCTGCACTTTACATTGGAATTGAATGAAACTTGATATTTGTGCTTATCCCCAGCTTGGTATATTTCTCTGATTTCGATTGGCTAATGCCATGTCTTTAAAAAAAACCATAACCCTAGGCATTGATACCTAATTACCCTTGGGAACTTCACACGTGTTTCTATGCTGAAGTCATCCATATGGAAAATTGTAGGAAAAAAAAGTGTTGGAGGATGATTTCTAGACAAAAGGTGTAAAAAGATTGAAAAATTAAATTCTGTAAATTATCTACAATGTCTGTAATTAAATATATAATCCACTCATGATTTTATCCTATTATGCCAATCATTTGCATTCATTTTAGTAAATCCAACACTTCTCTTTAGTTTTTTGTCAGAACGATTTTCTTGGTTTTTTAATGGCAAACTCATGTTTTTTTCTTCCTTAAAATCTTTGTTCTTTGTAACTTACCATAAACAAAAGAAAAAGGAGGGAGTTGCATCAACAACAAATTTAACAGTAATTATAGTCCTTCCTGTTTGTGCACTGTAGATATTATTTTTCAGGGCAGCAAAAAATTTCATTCCTATTACCAAAAATGCATCAAGAATATGTCAGTGAAGTTCCAGACATTTACAAAGGTATAAATGAAAGATTCTTTATATTATTTTGTACTTTGTTCATAATAATACATAAACGCACAAATATTTTGTTGAATATTTATAGTCAATAAAAATAGTCAGAAGCTGTATTTATTAAAAAATGACATTGATAGCTAAACATACAGGTTAAAGGTATTCAGTTTTACTGTGCAAACCTCTTTTTCTATATGCCTAGTATTAATGCTTAACATAGTTTTTGATCATTCTTTCACACTGCATTTATAAAAAAAATTCAATTTTTCACTCCATGTTTACTTTCTTCAGTACTGAAAATGTTATGCATTGGTATGTCCATATATGTGTTGTAGAATTTGTCAACAATAATTTGTTTTAATTTAAATTATAATCTGTTACACAGGAAAAAAAGAAGAGATGAACAGACTGTTGGTTAATGTTAGTGCTGAAGAAATTACTGAAAATCCTGAAACATTTGATGACATTGATGATGATGACAGCGATGAAGAAGAAGAGGATGATGAGAATGAATATACCTATACTTACACCTGGGTGACTGAATCTGCTACTCAAACAGTGCAATCAACTGTACCCAGTTCGAAGAAAACGAGTAAAACAGCAAATTCCATACAACCATATACAGAAAATACCAGTATCACTCATATTGAAGCAAACAGTACTGGCACATCTACTCTGAAAAAAATTGTTGAAAATAATGGGAGATCCAGAACAGGAAAGCTAAAATTACCTGGTTAGTACCTGTATATTTTCTGTTTTTAAGAAGTACCTGTATTTATAGAAGAATAATGTTATGCCTTTTCTCACCTCATTTATTTGAAAACTATCAAGGAAAGAAAAATTTTGCTGAAAAATTCAAAAACTTATTTTTATAGTTTGTTCTTATGTTATAATGTAACACCACTGTCCCTGGTTAGAAGGTGGATTGAGCACTCACAACATGTTTAACCCACCACATTCTTTACACAGACATGATCTGTCCCCAAATTTGTATGTTGAGGCCCCCCCCCCCCCCCACTTGGTTGCTATCAGTCATAAATTTTTGTTTAACTTAAGCTTGAATCTGTCGGTTGGTTTTTTTTCTTTTCAAGTTTTAGTTATCCCAAGAGCCTTTCATGGCTTTCTATACGGTATTAGTTTTACTTATTGTTTTGAGGGCTGTACAGTAACCTGTAGTTGTTAACATATTTGTCTTGTAGTATTTAGTGAATAGTTCTCATCAGCAATCATAACACATCTCCTTATATCTATATACTTATTGATATTAACCCCGTTTTTTACAGATAAACCTTCTCAGCCTACCACAGTGAAGTCAGAATGTGAGTTTATAGAAAAGGACAAAGAAGGCATTTCATTTAATCAAAAATTGAACTCGACAATTCAGAAAAATGCACAAAACATCAAAGAATGTGGCTTTCCTGTAGATTTATCATCAATAAGATTTTCTCAGGGTAGATCAAGTAAGAAATATTTGAACATTTTGTAACATTTTTTTCTATGTCATGCTTTAAGATGATTTCTAAATGAAAAGACTCCCAAAGTTTCTGCAAGAAGAGATCGAAAATAAAACAACAGTTTTGCCTTACATAACCGTCACCACACTTTCCTTTCTCATGTTACAGTGAAATCTGTATAAATGTAACCCTTTTGTGAATAAAGATTTTATTTCGATCAGAAAGATGTTTGTTTAACAGTTAAATTATTTAAGACTATTCGCTTTATCATTTGATGCAAGAACTCAGATAGGGTTTTGGTTCCTAAAAGGTTAATAGGTAAGAAAAGGTTTCATTGTAGATGAACTATTTTCACAGATATCTCCTTATGCTTAAACAACAGATGAAGTGTCTTTAATTGTATTTTTTGCACAAACTTGTGAACTTCAAGCCAGGAAGGTCCCCAAGCTTAAAATTGTGAAAGAGCAGCCATAATTTTGAATGAAATTACTTTATTTCTATGGAGATGGAAAATTCAAAAATTTTCAGTAAAAGAAATCAACACTGCAGCAGAGTTTTTGTTCTGATATGAACCTAGCAGTCTGACAGATGATCTTGATGAACAATGTTTAATATTAGAGATCACTTCTGTTATCTGGTTTGACGTATTCACATGCTTTTTGATTCAGAAAACAGAAATCATTTCACTAGTTAGAAAAAAAACTTTATATTGATGTGAACTTAACATAAATTAAATGGATGATGTGGATCTAAATTGACAAATTTAAAATGTTACTCCAGAAAAAAGATATGTATCTTGTATTGTTATATTGAAGGTCAATACAAGGCGATCGTTTACTAAATAAGATTAAGAACATGTATCAGCAAATATTTAAAAGAATTAAAAAAATCAAATATTTTATGCTTTCACAGTTAAATTTCTGAACATGTAACTAGACATTGTATCCTTAATTCAGATTAAAACTTATAGTAATGTAATATAAAAAGATCAAAACACTCACATATACATTAAAATTATTGGTAATTTTAATTAGTGGTAGCCATCTAAATTTGTGTACTCTAAGTATGTTTATACAGTGTAGAAAACTATGTATTCTACCCAAGCTGAGTATTTAACTCAATCTACTTACTTCTACTTAATATATAAGATTCTGTCTCTTTGAGTGGAATTGACTTCACCTATCTTATGTATATATAAAGGAATAATAGTATATGTCTTATAAACAAAACAAATTGAAGCTACACAATTCAGTTGATTTTACAGAAATTATTGAAAAGACACCAATTCAACAAAGAGAAGAGAGGACACCAACTAAACAGATAACTACACTGCAAGTTTTGGAAGAGTTAAGGTAACAAGTTATATGTCTTTTTAAGATTGAAATCAACCAGAAACACAGAAAAATAATATGTTGATATTGACTGGTTCAGCATTAAAATCCATTCCTTAATTTCATTGATAAAAAAAAATAGTAGTTATTAATTAAGATGGACAGAATGGTTCTGTACTTCTGAAATTATTTTAGATTTTTGTCTTTTTACTTGAGATATATATCTTTTGACTTTGCCTTTTTGGAACTATTTTACAGTCTATAGTATAAGTCTTGTCTTATTTCCTGTTAAACACAAGTATACCAACTGATTTTAAATACCCTGGATTATGATTTGTATACAAATCACATTTGCTCAAGTTCAGTAATTTTAAATTATTTTCTACTTCATGAAATTGATATCTACAAACTGCTATTATTTGTTTCAAAAGTACAAGTTTTTATTCTAATAATTTTAATGAAACTTTTCTTTAGAAAAGAATTTTACAAAAGAATTTAAACAGCTCAGTTTGAAAAGGGAAAAGAGGCTTTAACAATCTGTGATTAGTTAACAAAAGATATATTTTGTATTAAATACATTATTTGATTTGACAATTAAATGATTAAACAAGCATAGACAAGATAGTACATTTCTCCTTGTAAAGGGCACCATCAAGACCTAAAAAGAAAAAGTTTACAGATAAACAACTTAGTTCTACAAAAATGTTTTTGTCTGACCATGCTGCATTTGTAGATATGGTACCAGAATTGTCAACAATAAACAAAGGTATTATAAGAATTATCAATTATGTGTAAAAAAATAGGTTTTTAAAAAAATAAATGTTTCTGTTTTATAATTATAAAAAAAATGACTTAAGAATTTCATTACCTGGTGACTTGGGGCGTATTACATTTGCATGGATTTGGGGATTAACAGACATTACATTTGCGTGAAAACACTATTACATTTGCACGACTTTAACCTATAGATCTACCTATATATTTTCCATGCTAGTAAATACAGCTCACTGTTAAGTCATATTATATATTTTATACTGAGCAAATATCCATTCAATTTGTTGGTGTCATTTAACCCATAAGTATGTTCATGATGGAACCAGAACTCTTAACTATTGCTAAAAGTTGTGTAAAGCGAAACTTAGAACTGATGAATTTCTACCACCTTGGCAGGGACGAAACAGCTTGTAAATGTCATATTTACCTTTAAATTACCTTTTTTAAATCTGCGCAAACATAATGATATTTCTTGCGCACATGTAATGCAAATCCATGGATATGTAATGCACCAGTGACATGTTCATTCTTCACCAAGGAAAGGAAGAAACATATTGACAAGAAATACATCACAAACCGTTGTATTCTCAAAATTTAAAGTCTAGTGAATTTAACTAAACTGTTTGAACTAAGAATAACAAATAAAAAAAGGGATTCTCTCTCGAATCTTCAAACTAGTTTGACATCAATAACATTTTCCGTTGACATCTATAAATATATTATTCAGTATATTTTCTAAACTTTTGATGATAGTACATTTCTTTTGGTATAGGACATCATACAGGCATATAAAGATTTTAAAAGGTTTTTTACTACAAATTGTGCAGTATTTTACTTTAAAAAAAAAAAGAAAATAATGCCTGAAAAATTATTTTAGCAGTGTAAAAATTATATTTCAATTTTAGTTTGTGGTAAATCAGATGACAGTATTGAAATGACAAGAGAAAAGTCACCGTTTATGAAGATGTGTAGAACTGAATCTCCAATTACACCTTTCATTTCACCTAAGGTTAGTATTAGGCTTGTAACCAAAATCAGTGGAAAAGAATATTTCATTTATCTTATCATTTATCAAATATAATTGGTGTGTCCCATTTTGCCTTAAATATACATCTAACCATTACCACCTTCTGTTTTTGTCTTTTTCAAAATTCAAGTGTCAGGACTGAACATTGAATATTTTGCTTGGTAATGAATTCTTAATATTCAGACACATTTTATTTAAATGTGAGTATATGAAAGATGACACTGCAAATGCTTTTATTTTTTAGAAGTTGGAATTTAAGGTTATCTCCCCTTAGTTTAACAAAGTAAATTTGAATAATCAATGCATTATTTGAACAGGTAATATTACTGTTTATAATTGTTTTTCAGACAGATAAGGAGCAAGTGTTCACTAGCACACCAACTAAAGATAAAAATAAAGAAAAAGAATTTCCTCAGGTATTTTTCTGTAAATTTTGGCAATGTTCTTGTTGTTGAAATACTTGTATTTATTACGAGGAACATTTTAAGGACAGAGATGATTTAATTGGAAGGCAATACTATTTATTTTGTGTAGAAAGATGCTTTTGTATTATAAAAACTGACTGCCACGAATTAGCACAAAAGTGGTGTTAAACACCAATCAATAAATCAATTGTATTATAGATAAATAAGATTCATGATTTTGTTATATTACTCTGTTATATCCTATTAAAATGAACCCCAAAAACATCTGGAGGGAAAATTGTTGTTTTTAACTTCCTTCCAGCTAGAGGGAGGGACATTCCAAGTTTCCACATTTGAAAAATGTTCAATTGACCAAATTTAAAATATAAAGTATTTTTGAAGAAGAAAAAATTATTTGGGGCCACCATTTTTCAAAATATGTTTGCGGTTTGGTCCTTACACAGATGATCTTTCCAGCACACCATATTAGAAAATACAGGTTTACCTAAAATGACAATATGGCAGAAAAAAGGAACTATTGCAAAGTTTTGTTTTTATGAGTGCTGCTGATAATACATAATATAAAAACAAGTTTGAATAAACAGTTCAAAATGCAAACAATAAAGTGAACACAATTATTAAATCGGATGTAAATTCAATCCTATAGTTGCTAAAATCCACGTCATTCAGACTCTGGGATAGTTGTCTCATTGGCAATTATACAACATCTTATTTTGATATTTATATATTTTAGTTTGATCTATCATCAGTCCAGTTACCTGTGTTTGATGAAGATGAACTTGAATTCTACGAGTCAAGAGAAGTAAACTCACAAGAGATTGTTTGTGAATCAATTGAGGAGGATGTGGACATCCCAGAACCAGTAGTTCTGGAGAGAAAACCTAATAATGGAAAAGAGGTTCTTATTTCAAGTGAAGAATATTTTCAACATTTTGATACTAATTGTGAATTTTAGTAATATTATAAGAAGATAGAATTGTAAAAAATTTACAATTAATTTTAAGGTATGGTTTGTTTTTTTGATGAGCTTAACCAATCTTTACTCAAAGTTCTATATAGGTAATTTTGAAGGTACATACTGCTTTCGCTTTGTCAATTTACAAAAAAAATTAATAAGAAAAGTTTGCCATCTCCTAATGTTTTCGCTTACAAATTTGAACAATAAGCTTGCATAAGTTAATTAAGTATGGTCTACACATAATAAGAAATTTTAGTTATTCTGAACAGTTCAATTTCTATTTACTATTTTATAAAATCTATCTTACAACATTATCTCCCCTTGGTTATGAACCTTGTTTTTTTTTTTAATTAATGTTATGTTCTGTTTCAGGCATCTGTTCTCAAAGATGGTGAAAATGGTACAGAATCAACAAAAATTTCTCAAAATTCTACTGTCACACATCCAAAAGATCTAAACAACAATGATGGCTCTAAAAACAATTCAGTGAATGATGGAAATATCAGTGTTGTTCCTTTAAATATGTCTTTAGAAGTAAAAACTAAGCCTGTCACATCCAATAAGTCCAAGTCGAAAGATAGAAACAAAGAACAGTGTTGCATTGTAGCTCTAAATATTCCAGTTAAACCTATAAAAATGAGATCAACGTGCAATATAGATTACAAAGAGGTTCTTAGAAATACCCCTGTTGGTAAGTTGAAATAATGGTGAGGTATTTTACTAGTTAATTTTAAGAACTTTTTTGATGTATCAAAAAATTTGGGGCATAAAATCATTATTCACAAATTCCAGTATATAAACTGTTTTAATACTGTAAGTTTACATCCAAAGTTTTATTGAAAAAAAATGACTTACTTTCTTAAAGCAGTATAATTGACTTGACATATTTCATTAGAAAGTCAACGAAGTAAAAAATAATGTTCTATATATAGATTTCAAAGACGATATATCGGATTTCTTTATAATATAATATTTATGCCCCCGCCACAGCAGAGGTTGCATTAAGGGTTATCATTTTCCGTCCGTATGTCCCAAATTTAGTTTCTGTTCTCTAGATTTAGTTTGCCTCAACCAAATGTAATGAAACTTATACACAACGCTTATTACCACAAAACACTGACCAAGTTTGAATTTGAGTTGCATCACTTTTACCATTCTTGAGTTATGTCCCTTTATAATGTTATATGCAAGCGGGGGCATCATCTGTGTCCCATGGACACATTCTCCATTTATTTTTTCATATTTTTATCTTTTCAGATTGTATACAAGCCATGTTATACTGAACTTGACACGTTCCACTTCTGAAATAGTGCAACAAGGGGAGACAATTACTCTTGAATAATTTGTCATAAAATAGAGTTAGGTTAAAAGTTATTCGTGTAGGGATAAAATGTTTTATTGTTGATTTTGTGCCTTTTTTATAAGGATCACACATTTGATGTAGCAGTGATTTTGATAAATGTTTTAATTGTTATATAAACAATGTTTTAGGTTACAGTGATGCTAATTTTTACAAGAAAAGTGCTAAATTATAATGTATTCATGTAAATAGATGTTATTGTTAATTTCAATTGTATATTTAAAAGAATTTCAGATTTGTGATAAAATTGTATAAAAGTCAATCTAATGTTAAATGAAAAACAAATATGAAAAATTCTAAACAATGTTGCTATTGCTTAAAGATGAAATGTAAAAAAGACTTTGTTATTATCCTGTGATAAAATTTGTCAAATATTATAATTTGCATTTCCATAAGAATGATAATTCAGGGATAAATATTTTCATGAGATACACAATACAACAATTTTTTGACTACCAGTTTATGTTAATATTTTAGTAAAATATAATATGTTATGTTCTTAGAAAACTGTGATAAAAAAGAATCTGTGATTGAATAGAATTAGAAATATTTGCCATTCTGTGATTAGCTTTGGTGCAACAATGATCTCATTTCATATAATAAATATCATTTATATATTCTTTTATCTTTCTTTGATGGCAGGTTGAGTTTGCAGCACAATGCAAATTAATCTGTAGTATATATGAATGGAGATTTGGGATATATGTCAATTGAACAGCAACCTAATGTCAAAATTAACCAAAAGATATCTTGAGGGCAACATACAATCTTCAAGAATAGACTGGTGTCCATACACTGTCAAGCTCTATTATGTTCGTAGTGTATAATAGTATATATATAAAAGTTGTCAAAACATTAAACAGAAGAAAAGAACTGCCATCAACAACAAATACTCCAAATAACAAAAACATTAAGATATAAGACGACCAATAACAACGTTTCTGACTTGGACAGGCACATGAATATGTGGTGAGGTTAAACTTGTTTTTATCTCTCCTTCCCCGAATGATCAAGTGAGCTTTTCTCAACACTTGTCATCGTCATTGTTCTTTGTCTGTTGACTTTTACAAAAATCTCTGAAACAACTGCTGCCAATCAGAACCAAACTTAACCATAATCATCATCGGGTATTTAGCTTAACAACTGTGTCCGATGATCCCACCTACCAAGGAACATGGCTATAAATAAAACATGGGGGTAACACGCAAGTTTTGTCTTTTACCTTGAAAAAAGTATAAATAGAGAAAATCTAACCATGACAAAAATGATGAGAATGCTAAGATCTACCTACTGTCTATTTACATCAAAACTTTCAGGACTTTTCATAGAAGTTGTTGCCCTTAAATGGAAAATTTTACCAATTTTGTTCATTTTTGCCTGATATCTTGATAAATAGAAATTTAAAATAATAATAACAAAAGTGCACACCGGAAATGTCTCGCCTACTATACTGACCATTGATTTTATGTTGATAGTCCTACATATAAAGTTTTACAAGTATCACATTAACATTTATGATGTCAAGGTCAGACAAACCAAGGGGGAAATACATTTACACCTTTAATACAATCATTCCATACACAGAATATAGATGACCTATTGCTTATAGTACAAAAGAAACAGACCAAACCATGGAAATTCTATATTGACCAATGAATCATGAAAATGAGGTGAAGGTCAGATGATACCTGCCAGACAGACATATACACCTTACAATCATTCCATACACCAAATATAGTTGACCTATTGCTTACAGTTTAAGAAAAACAGACCAAAACACAAAAACTTAACATAAGTAATGAACCATGAAAATGAGGTCAAGGTCAAATAAAACCTGCCAGACTGACATGTACATCGTAAAATATTTCCATACACCAAATATAGTTGACCTACTGCATACAGTATTAGAAAAACAGACCAAAACACAAAAACAACATTGAGCAATGAACTGTGAAAATGAGGTCAAGGTCAAATAAAACCTGTCCGACTGACATGTACATCATAAAATATTTCCATACACCAAATATAGTTGACCTACTGCATACAGTTTTAGAAAAACAGACCAAAACACAAAAACTTAACATTGAGCAATGAACCGTGAAAATGAGGTCAAGGTCAAATAAAACCTGCCAGACTGACATGTACATAATAAAATATTTCCATACACCAAATATAGTAGACCTACTGCATACAGTGTTAGAAAAACAGACCAAAATACAAAAAATTAACATTGAGCAATGAACTGTGAAAATGAGGTCAAGTTCAAAATAAAACCTACCAGACTGACATGTACATCGTAAAATATTTCCATACACCAAATATAGTTGACCTATTGCATACAGTATTAGAGAAAACAGACCAAAACACAAAACTAAACTATTACCACTGAGCCAGGGAATTGAGGTCAAGGTCAGATGACACCTGCCAGTTGGACATGTACACCTTACAATCATTACATACACCAAATATAGTAGACCTATTGCTTAATAGTATCTGAGATATGGACGACCACGAAAACTTACCCTTGTTCACTGATCCATGAAATGAGGTCGAGGTCAAGTGAAAGCTGTCTGACAGACATAAGGACCTTGCAAGGTACGCACATACCAAACATAGTTATCCTATTACTCATAATAAGAGAGAAATTAACATTACAAAAAATCTTAACTTTTTTTTCAAGTAGTCGCTGAACCATGAAAATGAAGTCAAGGACAATGGAAATATGACAGACGGAAACTTCATATCATAAGGCATCTATATATAAAGTATGAAGCATCCAGGTCTTCTACCTTCTGAAATATTAAGCTTTTAAGAAGTTAGCTAACGCCGCTGCAGCCGCCGGATCACTATCCCTATGTCAAGCTTTCTGCGACAAAAGTCACAGGCTCGACAAAAATTATCAACAAGACAAGATTTACAAATAATGCAACCTGATTGATATTGTCAGTCGACCCCTTATTGGAGTTGTTGCCTTTAAATGAAGAATTTTACCAGTTGTTCGTGTTTTTGCATATTTATTTGAAAAGTACAATAGAAAGATAGAAACTTTATACAGCAGAAATAATCTGAAAGATAAAATCTACAAATAAGTAAAAACAGTGGAAATCATCAGTTGACTCCTCCATAGAGTTATTTCCCTTAAATAATGATTTTTATAATTTTTTCATTATTGCCCATTAGTTTGAAAACTATAACAGATAGAGAGAAATTTTGTATTGCAAACATGATCCACAATACAAGATCTACAAATAAGTTTGAATTATCCAAATCATTAGTCAACTCATTATAGGAGCTATTGCTCTTAAATGACGATGTTTATTAATTTTTAGAGGTTTTTGCCTATCATCTTGAAAACTACAATAGATACATTAAAACCTTAAGAGCTAAATTGGTTAAAATGGCCAGATCTACTCTATTTCAAATAATTGAACATGGGGGAAATTGTCAGTCAACTCTTTATATGAGTTATTGCCCTTTAATGATGTGTTTTTCCCAACTTAAGTTACTTTTAATTTTTGGGGGAACTTTGGTGGATACAGAAAAACTGTAAACAGCAAAAATTACCAGCAAGACAAGATCTAATATTAGGTGAACATAGCAATTATCAGTTGACTCCTTTAAGATATCAGACTCAGTTGACGATTTCACCCTTTTTTGTATTTTGGGAAAAAAGTAGTAGATAGAATCTATAAGCAGTAAAAACGATCAAGACATGTTCAACATAAAAAAGATCTTAGTCAGGAATTATATTCCAGTCTACAATGTTTGAGAGTAGCCTTAGTTGACGATGCACATAGATCCAGGGGATCGCCACTGAATGTCACTAGTGTTTTAGATCTCAACCCTCCCCTAGGCTGAGTTTATAATATCTATCAGTGGACTAACAAAGCATTAATAAAAGAACATACAATAAAAAGACAGTTTAAGAAAAGCATTTAACTAAATAAAAAGATCCATTCTGTCCCCTTTGAGTACTATGCTGGCTTTTAGAGTAGAATGGGATTTTTCTGGTAACGGACACAATCTCAAAAATATGTATTGTTACTACAGTGAACTCATCATCCATTGTTCCATATCTTCTCCAAGTTTGTAAGTTCTTAATATTAGTTAAGGTATCAAGTTAGAATACAGAATTACTTACCTACTTAAAACGTGGTATGGAGTTACTTTTAGAAAAGTTAAATTTATGGCAGACAAGGGCCTCAACAAAAACTGAGTTTCATCTCATTTGAATCATATCTCTTTCAAAGAGAAATGATTCAATTGAGATGAAACTCAGTTTTTGTTGAGGCCCTTGTCTGCCATAAATCTAACATGAATTTTACAGAACACTTTGATTTGGTATCATTGCTAACTAGACTTCATGAAACAAATGTCCTTTTTTATTTTACATGAAAGAGCTTTTGCTCTGAGCTGACTTCAACCACTTTTGATTTTAATATTTTTACAATTTTAGGTTGTATCTGTTAAAAGCTGTCTCATCATTACATCTTATGATATATTTATCATGCTTTCTTTCCATCACTTTGGTTGGAAGGCAATAAACATTTTTCATCAGTAGGATACAGTTGAATCATAGATTTAACTTGTTTCCATGTGTACATTTTCAAAAATGTATTGTTGTATCCACTCCCAGAAAAGGCTGCTATTTCTGTAAATAAGATTCTATAAATTTGTATTTTACACCTAATTCCTGAAGTCATTTGGTTTTTATTTTTTTATGTGAGAACTTTTGATGAGAACATATATCATCACTTGTGTGATTAAATTCACAGAACCTTGAAATGCTAGACACCATTATGATTAGACCAGAGACATTAACCATTCTTGTGGGATACCTTATCACCAGATACTTAAAGTCTTTCATCAACAGATTTTAACAGTAGTGAAATAATGAATGACACTTGAGGAGCAAGAACTGCTGCATGTCCTTCCAGAGCACTTGAGTTAACCCACGGTTTTGATGTTGCTCTATCTTTAGTTCAGTGGACTTAATTTTTTTCTTTTGGCTGTAGTATTGTCTGTCTTTCTTTGACGTATGCATTTGTATTGCCCTCCCCTTGGTACTAGAATGTATTCCATTTTATAATATTTTCAGATCTAATAAGTCACAAAAACAGGCTATAAGACATCGGAGTAATCTCCCATGACCCCAATTAATCACCAATACATGATTTCTGACCCCAATATCTCACAAAAAACAGATTGTCAGACGTCAGAGCATTTTTCCATGACCCCAGCCGTTGAAGTCACAAACACAGGTTGTCTCAGTGATGTCAGAGCAATCTCTCATGGCCCCAACAGTCACCAAAACAGGTTGCAAGACATCAGAGCAATCTCCCATAACCCCAATAAGTCACGAACACAGGTTGTCTGACGTCAGAGCAATCTCACATGACCCCAACAAGTCAACGGCAAACCAGATTGGCGTACATCAGTGCAATCTCCCATGAAACCAACAAACTCGCCAAGTCCAATAAAAAATTTACCGTCAGGACAATGTTCACCAATATTCATGTAATAACCCATAAATTGATAATATTAGGTCCCAGATGTAATTAATATACGTTACGTTTCAAGTCAATTATTTAGTCTTTCGCTTAGATCTAAATTCCTGCAGTCCAGTAGGTTTCAGCAATTTCTGATTTTGACCCTATGTGTGAAATCAGCAGTTAAATTGTTCTTGCAATATTATTTAAACTATTGAATATTCAAGTTCTACAAGATTTCATCAAATTGGGGATTTCGAGCACGTCAGTGAAACCTGGACCAGTTTAATATTTTTTTCACAGCTAAGCTCGAATTGCAATAAAAAAGTAATTTTGGTGATACAATTGTTGATATGACAAAATTTGAAGATCACAATGACCTTTATAAGTCTACTAAGTTTTTACGGTATAAAATGTGTCATGATTGTGATTTGCAAAAAACATGATTATATTGTTTTATTAGGCCGATCTTGTTTTTTTAATGACCACCAGTTTCTTCACAAAAGACCAACTTCCTTGGTATTGCTAAGATAAGATAGTTTAATGCAAACAAGTTTGATTAATCATTGAAATATTCTTACCAACCATTTACAGTTCGGTGACATATAGAGGTAGGGCCAATTTCTCTGGAATTCAAAACCAGGGATATTTTCAAAAACTCTTTGAATCGTTACATTAATTCGAAGTATCACAGCCCAAAGTGTGTACTTTAAGGTTCTAACAATATTATGGCTTATTTCTCTTCTTCCAAGTAAGGAACCGAACTCATACATGAATGTGTATGGTCCCGCGAAAATTTTGCGCAGTGTCGGGCAACACAGCTAGTCTTCTCAAAGCTATTTACATTTAAAAAAATCCATTCTCCAATTTACAATTAAAACTATATCAGGCTGTGCTGTCTACTACCTTTCAGAGACTGCTTTCAGAGCAGCTCTGAATCCCTCTATTGTGTGGGCCGAGGTGACTTTAGATGCATGGAAGTTGATTCCAATCCCTGATGGTCTTTGGGAAGAATGACTGTCCATAGGAGTCAGTTTTTGTTCTCTCTTGATAAAAGCGGCCTCTACTTCTGGTCCGGCTGTCGTTGGGGATTAGATATTGTTGTCTGTTTATATCTTAGCCCATGCTGGATCTTAAATAACATACATAGTCTGTTGCTTTTCCTACGTTCTTCCAGAATTTCCCACTGTAGTTTGTTTTACAATGTTCGGTCTGTGTAGTTGTTTTTGACAAATCTTGCTGCTCTTTTTTGTACTTGTTCTAACGATTTGATCTTCTTTTTTTTTTTTGGCTTGATAGATCCCAAACTGTGCAGGCATATTCCACTGTAAGTCTTACCATGGCTGTATATGCTGCTGCTTTTACTGGTTTAGTGCAATCTTTTAGGTTTCGTCGGATAAATCCCAGCGTTTTATTTCATTTGCCAACAATGTTGTCAATGTGTCTATCCCAGGATAAGTTGTTGCTGATGATTACGCCTAAGTATTTGCTGACATCAACATTGTCGATTGTATGTCCATGAAGTTTGTATGAGGTATCAATTACTTATCTATGAAATTCTAATTACTATATACATTTTTTGGCGTTGAAGCTCATTTGTCATCTATTCTCTCAATCTTCCAATGATGTTAGGTCTTTTTTGCAAAAGGTCACTGTCTGCCTGGTTGTTGGTCGTTCTAAAGAGAAGGCTATCTTCTGCAAATAGTTTGGTTTCAGATGACGTTGATTTTTTTTGGCATGTCATTTATGTAGGTCAGAAACAATAGAGGTTCAAGAACTGCGTCTTGCGGTACCCCAGATAGTACGGGAAATTGAGAGGAGCTCCTTCTAATATTACGCTCTGCATTCTATTTTCGAGGAAAGAACGAATCATGTGCTATGTTAAGGGTTAACTCCATAGTATTATAGTTTTGTGTAATAGACGATGGTGTGGTACTTTGTCGAATGCCTTTGCAAAGTCAAGAAGGATGATGTCGACTTGGGATCCTTTTCCAGTTTTATTTTGCAATGCCGTTGATGGTTATGGTTAATTGTGATTTGCATGATCGTTTTTTGCGGAATCCATGTTGTGCATTAGTTAGGATTTTATGTTTGTCAAACTGATGTCTATGCAGATCATCAAATCATAAACGCAAAAAAAATTCCAAGACTCGCGGCTATTTTGACAAATTTTGGCATAAGAAGGAAATCGTTAACCAAAACCAAAAACACTGTTGGAAGTAAAGCTATGTATTATTTTTGTTCGGGAACAAATTAATTCATTTGGGTTATCCGCGATGTCCTTCGATACAAAATTTGATAACTGAAAAAAATTTGAAATTTTCCTTCATAATTCCCTCAACGCTAAAAAAAAAGGTGGATTTTATCGAAATATGTGATATTATTAAACAACATTTTTAGTGTTTTCCTCAATAAATATTCAATATTCGGTAGGATGTAACAAGATATTGACCATGCGAGAGAATCAAATACAGGAGACTTGTACTATTTTGCTCCGTCGAGAATACCAACAACCTAAATTATGCTAAAATAATAAAAGAAAAAAATATGACAGACAGCAATCAACAACAACCACTGAATAACAGACTCATTACTTGGGACAATCATATACACTGTGACGAGGCTGAGTATGGTTGTTAACGCTCAACTCCCCTAAACCTGCCAATGCATGTATTTTAAAGAATACTATGATATCCGGTCGCATGTCATGATGTTGCACTGATCTTAAAACTTAAAAAAATCAACTAGAGCAAAGGGTATAGGGACCACCTTTCAGGTTTAGTTTTGTTTTGGTTTTTTTTCTCCTTTCTTTCTCCTAAATTGTCCTGAACATGCATGGAATATTTGCCATTGGACGTTAACCAACCCACAATCAATCAACCAATCTTTCTCCTTCGTCCTTTTCCTAGGGGAAAATCCATTGAAGATCATAAGGGGACAGGTTTCTTATACGGTCGGGAGCCGACAAACGGCAACATGTGCGTAATAAACTATTCCTCATGTTTTAATATAATACTAATAAATGCCGCTTGTAAAAAAATATTTGTTCTGTATAAGGACAAAATTTAATCCATCCACTCTTCAATTTCACATAGTTAACTTGAAGAAAAAAACTACATAAACACAGAGTCGAGTTGACCATGCATGGTCGAAAAGGGCGGGAATTCTTTATTATGCAAATTATTGAGTATAGTTTATGAACAGGTTTTGAAGAAAGAACACGACAGGCAATTGTTTATGAACAGATTACAGACTGAAGAAGGAATAGCGAACAAGTAAAGACAAAGAAACTTATAATGTAGTTACACCGATGATTCCGTATTTTTTATAACTAAAGATTTTTTATTCGAAAGTGATTAAATGTTTACAATTACTTTCCTCAAAAAATTTTGGTTTTATTTTCCGTTTCCTTTCAAAATGGTTGGCTTTCTAACTTTTGCAAAGTTTTAAATCAAAATGTGTTTCTTGACCATAGATCCACCATTGTCCAATCATTTGAATGATCACTTGTAAATTTCAACTCGAAAACTTGAATTCACTGTAAAACAAACCCTTTATTTCAAGGATAATCTCTCATCTTGGGGTCAGTCCCTACACACACTCCCAATCATTTTAAAGACAACTGAAAAGTTCTCCAAATAATAATTGAAGAGAATGATCCCTCTGAAAAAAAGTTAACAGATCTCCAGGGTATCGATCTGTAAAAATGAGTTGGCCAACATCGCATTATTATTTATAATTATTAGAGAGATGACAAATATTAGTGAAAAATAAAAGCATTTTAATAATGAATATAGTTCCAGAAGAAATATATTGTCAATTCTTTATGCTTATGCTTTCCTTTTACATTTATTGACACAGTGAAAAGACAATTAGGACAGTTTATGTCCTTGAATAGCTTAATCTGGCTGTCAATAATTATCTCCCTATGACATTTTTATTCATATTTCTGTTTTTCACTTATTGTATGGAATAGCCATTTAAAAGTTCAGACTTGATATAAAAAGTGCTACTGATTATAATGAAGGGATATTGGTGGCCTTCGGCTGTTGTCTGCTCTATGGTCAGGTTGTTGTCTCTTTGACACATTCCCCATTTCCATTCTCAATTTGATATTGTTAGTAATATTGTTTTTAAATTTTAATGTGAAAAAATAATTAGTCCCCACCCCAAAACAAAAATAAATTTAAAAATAAATATTTAAATATCACAAATTTTGAAAAAATCCTGATAAATTTGAAATTTTGTTATACAGAAATATTCAGCTATTCTTAATTATGTCTATAGTTTTAACATGCACTTCCAAGTGTTAAATGCAGAAACTTCATTTGCAAACTGTCAAAGGGAGATAATTTTGTACCTATTATTGTTGAATTGACTCAATTACCTTGTATTTTACATTTACTGAACTTTTCCAATTACCTTGTATTTTACATTTACTGAACTTTTCTGGATTGCAAAATTTGTGCACATTCTATTTTTCATAGACATAATATATGTTCAATCTATTGGCTTATGTTTTTTTTTTTGTAGCAATGGCTACAGCATTTGCTACAAATAGCTCCAACTTCATACAGAGAAAGAATAAGGGATTTTCTGGTCAATCCCTAAGACAAAAACACAATGCAGAATTTACAGGATTTGAAAACATGGAGATAAGTCCAGACAAGATTCAAGAAAATCTTGACAGTGAAAAAATGGTTCCTGCCTCTCAGATGGTATGTTTAGATTTATATTTGCTAAGTCTTTCCCACCATGTTGGGTCTGATAATTCAGGCTAACACCTTGGAAGGTAAGAGGAAGAAATTAACCAAATGAACAAAAATGGTAAGGGGGGGGGGGGGGGGGTTGAGTACTCTCGAGTTGTTGAATCTATCCACACATGTTGTTATTTTATGTATTATTAAGATTTCATCCTTCAAGACTAAATGTGACGTAATCAATATGTGTTTATTAAGTCTCCCAAGGGAAGACTTATTGTTTTTGCTCAGTTCTTATTATTATTATTATTCTTCTTCTTCTTCTTCTTCTTCTTCTTCTTCTTCTTCCGCCGCTTTTAAATTTGAACTTGTCCGCACCCGTTCTCCAAAACCGCTTGTCGGATTAACTTAGGGTTTCACAATATGTTAGACTAACATGTCTAGTGGTGCAATCAGGGTTTTGTTTTTGCAATGGGGTTTATAAAGGGGTACTTTGAGGGGCAAAAAGAAAAGAGGGTTTTACTATAGAACCCTATGGGATTTTATTTTTTAAAATTTTCAAATGATTATAAATTGAAAACCGTTTGTGATAGACACAAACTTTTTAATTGAAAATGTTCTAAATGATAAAGCCCATTAAATGAAATACAGGGTTAGTCCCCAGGGGTCACCCCCACCCCCTGCCATTTAAGAAAGTTCTAATACCTTGTAAGTGGTCAAGATCCCCACCCCTAAACCATATATATTCTGGTTTGTCATGCTAAGATGGTTTGAATGATATACAGGGTTAGTCCCCAGGGGTCATCCCCACCCCCTGTCATTTGAGAAAGTTCTAATATCTTGTAAATGGTCGAGATCCCCACCCCTAAACCATATATATTCTGGTTTGTCATGATAAAGCACATCAAATGTTAAACAGGGTAAGTCCCCAGGGGTCACCCCCACCCCCTGCCATTTAAGAAAGTTCTAATATCTTCTAAGTGGTCAAGATCCCCACCCATAAACCATATATATTCTGGTTTGTCATGCTGAGATGGTTTGAATGATATACAGGGTAAGTCCCCAGGGGTCATCCCGACCCCCTGCCATTTGAGAAAGTTCTAATATCTTGTAAATGGTCGAGATCCCCACCCCTAAACCATATATATTCTGGTTTGTCATGATAAAGCACATCAAATGTTATACAGGGTTAGTCCCCAGCGGTCACCCCCACCCCTTGCCATTTGAGAAAGTTCTAATATCTTGTAAATGGTCGAGATCCCCACCCCTAAACCATATATATTCTGGTTTGTCATGATAAAGCACATCAAATGAAATACAGGGGTAGTCTCCAGGGGTCACCCCCACCCCTTGCCATTTAAGAAAGTTCTAATATCTTGTAAATGGTTGAGATCCCCACCCCTAAACCATATATATTCTGGTTTGTCATGATAAAGCACATCAAATGTTAAACAGGGTAAGTCCCCAGGGGTCACCCCCACCCCCTGCCATTTAAGAAAGTTCTAATATCTTCTAAGTGGTCAAGATCCCCACCCCTAAACCATATATATTCTGGTTTGTCATGCTGAGATGGTTTGAATGATATACAGGGTAAGACCCCAGGGGTCATCCCGACCCCCTGCCATTTGAGAAAGTTCTAATATCTTGTAAATGGTCGAGATCCCCACCCTAAACCATATATATTCTGGTTTGTCATGATAAAGCACATCAAATGTTATACAGGGTTAGTCCCCAGAGGTCACCCCCACCCCTTGCCATTTGAGAAAGTTCTAATATCTTGTAAATGGTCGAGATCCCCACCCCTAAACCATATATATTCTGGTTTGTCATGATAAAGCACATCAAATGAAATACAGGGTTAGTCTCCAGGGGTCACCCCCACCCCCTGCCATTTAAGAAAGTTGTAATATCTTCTAAGTGGTCAAGATCCCCACCCCTAAACCATATATATTCTGGTTTGTCATGCAAAGATGGTTTGAATGATAGACAGGGTTAGTCCCCAGGGGTCATCCCGACCCCCTGTCATTTGAGAAAGTTCTAATATCTTGTAAATGGTCGAGATCCCCACCCCTAAACCATATATATTCCTATTTGTCATGTCTCGAACATTTGAATGACGTATACGGTCAGTCCCCAGGGGTTCCCCCCACCCCCAATGTTCTAATATCTTGTAAATGGTTGAGATCGCCACCCCTAAACCATATATATTCCTGTTTGTCATGTAATAAACATTTGAATGACGTATAGGGCCAGTCCCCAGAGGTTCCTCCCCACCCCCAATATTCTAGTATCTTGTAAATGGTTGAGATCCCCACCCCTAAACCATATATATTCTGGTTTGTCATGCCAAGATGATTTGAATGATATACAAGGTTAGTACCCAGGCATCACTAATGCATATAACTTTACTGGACCAAACCAATTTTCAATGGATGTTGCCCAATGTCAGGCGACCCTGGGAATTACGAATTATGGGAGCTTCGTTTGGGAGACTTCGTAACAGCATCCTGTTACATTCATTTCTTGTTAGTCATTTGAGAGATATATTGTATATGTTACCAGGAGCATTTTTTTTTGTAGGAGAGAAGAGTGTTGAGAGAAACCCAGAATATTCAAGGGAATCCCAACGTAGATCATGTTACAAAGGTCAAGAAAGAGAAGTCCAAGGAGAAAAGCTTTTACAATGTAGCCAAAAATAAACTGACCCAGCAGATAATGGGTAAGTTGTTATACACCATGCCAAAAAAGATGGGGGAGGGGGTATATAGGAATCAGCCTGGCTGTCTGAATTTTTGGTAGTCCTTTGTCTAGTTATACTATAATGTGTCAACTTAGCAGCACAAAATATTTTATTCTTCATTGAGTATTACAAGAATTATGCACCGTTAACTTAGAAAATTTCTTCCCATTTAAGTATGCATATTGTGGCAACAAATGGAAGTTTTTAACGACCTTGACTGGCTATACAGCCCTTGCACGGTCGGAAATATTGTGGCAGCATCGCTTCCTAAATGCCTCATCAGATTTTTATGAACCTTTGTACGTTGGAAGATCTTAAAATATGAAGTTGACATTTCACTGAGTTATGTACCTTTGAACTTGGAAATTTTGAAAGTTTTAAATTTGGGAACTTATAAATTCATTATCAAACTATTCTTCCTGCATTATGGTTTTGATATTTGGACTGCTGGACATGATGAAACAACCAACAAGCAATTCTGTCTGTTCACAAAAGAAAAAGATAACAAATAGGGTAGTGGCATCTCGGACACAAAAAATATAAAGCACCATAGTTGTTGATAAAATTAAGCTGTAAGTCAGTATTGTTCAGCACTATTGCTCCAAAAGACCAAAAGAATTTATAAAAATTACTTTTATTTGACGGGAAATGCATTTCCGGTACTTAACTCTCAATTTTAAGCATTCTTCTTATTGAAGGTAAAAAGACAAAAAGCAAATCCAAGAAATCTACCTTGTTCAATGTATTGAACCCAGAACCATCTGCAATCTTGGATGATGGTAACTATAATTATTTTTATTGTTTTACTGTCTTGATGCTAAATCAGAATTTATAATCTAAACCAGAAATTGCTCTCACTAGTAGATAGGTATTATAGTCTTAAAAAACCAAGCTTATATTTCTCATACTTCAGTAATGGATTAATTTTCAGAAATATTCGGTCTGTCACCAGTATTTGCCAAGGGGACATAATTTACATATGCATGTTACAATGAAAATAGCAAGAAATTGTAGAAATTATACACAGATTGATTATGACATGGGGTATTTTTTCCTTTAAATGAGACCTGTTTGAAAGATTTGAAAATAGTCAGTATTATTTTTTTTTTTTTAATTATTTAAAGGAAGAGTTTTTTTGATGGTCTGATTTTATTTTACCAGATTTGTTGTGTATGGACATTGATATGTTGGACCCTTCAACAAAGATCAGAGAGATGTTTATCAAACGACCAGACGATGTTGTTGACATCTATGCACATTTAAATGACCAGTTTAATTGCCCTGAATATGCTCAAGAAGTTTACTGTTACTTACAGGTGAGGAAAAAATACTTCATCTATATGGAATTATAATTTTAAAAAAGCAACCTAAAATGCATCTTCAATCTTTTTATAATAATTAATGATTACATTACATGCATGTTTCATTACAATCCGTAATTTTGATTGGGTGACAATTGTGAGGCGCTCAAATGTCATATTTTATTTTCATATGAGATACAACAGCTATGACTGCATGTGCTATCCATGACAATGTTAAAATAATGCATCTAAAAGCATACGGAAAGCTTTGATATAACACTTAATTTCATGGTTGTACAATAAAATTGATAATAGAACCTGATGATTCTTAATATGATCTGTTTACATCAAATTTTAGAAAATAACAATGCTATGAAAAAGGTGCACATATTTTGGAAAGTTATTAAAATTCTTCCATATACAATAAAACAAGTAATATTTCTATTATCTTGACTCTTCAATTATTTTATTGAATGATTTTTTTTTATCTGAAGTCTGTGGAAAGACGTTTAACATTTTCTGATGACTACCTTGCATCAGATCCAGAAGTTACTCCACAGATGAGAGCAATACTAACAGACTGGCTCATACAAGTACAGGTAAATACTAACAGACTGGGGCCGGTAACAAGAAATGTTATTAAGAGATATTGTAAGTGTGGAATTAAGGGGAAGATAAGATAATCCTAAGATCATTCAAAGAGTGTAAATCAAAGCTCCCTCAGGTTGTTCGTAGATCGATCTTATTTCCCCCTTAAGTTGCATCGTAATAGTTTCGAAGTTGCAAGTTCTTAATAATTTTCCGGCGTCTCCGTGTAAGGCTCCTCGCAAAGAAATTAGAATCGCCTTAAATGAATCATACAAACGTTTTAATGAACGATAAAATGCGCACAACAATCAACTACCCATTTAACCTAAGGAAATCCCAAAATAATTCCGGCCTCAGACCATAATCATTCTTCCCCTTTGCTACAATGCATTTTTGATAAAAGTCAAATTGAATTAAAAAATTTGCAACTGCTTATAGACCATTATTATTCTTATAAAATATGCTTGTCCCAGGACAATCCATCAGTGCTTTTCTTTTGAGGGCCCTATTAATATGTCAATGGTAGGATTCGAATCTTGAATAAATGATGAAGGCTTATTTCTATCCTATTTTCATTTCGGCCAAATCAATACTTTCACTTTCAACAATAATTTTTTTCCACATTTTTTACTTATTTCAATATATATGCAACTGATAGACCACTTAAATAGTAAACATTTCAAAGAAAACAGTAGACAGAATACTTAGGAAGAAATACCCCATATAATAATCTGATAATTGGGAACTAGACCACCACCAAAGGGAATTAATTGTGGTCTGAAGCCTTCCAACAAAAAGTAAAATCACAAAAATAATGAACTCCGAGGAAAATTCAAAACGGAAAGTCCCTAATCAAATGGAAAAATCAAATGATAAAACACATCAAACGAATGGACAACAACTGTCATATTCCTGACTTGTTACAGGCATTTTCAAATGTAGAAAATGGTGGATTGAACCTGGTTTTATAGCGCTAAACCTCTCACTTGTATGACAGTCTTATCAAATTCCATTATATTGAAAACGATGCGTGAACAAAACAGACACAATAGGCAAAAATGTCATAAATAGGGGTACAATTTTTAACAGCAACACGAACCCCACTAAAACTGGGGAAGATTTCAGGTGCTCCAGAAGGGTAAGCAGATCCTGCTCCACGTGTGGCGCCCGTCGTGTTGCTCATTATATTACGAAGCCGGTAAATAGTCTAATTCGGTAGATCACATTCGTGAAAAGGGAACGGGATTGTTGTTACGACATAAGGAACATATCTGCTATCATCTGTATAACGGATATTCCATAACTGTCAACTAAATCATGATGGCGTCCGTAAAATTTAAGAAGTGATGATTTCAAATTCACCATTTGGAACTCTTGGTTTAAAAATGAAAAAGGTCACAATTTTCGCCTTGCTTTATATCTAACACTTCTCACAACAGCATGGCTCAGAATAAATTATCAAAGGGGAAACAGCCCACCAAGCCAATGAAACCAAACTTTAATTCTAATGAGTAAGAGATACTAGTCGACGAGATTGAAAAGAATAAAATCATCCTCCTGGGCAAACTCACAGATACAGTAACAAACGAGAGGAAGAAAAAGTTGTAGGGCACAATAGCGGCCAAAGTCAGTGCAGTGGGGGACCATAAAGTTATGCCTCTTCAATAATAGTTTTATTATTAGATCAAGTAAGTATCTCTCGCGGTAGAATTACACTTATTGATGATTGGCCGGTAACGAACATCAATGTTTCCTGCTAGCTGACCAGTTCGCAATGCCTCATTTCTTATTTCTAGATTAATGTTTATGAATTTTTTGGAAGAAGGTTCATGTGTCCCCCATGTTTTGAATTATTATTATTCTTGAAGAAATTAAACGTCTGGGAATCTCTTTTTTTCTCCTTGCTTTATATTTAACACTTCTCTCAACATGCCAAAATTGTAATGATTTACAATAAAAAGAAAATATTATCCTCCACACACATGGCCAAGATAACACTGATATATAATTCTTATTCAGTTGAATTAATAATTAGAATATTGTTCACGTATTGTCCTTTTTTAGCTCACCTGACCTGAAAGGTCAAATGAGCTTTTCATATCACTTGGCGTCCGTCGTCCTGCGTCCGTCGTCCGTCGTCCGTAAACTTTTACAAAAATCTTCTCCTCTGAAACTACTGGGCCAAATTTGACCAAACTTGGCCACAATCATCATTGGGGTATCTAGTTTAAAAAATGTGTCCGGTGACCCGTCCAACCAACCAAGATGGCAGCCATGACTAAAAATAGAACATAGGGGTAAAATGTAGATTTTGGCTTATATCTCTGAAACCAAAGCATTTAGAGCAAATCTGACATGGGGTAAAATTGTTTATCAGGTCAAGATCTATCTGCCCTGAAATTTTCAGATGAATCGGACAACCCGTTGTTGGGTTGCTGCCCCTGAATTGGTAATTTTAAGGAAATTTTGCCGTTTTTGGTTATTATCTTGAACATTATTATAGATAGAGATAAACTGTAAACAGCAATAATGTTCAGCAAAGTAAGATCTACAAATAAGTCAACTTGACCAAAATGGTCATTTGACCCCTTAAGGAGTTATTGCCCTTTATAGTCAATTTTTAACCATTTTTCGTAAATTTTTGTAATCTTTTACAAAAATCTTCTCCTCTGAAACTACTAAGACAAATTTAACCAAACTTGTCCACAATCATCATTAGGGTATCTAGTTTAAAAAATGTGTCCGATGACCCCGCCCGCGAACCAAGATGGCCGACATGGCTAAAAAATAGTACATAGGGTAAAATGCAGTTTTTGGCTCATATCTCTGAAACCAAAGCATTAAGAGCAAATCTGATGGGATAAAATTGTTCATTAGGTCAAGATCTATCTGCCCTGAAATTTTCAGACCAATCAGGCAACCCGTTGTTGGGTTGCTGCCCCTGAATTGGTAATTTTAAGGAAATTTTGCCGTTTTTGGTTATTATCTTGAACATTATTATAGATAGAGATAAACTGTAAACAGCAATAATGTTCAGCAAAGTAAGATCTACAAATAAGTAAACTTGACCAAAATGGTCAGTTGACCCCTTAAGGAGTTATTGCCCTTTATAGTCAATTTTTTACAATTTTCATAAATTTTGTAAATTTTTACAAAAATCTTCTCCTCTGAAACTACTAAGACAAATTTAACCAAACTTGTCCACAATCATCATTAGGGTATCTAGTTTAAAAAATGTGTCCGATGACCCCGCCCAAGAAACCAAGATGGCCGACATGGCTAAAGAATAGTACATAGGGTAAAATGCAGTTTTTGGCTCATATCTCTGAAACCAAAGCATTTAGAGCAAATCTGATGAGGATAAAATTGTTCATTAGGTCAAGATCTATCTGCCCTGAAATTTTCAGACCAATCAGGCAACCCGTTGTTGGGTTGCTGCCCCTGAATTGGTAATTTTAAGAAAATTTTGCAGCTTTTGGTTATTATCTTGAATATTGTTATAGATAGAGATAAACTGTTAACAGCAATAATGTACAGCAAAGTTAGATCTACAATTAAGGCAACATGACCAAAATTGTCAATTGACCCCTTAAGGAGTTATTGCCCTTTATAGTCAATTTTTTACAATTTTCATAAATTTTGTAAATTTTTGTAAATTTTTACAAAGTATTTTCCACTGTAACTACCGGGCCAAGTTCATTATAGATAGAGATAATAGTAAGGAGCAAGAATGTTCAGTAAAGTAAGATCTACAAACACATCACCATCACCAAAACACAATTTTGTCTGAATCCATCTGTGTCCTTTGTTTAATATGCACATAGACCAAGGTGAGCGACACAGGCTCTTTAGAGCCTCTAGTTTTAAAAAAGCAACTTTGTTCTATTATTAACAAGTGAATGTGCAGCTAAGAGTAGTCGGGACCACTCTTACAAAAAATATCAAGAGAAGCTATTGCGAATTGTTCTTGGTACACCCCTAAGTCGCTAAGTTTGTTTTAAGAACACTTAATAACTGACCAAAATTTAAGAATAATTTTGTGTTACCGGAATTAGTAAGATCGCTTTAAGGTAGACTTAAGAATCGTTCTTAAATCATGCACTTTTTCAAAACATTAAGGGCTGTCAATCATTCTAAGATGGGTATGAGGTTGGGTCTTGTTACACTCTTAAATCTTAAGACGCTCTTTAGACGTTCGTAAGACACAAGAATGCTTCTTGTTACCGGCCCCTGGCTCATACAAGTACAAGTAAAAGTTATAGACTAATAATCACTTTAATAGTTTCATACGACTCCATAATTTCAATTGGCTGCCGCATTCCAGAAGTAAATCTATTAAATGCAACATCTATGACTACACTTGCTATCCATGACTTATGAAAACTGTTACATAGAAAAACAAAGGAAAAGCTTGATTTTACTTGTAATTTCATAGTTGTAGAATAAAAATCAAATTATATGAATCGAATGCTTCTTTTTGAAATTTTATAGAGTTGTAAAAGCATTGTACATGTACACATTTTGTTCAGTGATTCATTCAAAATGTGCTTTGATCAATGCTTTAACACCCTTATAATATTGCAAAAGGGAGCATTAAATTCTTACCAGTATATATGATTATAAATATGAGAGCAATACTAAGACTGGCTCATACAAGAACAGACTATTATAAATATTGGTAAGAACATCTGGTTTGTAGAATGGGTATTAGTGTCATACATGTACAGACTATTATAAATATTGGTAAGAATATCTGGTTTGTAGAATGGGTATTAGTGTCATACATGTACAGGAAAAATAATGGTCACCTACAAAATTGGTAGAACCACTTCAACGGGCAATTATGACTAGCTTATACATGATTATATTGTACAATGTAAGACAAAACTATTTGAAATAATGAACAGGAGAAAATTTTACTTGATGTCAATTCCCTGTCCAGAAAACCTGCTCAAATGATTGATTTTTGGTAACAGACAATGAAAATCTAGTACTTCAATAAATCTGATTTTAAAACAGAGAATGCATTCAATGTGAATCATGAAACCGATATATTTCAACTCCAAAAATGATGTCCATTTTTAATTCACTTTGGTATTAAAACAAAATGAGTACACACACACTCAAAACAGGAATAGTGATTTAGAACAATGTGCTTTTCAATAGAACATAATATCAGTAAGGGGAAATAATTCATTTTAGGTCCATGAAGAACTGTGTCAACAGACAATACATTTGACAGTGGCCCTGATTGATAGATTTCTTGTCTTGAAGGGTGTCAAACTGCAATTACTTCAACTTCTCGGAATCACATGTTTGTTTATTGCGGCAAAATATGTGGAAAGGTTTCCACCAGAGGTGAGTATCAATGTAATCCACCAACCATTTTGTTGTTGGAGGATAGCCTGAAATTGTATATTCAGTATAGAAAAAATATGACCCAAGTATGAACAGTCATTTTTTAAGTTTTGGAACAGAAATGGGTTTTAAACCTTTTTTCTACATTTGCTTTTCTTCATCTTATGTCAGTCTATTCTTCAACATGGAGCTAAAGCTTACACCTCACTTCAAGACGATTCCTAGAACTAGTCTGAGCTGATTTCTAGGCAGCTCCTGTGGTGAAAGCTGAAACATTTTGCTCCCTGGAAGTTTGGAAAGTAAAGAATCAGTTTAATGTGTCAGATAAACGTGTAAAAATGCTGCTTGTTTCTTAAGTTAGCTTCAAAAATTCAGTTGGTTGGCAGGACAAATATACAAACATTTACCAAGATTTTTCCATCCAGAATTGATCCAATAAGTGTATAATATTGAAAATTATGACTTTTGCAGGTGGCTACACTCTGCCATCTTACTGATAATAGTTTTCAGCCAGCACAAGTACTGAAGCTAGAGATTCATGTACTGAAAGCTTTGAACTTTGATCTCAACATAACAGACCCAACAGTTTTCTTGGATCGCTTCCTAGAAATAGAAACAAATCAAAATAAGGAGGTATAAGTGACTAAAACTATACTAGAGTAACAACACATATTTTGTTAATTTTGAAAAAGTTGGCAAGTAATCATTACTTATTGTGATTTAACTGGAATGGACAGAAATTAAATTATGGTAATTTTGTAAACTTGTATCAATTTTTCCTACCTTGATAACTTTTTATTTTCATTTCTGTGATTTATTAGTTTTTTATTCTCAGTTTATTGACATTCATAAAGTAAAATAATTTGCAAATAAATACAATTGTCATATAATGACACCTTGGGAAAGGAAAAATATTTCACAAATCACAAAAAGTTTGATCATAGATGATAATTCATTTGAGATATTTTTACTACTACAAATCATCTGACCATTTATCCATGGTTGTTATACTTAGACAGTACTTTTATTCAAAGGAATATTGAGATTTTTTCATTGATGAATACTCCAAAAAATATGGATATTTTTATGAGCTCAGTTTGAAACAACAAAGCAACGATTTTCAACAAACCACAAAAATTAGAATCCATAATAAAATAATATTATTATTTGAAAATTGTATGGTTGACTATAAACGGAAAATGTTATAGGGTCTTTTCCAATAAGCCTTTCCTTAGTTCTTTGATCAATCATTAAAACTTAGCTTCTAATCTGATGAACTTCTATTTCAGATTGCCCATATGTCTCAGTACCTACTTGATTTGTCCCTGACTGAAGCCAGATTTACAGTTTACCAGTCATCCATTATGGCTGCCAGTGCTATGTACCTGTCCAGAAAACTTACTGACATTGATGATCCATGGAACCCAACTCTGGCTTACTACAGTAGATACTCCGAAAAGGATCTAGCAGCATGTACTAAAGCTTACTCTAAATCATTGCTTAAACTTCCAACTAGTAAATTCCAGGTATGAAGTCAATAAACTCCATTGTCAATGCTATGCTTGGATACATTTAAGCTAGTTTTTGAAAAGAAAACGCTAAAATGCTGTTTATAGCAAATTCAAAAGCCACTGTACCAGTAAACCAACAACTTGAGGTTGATTTCTACCCAGATTCAATAATTAAAAATTAGAATTTTGTCCTATTTCATTGAGGTCTATTGAGAAGAGTTTGTTTATTGACATTTAACTGTATATTTAATGCATTCAGGTAGCTTTCCTTACTAAAAGATGAAGCTTACAAGCTTAAAAAGATTTATTATATTTTTATATATTTTGTCAAAAAATATGAGTTATATTTCACTGGTTTAGATTTTTACAGGTGTAAACTCTAAGGCTTCTGATTATTTTTGAAAACTGGAATATACTTATTACTACAACTAATATTGTTGAATATAGAGAGAATTTAAGAAAATTAGTTGTACTTGTCCCAACTTTCTTCTGAGCTTGAAGATATTGAACTTATTTTTGGTGCTTGTACATTGATTATTTACAGACCAGTATTGTGTTTTCTCCTAGTTGACCTTCTTTTGACAAAAATTAGTTTTAACTTTTATAACCCATTCCAGTGTGTTTTAAGTCGTGTCAAATTTTTCTCCTTTGTGTATGCAACGTAATATTAAGTAATGTCTGTTCCATTCTTTCTCATTTTCTCATGCTTCAGGATAGCGATCATTTGTTCCATATCAACAATCTAGTTTTGTGAAATTAATTCTGTTCTAAATTGGAATTAAGCAACCAAGATCTGCTGGTTACTTGCATAGATTATTCTATGAGTTATCTCCCTTCACAAAAAATATTTTTAAGGAGAAATTTATATGAAAATTAATATGAAAATATATTTTTCAGGGAGCCAAAAACAAATATAACAGTATGACCAACTTTGATAGTATCAGCAACCATCCTGCTCTCCAAAATAAAGACCTCCTGAAAGAGATTGCAGGGGAGGAAACTCTGATTATGTAAAATTCATATGAATCCAAGACTTGGACTACTATTTTAATTATCATGTCTGTGATTTAAAAACTACTATGTAGAAATATTAATGTGCTATTTATTTGTGTTTTACATTAAAAAAAAACTGATTTATGGTGCTATAATAATTGCTTACTTTTTAAGCTGCTTATTAGCAAGTGTTTTAAGCTGCTTATTAGCAAGTGAGAGTTGTGTGTGGATGTTTGATGAGAGTGGATAAAGAGAAAAATGTGTGAAAAAAAACCAAAAAAAATGCAAAAGTGAGAATTGTGCTACAAAAATTGCAAGAAAGAAAAAAATGGAAAAAAAATAGCACAATTTGAAATGAACTTGAAAAAATAGGTGCTGGTTTGACTGTTTTTTCATGTATTATATTTATAATTGCCTTGATCAGTTTATACTTGTTCACACTTTATTTATACTTTTCTTTATATATTATACATGATTATACATATGGTTATACATTTGTCATATTATATACATAAATGAGCCCTTTTGCTCAAATTTTATGAGCGTTAAAGCTCCATTATTTTTGCATGGTGTTGGTTTAGTTTTTCTGTTCATAAATTTGATTTTAACTTTTAAAGTAATGACATGACATTGTAACAGAAACTAATGACATTGACAGTGTAATAGAAATTAATGACAATGACATTGTAACAGATATGAATGACATTGTCTAGTAACAGAACTAAATGAAATTGACATTATAATAAAAAGACTTAGACAGACAAGACTGATGGACAAATATACAATTGTTATCTTGTTCTGTTGAATTTATTTTTTTGAAATATTTATTACAATTGTAAATATCATTTATATTGAAGCATGAATGTCCAGGATGAAAGTTTATTTTATATTTTATTGTTAGACATTTTGTGAATAAAATGTACTTGGTCTTATTTGTTTAAATTTGATGTAATAAGTAAATGAACACAGTGTTTACAAGTGCAGGCTTGTGCCATCCTTACAGAAAATCCAAATGCAAATTCCTTTGTTACTTTGTTTTGTAGTAGATGTTGCAAAAAAACATGCAGCACATGTCACTAAAGGCTAGACTAGTAAGCTCATCTCTTAAAGGCCTTAATCATGTGGAGCCTGTAATTCAGTGGTTGTCATTTGTTGCTGTGTTACATATTTGTTTTGTTCATTATTTTGTACATAAATCAGGCCGTTAGTTTTCTCATTTGAATTGATTTACATTTGTCATTTTGGGGCCTTTTATAGCTGACTATGGGGTATGGGCTTTGCTCATTGTTGAAGGCCGTATGGTGACCTATAGTTGTTAATTTCTGTGTCATTTGGTCTCTTGTGGAGAGTTGTCTCATTGGCAATCATACCACATCTTCTTTTTTATAGTATAAAGAATTATATTTCAGAGGATAGAAAAGCTAGACATAACATGAATTGTATAAAGATAAATTTTTATCTCATAGTTTTGGCATATAGCGGTTTTCCTTAGCATCATTTTCATAGTTCAGCGTCTCCTCACCTTCTATACTTTGATATTAAAGTTTCCCAAATACTAAAAGTCGATTATCTTGGCCTTCAGAATCATTATATGGTGTAAATATGTCTCAAAGGTTCCTTGACCATAACTTCATTTTCAAACTTTATTAATCTTGTTTATGTGCTAAGGTCAGTTTTTAGTTACTATAAATAATAAGCAAAATCAATTGGATTTGAAGAATTTCTGGTAATTAACCAACAAATATGGTGATTTTTTTAAATTATGCTACTTTTGCTAGTAGAAAATAACGCAAATAGAAATAGTCCTAAATATATCATATTTGTATAGTAGATCTCATAGTACCCATGAAAATAATTTGGTTTACAGAATTGTAAGGTGTACATGTGTAAACACATTTATTCTAAAACCAGTTATTGGCATGATACGGGTTATGTTCTCATATATTTTATGATGGTATGATACTAAACCCCTAATGGGAGGGATTGTGCTTGATTTTCATATGATGAAGACATAATCTTTCATTCAGTTTAATTGAGGTCTGGAGCTGGCATGTCAGTGACTGCTAGTAGTCCTTTGTTAATTTATGTATCATTGTCATTTTGCTTAGTTTCTTTTGTTACCTATTCTGACAGCAGACTCAGACTTCTTTTAAACTGAGTTTTACTGTGTGTATTGCTGTGTGTTTGTTTATTCTACATTGGCTAGAGGTATAGGTAAGGGTTGAGATCTCACAAAACATGTTTAACCTGCCGCATTTTTGTGCCTGTCCTAAGTCAGGAGCCTCTGGCCTTTGTTAGTCTTGTATGTTTTTTAATTTTAGTTCATTTATATGTTTTGGAGTTTAGTGAGACGTCCATTTTCACTGAACTAGTACATTTTTAGCTCACCTGACCTGAAAGGTCAAGTGAGCTTTTCTCATCACTTTGCGTCCGTCGTCCGTCGTCCGTAAACTTTTACAAAAATCTTCTCCTCTGAAACTACTGGGCCAAATTTAACCAAACTTGGCCACAATCATCATTGGGGTATCTAGTTTTAAAAATGTGTGGCGTGACCCTGTCAACCAACCAAGATGGCCGCCACGGCTAAAAATAGAACATAGGGGTAAAATGCAGTTTTTAGCTTATAACTCAAAAACCAAAGCATTAAGAGCAAATCTGACATGGGGTAAAATTGTTCATCAGGTCAAGATCTATCTGCCCTGAAATTTTCAGATGAATCGGACAACCCGTTATTGGGTTGCTGCCCCTGAATTGGTAATTTTAAGGAAATTTTGCTGTTTTTGGTTATTATCTTGAATATTATTATAGATAGAGATAAACTGTAAACAGCAATAATGTTCAGCAAAGTAAGATTTACAAATAAGTCAATATAACCGAAATGGTCAGTTGACCCTTTTAGGAGAAATTGCCCTTTATAGTCAATTTTTAACCATTTTTCGTAAATCTTAGTAATCTTTTACAAAAATCTTCTCCTCTGAAACAACTGGGCCAAATTAAACCAAACTTGGCCACAATCATCATTGGGGTATCTAGTTTAAAAAATGTGTGGCGTGACCCGGCCAACCAACCAAGATGGCCGCCACAGCTAAAAATAAAACATAGGGGTAAAATGCAGTTTTTGGCTTATAACTCAAAAACCAAAGCATTTAGAGCAAATCTGACATGAAGTAAAATTGTTTATCAGGTCAAGATCTATCTGCCCTGAAATTTTCAGATGAATCGAACAACCTGTTGTTGGGTTGCTGCCCCTGAATTGGTAATTTTAAGGAAATTTTGCTGTTTTTGGTTATTATCTTGAATATTATTATAGATAGAGATAAACTGTAAACAGCAATAATGTTCAGCAAAGTAAGATTAACAAATAAGTCAACATGACTGAAATTGTCAGTTGACCCCTTTAGGAGTTATTGCCCTTTATAGTCAATTTTTAACAATTTTTCGTAAATCTTAGTAATCTTTTACAAAAATCTTCTCCTCTGAAACTACGTGGCCAAATTAAACCAAACTTGGCAACAATCATCATTTGGTTATCTAGTTTTAAAAATGTGTGGCGTGACCTGGTCAACCAACCAAGATGGCCGCCACGGCTAAAAATAGAACATAGGGGTAAAATTCAGTTTTTGGCTTTTAACTCAAAAACCAAAGCATTTAAAGCAAATCTGACATGGGGTAAAATTGTTCATCAGGTCAAGATCTATCTGCCCTGAAATTTTCAGATGAATCGGACAACCCGTTGTTGGGTTGCTGCCCCTGAATTGGTAATTTTAAGGAAATTTTGCTGTTTTTGGTTATTATCTTGAATATTATTATAGATAGAGATAAACTGTAAACAGCAATAATGTTCAGCAAAGTAAGATTTACAAATAAGTCAATATAACCGAAATGGTCAGTTGACCCCTTTAGGAGTAATTGCCCTTTATAGTCAATTTTTAACCATTTTTCGTAAATCTTAGTAATCTTTTACAAAAATCTTCTCCTCTGAAACAACTGGGCCAAATTAAACCAAACTTGGCCACAATCATCATTTGGTTATTTAGTTTTTAAAATGTGTGGCGTGACCTGGTCAACCAACCAAGATGGCCGCCACGGCTAAAAATAGAACATAGGGGTAAAATTCAGTTTTTGGCTTTTAACTCAAAAACCAAAGCATTTAAAGCAAATCTGACATGAAGTAAAATTGTTTATCAGGTCAAGATCTATCTGCCCTGAAATTTTCAGATGAATCGGACAACCCGTTGTTGGGTTGCTGCCCCTGAATTGGTAATTTTAAGGTAATTTTGCTGTTTTTGGTTATTATCTTGAATATTATTATAGATAGAGATAAACTGTAAAAAACGATAAATGTCGGCAAAGTAAGATCTACAAATAAGTCAACATGACCGAAATTGTCAGTTGACCCCTTTAGGAGTTATTGCCCTTTATAGTCAATTTTAACCATTTTTTCGTAAATCTTAGTAATCTTTTACAAAAATCTTCTCCTCTGAAACTACTGGGCCAAGTTAATTATAGATAGAGATAATTGTAAGCAGGAAAAATGTTCAGTAAATTAAGATGTACAAACACATCACCATCACCAAAACACAATTTTGTCATGAATCCATCTGCGTCCTTTGTTTAATATTCACATAGACCAAGGTGAGCGACACAGGCTCTTTAGAGCCTCTAGTTTTGTTTAGATGCCAGCTGAAGCCTGCCTATGGGTACAGGATTTCCTCGTTGTGTTGAAGACCCATTGGTGGCCTTCGGCTGTTTTCTGCTCTTTGGTTGGGTTGTTGTCTCTTTTGACACATTCCCCATTTCCATTCTCAATTTTATTTGAGAAGGGTTCCTTGATTTTTACCTCCAGTTAATAGATACACCTTGTGTCATGATCTGTCATGGTAGCTTGCTTACCTAATGGGCATAATTTAGGAGTAGGAGCAAGGACTAGTCATTATGTGTCTATTAAGGAGACATATTTTCCTGCTGAATGCCAACTTCTGATCTATCATGTACTATTCTAAGACAAAACAGTATATTCCTAATGTATTTTTATATAATCTCTGCTACTGGGTGTTTGTTCAATTATTAGCATTAAGTTTTCATGCTTTTGATCTGAGACTACTAGAACACATATGTGTTATAGTAGTCTCAGTTCTGATAGTCTTCCAGCAGTCAACTTTAACCTGTCTATGGAATCATTGTAATGTGTTTGTTTATTAGAGCTCACCTCACCTTACCTTGTGTTTTTTTAGCTCACCTCGCACAAAGGTCCATGTGAGTCTATCCCATCACTTGGGGTCCGTAATCTCTCGTCCGTTAACTTTTACAAAGATCATCTCCTCTGAAACTACTGAGCCAACGTTAACCAAACTTGGCCACAATCATAATTGGGGTATCTAGTTTAAAAATGTGTCTGATAACCCTGCCTGCCAACCAAGATGGCTGACGTTGCTAAAAATAGAACATAGGGGTAAAATGTAAGTTTTGTCTTATTTTGAAAACCGCTATAAATAGAGAAAATATAATCTTAACTACAATATATAGATACATTAAACAGCATAAGTGATCAGCAAGACAAGATCTACAAATAAGTCGAATAGCATAGTATAGACTGTCCCTGGTTTAGTAGTCTCAGGTTTTGGGCAAAAACTAAATGAGAGAGAAACTGGAAACAGTAGTTTACAATGTTGAAGATACACATAAACCTAGGTGAGTGACACAGGCTCTTTAGAGCCTCTAGTTAAAATTGAATTGAGGGTATATTCATTTTGTCTCCAAATTGCCATGATTGCTGTTGAAATACCCAAGTTATGGCACAATGGTTTAAATAAAGTTTTTAGGTTTCATTAATCATTACTTTTTAAATCAGAGCTGATTTGTCAGAATCTAGGAGACCCACAATCATAAAAGCGTGAATTAAAGAGTCGTGCAACCTCCTTGTAAAAAGTCATGATTTCCTTTATTTGCCACTTCATTGATTTCTTGGATATTAAGGGACCTATACTGAAGTTAAATTTCCCTGCTTCATCTGGATTTTTATCAATTTATCTACGTTGGTAAAATCAAACTGATGGAAAATAAAATAGGATATTGGGTGACTTATTTCTTGGAGAACAGATCCATTGTTATGCCTCTTTTTTATGTTAAATAGAAAACCATCTTAATAAGATGTTTGTTATCAATATCCTTGACAATTTGATCATTTGTCAACCAGTTAGATTGATGTTTTGCAGTTTCATCTGACTTTGACCTCTTTCCACTGTTCATTGGTCAATGTTAATTTTTTGTGTTCATATATGTAGTCTGTTTTTCTAATACTAAAAGCAATAAGTCAACTTTATTTTATGTATAGAATGATTTTAAGGTGTACATGTCAGTCTGGCAGGTTTCATTTTACCTTGACCTCATTTTCATGGTTCATTGGTCAATGTTAAGTTTTCCTGGTTAAATTTGTTCCAAAGATACTATAAGCAAATATTCAACTATACTAATGTATGGAAAGTTGTAAGGTATAAATGTCTGTCTATCTTGGTTTATTTGTCTTTGACCTCATTTTCATGGATTATTGTTAATGTTAAGTGTGTGTGTAGTAAAACTTATCTTTAGACTTTCAATCATGGTTAGTAAAGCATGCGAGGCATTTCAGCGTGTGCTTTCTTGTTGACCTGTAAGTCGAGTTTTTTCTCTTGGTCATTTATTCAATCAACCTTATACTGACATGATGAGGTCGACTCGTGTTTTTAATTTTTAAAGCAAAACGTTTTATAAATCTATGTAGTATCATCCTTCAGATGTCCACGAGAAATTTGATTGTCAGATATCCAGTATTTACAGTTTGGAATTTTGTCAAGCATGTTCTTGAGACGAAGTATATGTAATAAGAATTATTTCGGGGTTTTGTGAAATCTTGTATGCATTTAGAACTCGTTGACCTGCATCTGAATATCAAAAATGGTATAACACATTTGCATGCATTGTAGCTGACTATATGATATGGGATTTGCTTATTGTTGAATGCCGTACAGTATCCTATAGTTGTTTACATTAACGTCCAATGTCCCTGTTGGATAGTTGTCTCATTGAAAATCATACCACTTCTTATCTTTATACATGGGATTTATGACAAAAAGTCAAAATATCACTAGTCAGTTTAGAAACTGAGATCCTGCACATGACGATCAATCAATTCGTAAAAGCTATCGAGAACTTGTGAAAACTTTTGTCATTCTTCCTTTGTTCAGCTGCAGTAGTCTTTCAGTAAGGACATAACCATAATGATAAGGGAGCACAGTATATTACTTAGAAACATGAATGGCAAAGGCTGGCTCTGACGACAAGTTAACACTCAAGAATGGGAGGTTGATGGTAGGAAATCTGAAAACATTACGTTTTTAATAGATAGATTTTAACTGTTTATCAGCATCAGTTTCAAGAAAGAAAAAAAGGATTAAGATATGAAACAGACTTACGGGACACTTTAGTATCCTTTGATTTAAAGTTTAAAAGGATAAACGAGGTAACTCGAAAGAAAAAAAAGATAACTGAAAGGAAATAAAAAAAAAATGTGGAAGTTATGTATTAAAAGATTTCGCTCTTTATGTATTTTACTTCCACTTAAGCCAGTATACTTAATATAAAAGAAATTATATATATTATTTTACATCTGATCAAACAGCAGGAATGCCAATAGTATAGAAACAGCAAGGTATGGGCAAAAATCATTAAGATTTACTGCTACCAAGACGAGTTAACTAAACGTTTTAGTTCAGATCCAGTCTTTTTTTAACTGATAAGAACATGGAATGGTCATGCAAATGTAATGCTTATTACAAATAAATATATATAGCTTTAGTGCTTGTTTTATATGTTTAGGGCTAGTTTTTATCACGATTTTGCTTGGAAACCTATAAAAACTTCCACAGCTTCCACATTCACCTCTTTTAGTGTATGTTTATAATAAACTTTTTTCTTGCCTCATATTTATGTCTTAAAATGTGTGTGATTTATATTTGTTAGTATACTATAGTTTATATTAAAACTCGGCATATCTAGTCTATTTTAATTGATCATTAAGAAGGCCTCTTAACTTTGAGAATTTACAACTTCTGTATGTTTGAAGACAGTATGTTGACCCCGAGGTTCGAAAAAAATAAATTGTAAACGCAAATGATTGATTGATGAATAAGGAGATGTGGTATGATTGCCAATGAGACAACTCTCGACCAGAGACCAAATTACGTAGAAGTTAGCAACTATGGGTCAGCGTAAGGTCTTCTACACTGAGCAAAACCAATACCGCACAGTAAGCTATAAAAGGCCACGAGATGCAAATGTAAAACAATTCAAACGAGACATCTAACAGCATGATTTATGTACAAAACAACAAACAAAAAACAAAGATCATACACAGCAACAAACGACAACCACTGACATACTCCTGACTTGTTCACATGGACTTCATCTCGTCCGGCAGTCTAACTTATGCTGAAAAGGGGGTGCGTCCATTTTGATTGCGTGGATTTATAACTACGTATCCACGTCCGATCGGAAATGGGACGTTAAATCCGGCGTCTCTCTGTAGGAGCATGCCATGATCTCTGCACGTCAAAGAACCTTTGTAACAACTTCTCCATGGGTCTATAGATTGCCCTTTTCGAGTAAAAATCTATCCCGAAAGAGCCAATGTACCCTTTTTATTAAACTTTCCCTCCTTCAAACCGGTTGTCACACTTATACATTTATTGTTAGTTTGTTCTCGAGCTGAATATGCATGAAATTTTTGACATTGAACGTTAAACTAACAACAATCAATTTATCATTTTCTTTAATGTCGTTGGTCGCTGTCTTACTTAGGCATAACCAAATCCTAACATCTCCTTTTATTCATAATTATGATTTTAATTAGTTAGGTCACGTTTTTTTTGTAATTTCGTGCTCTATCATTCATAATACTATTGACTTCATAAACACAAGGGCTATCCCTGATAAACATAAAAAGTAATTCGAGGTTGTTTTCTATCATTGTATCATTTTCGCTACGACAAATGAGAGGGGGTCTATGCATCACCCAGTTGAATCAACCACTGAATTTAACGATGGTTATGTAATCCTTTAGGCAACAAAATAAAGCTTTTCAAACAAGTACAATTTATAATCCAGGATAATGATTGTAACCACAAAAACATCAATCATACGTTGTCAATGTTCTGTCCTGAGGGCAGAAGACGTTGTAAAGATGGCCTCCTGACATTCACCGGTATATCTGAGGAAGTATATGAATCTGCACCATACTGAACGTAAGTTTTCATCTTGTTAATAATATTTTTTCATCAATTTGACACCCAATTGATTGTTTATGTAAATGAAATAAGCTGCATCTAACGAGATACATTTATGCAACCCAAGTGTTTAAACAACAAAACGTCAAATCAGAAAAAGACACGTGGACTTACAAAATGATAACAATATTTCTCATTCAGATATAACATGTATATAAAGAAGGTTGTTTTTTCATTTAACAGGTATATATGAAACACACTTTTTTTCAAACCGTAGTCATTTTGTAGTTTTGCTTTTGCTTTTTCTTAATTGAGCTTTATAAACACACTTAATCTAGCCACATTCTGTATGTGCTTGTCCCAAGTCAGGAGCCTGTAGTTCAATGGTTGTAGTTGGTTAATGTTTGTCATATTTGTTTTTCGTGAATTGTTTCGTTATAAATTAGACCGTTAGTTTTCTCAATTGAATAGTTTCATATTTTTCATGTCGGGGCCTTTTATAGCCGACTATACGGTATGGTTTTTTCTCATTGCTGAAGGCCGTACGGTTGCCTTTGATTGCTTACATCCACTTTAAATCATTTGAACTTTGGTGGATAGTTGGTCTCATTGGTAATCATACCACATCTCCTTACTTTTATATTCAGTAGTTATCCTTGTAATTGAATCACAATTGTAGTGTTATTCTGCTCATTTATTGTAAAATTGTCTGTTCTTATTCCAGCTCAGGGATGAGTACCACGGCTGGTCAAGAATATTTGTTTTTACTTGGTGATTTGGTTACCATCACCCTTTTATGTTATCTTCGTTAATTTCTTTCTGTCACTTTTATTGTTTGTTCTACTAAAACAAATGTTCAATTTCTCATGATTTATATTTAAATACAGGTACCTAAAAGTTGGTGCAGAAACATTTTGAACTAAAACTACCATCCCTCATTTTGGCATCAGGTAGGCAGTGGAAAGGATAAACACGGGTATTTTTTTTCCAACAGGAGCCTGAATCAACTTCCAGTAGTTTTATTGAACAAATTATAGAAACAACACGGTTTTGTTGCCAAAATATGTAATTAAAGTGACGGAAACAAAATGAACCAAAAACAAAAAAGGGGGACGTAAGTCATGCAGTCAACAAGTACCAAGTGCTAGTTTGAAATAAAAAAAAATAAAAAATTGAACGAAGTGAGACAGAAGCCTATTATTCGTAAGCAAAATGTAAAATATATCTGCATTTACAGCCATTTTTTTGTTTTATCTAGTGAAATGACTTCCAGCAGCATATTACTAGTACTTCTTGGTGTGGGCTATGTTTTAGGACACGGCAATCACGGTCATGCTCCCCCTGCCCCAGGGGCTACACCACCACCAGCGAATACTATGGGATTCCATGATACATCGTTAACACAGGATGAAGCGTAAGTTTAGAATCAAAAGTGACCTAACCTGTCTATATGATATGTTAAGTCATATCTCTTCAATGACATTTTATCTCAAAATATAGATGGAAGAGATAGATTTAACGTTTGCCGTTAATTTCGTTGTAAGTACATTCGACATGTTGTAGTCGCTTAAAATATTGATGTCAGTTCAATGATAATTCCATACTCCAGAAATTATTGAAGAATGGAAAAAAATGGAAAAATTGACATATATAAAATCTTCGATCAACTTTTTCTTTGAGTATTAAAATATAACATTTTCTTTCAGTCATATAAAGGAACATTTAAAGGATGAAATTGATGTCACGAAGAAAATGACACCACAAGAATTGGAATTCCATTATTTCAGGTAATTTTGTTCGTGCTTGAAATTCATGAAATATTTGCCACTTGACATTACGCTAATAACAATCTTTTTTACAAGGAGGCAATCATATACGGAAGTTAAACACAGTTTAAAAGATCTATTATAAACGAATTTTTTGGAACCTGGAAATTTCAAAGTAACTCATTGGAACAAAAAAAAATAACTATGAGCAAAACAACCCTAACCTTAACCCTAAACCCTAACCCTACAACAACATCCTCCCCCCCCCCCCAACCCATTTGCACAGATATGGTCTCGATAGATAGCAAGTCCGTATTTTCCTTTTTAAATCTTTTAAATCATTCGGATGAAAGATTAAATCAATATGCAAGAAATATTCAATGGCCAATTCACTGGAATTTAATCCGCAATATTTAGGAAGAGTTTTGGATGCACGGTAACTCCAAAATTTTGTTGATTTGTACAAAAAGGAGGTGTGGGGTGTACGTCAATTAGACAACAAACGAACAACACATTATATAAATAGGCGTCTAGAGGTCAATATACGGTCTTCAGTTTTTCTACATCATTGTAACGACATTATAAATTTTGACAAAATTTTTAACCAATCTATCATTAATAGGAGGAACTATCATTAACGTTAAATGAATGTAAAACAAATGTTATACACACTTACAGATTTGATTGGAATATTGTTGAAAAATAAAAAAATAATCCGTTTAATCATTGTTTAAGCCCAAACAATGATGACGGTTATTTTGAGCGTCCTTCCTGTATTGTTTGGTATTCCACTAATCTAGACAATACGAGCAGTGCTGAGTACTCACAACCCGCCATATATTAATAATGAATAATTAATAAAACCTTGACATTCGTTATCGTTGTTTCAGCCTTATTTTTTGTACTTCTTTGCAATGTGATGTTTAGACAGATCTACCACAGTCTACATTGAAATCAAATCAAATCCTCACTAGTTTTGGGGGGCGATTTAGAGCTTGACGTATTATAATTTCTATCTTTCAAGAGTACTTTGATCTACTCTAGTTGTCTTCGTTGTCTTTTTTGCTAAGTTGTGTTGTTAGTATGCTATTTAATTGAAATTTACCACACTTATACAGGAATCAAAGTCTCAAATACACCCAGTAAAACAAAATCATTTACTAGAAACAAAAGTGTTACCACGATATAAACCAGGGAGCTATACATGAACGTATTCCCATAACAGTGAACACACGAACATAACACGGTTATCAAATTCTAAGTGAAGAAAATTATACTGGAATCAAAGTCTTTTAACAGTCAATACAAGCAAGGTGGACCGGAGCCGTAGTCACATTCAAAACCAGAAGTATACAGAAATCAAAGTCTCAATAAAGTTAAAAAAAAAAAAAAAGAAAACCACACACACACAGAACATAATCAAGACAAGAAAATTAAGCATAAACCAAAACCTCAAATAAACCTTACTAAATCAAGCCCAAAGCAATAGGTAAATGACTTAGAAAGCTTTTTGAGGAGGATATCTACGGCTGACTACAATCTTTTAACATTTATTTCTACCTTTGTTTTAATCATTTTGTGTAATTTATTTTAGATTACACGACACAAACAATGATACCAAATTAGATGGTCTGGAGATTATGTCGGCTCTAAGTCACATTCAGCATATGTTTGAGATACAACCACAAGAGAAACAAGGAAAAACGGAGGCAGAAATACAGAAACTGCAAGCGGAGAGGAAAGCTGGTTCACTTCAGTATTTTGCAGGTAATTTTGGCTTCATCGAGTAACTTACAAAGACATAGAGTTCCTACATTCCTATTACATTTATTTCTTTATCTTTTCGACCCTTTTTTCTTGTCAATTTAAAATTCGAAATCCATCACGTTCTTTCGTTTGTTTAATTATTTAAAAAAGCTACACTAAGAAAACTCAAATTTCGATTATTTGTGAAATAGTGAGAATTTTTAACTTAAAATAAGACCACATTAAATGTTGATGCAACAACATGGGTTTAAAGAAGTAAGTTTTAGAACAAAAGATGAACGTATTTGAAAGTTAACGTCATTGGTGCAAATCTTGAATTTTATATTCTGCCACTGTTATTTCAGATGTTATTGACAACGTTCTGAAAGATGACGATTTCAACCATGATGGCTACATTTCATACCCAGAATACATGTCAGCAAGAAAACGTGATTATGTCAAACAACAACAAGAAATGGCACATCATAACCAAATGAATATGCAACAACAAGCTGCCATGCAACAGCAACAATACCAACAATACATGCAATGGCAACAACAGCAACAACATCAAGGCGGTAATGTACAACAATTTCAACAAAATCCACAACAATTTCAGCAACAACAGCATCAACAACAACTACAATACAATCCAAATCAACAACAACAACAACAGTATAATCCACCCCAGCAACAACAGTTTAAACAACCACAACAACAGTTCCAACAACCAGCACAGACTGGATCAAACCTGAAAATATAATGATGTGGTGTGATTTTGAAAACTTTCTGTTTAAATGAACTCTTTCTTCGTATGAGTGTTAGTGTGAATGAGCTGTAAATGTGTGTTATATGTGATCTGATTGACGTATGTGTGACCGTTTTGTGAATTTTGAACATTCCATACATTTGATAAATGTTGCATCTATTATGATCATGTGATGTTGAACCTGCTGTAAAATAAGAGTATACTTATTATTCTCATAGTTTTTGGAATATGAAAAAAAGATTAGTACTACGGATTCGGAAACAATTATATGTACAATTTTGGTTATACTAGAATTACTTTACTTTATTATCAACTGACCAAAATTTTGTGACATCGTATATACAGTATCTGCTTTGGGAAACAATCCCAGTTAACTCTAGTCAGTGACAACAAGGTTTACTAACCCCTTATTCTGTTAAAAATGTTAGATGATCTCTATCCTTTAGACACACCGAGTTAGTGATAAGAAAATGTATAAAAGAAAGCTGCATATTCGTAAATATCCTAATTTTGGTGACAGATCATAGGATATAAAATTTAAATTCAATACTTACACATTTGAAAAACGTGTCGAGAAGATATATACTAAATAATCAAAGTTTTAGGCTTTGCGCGCAATTATTGAATTATTGACCTTTTACGAACCTTTTCCTATTGGTAAATCATAATTTCATTACTAGATAATGTATTAAAAACAAAACTTGATTTTTTTATCAAAATATGAGGAGCTAGAAATTCATTGAGTTCGTGGAATTTGATGGAAGCATATAAAGATACTTTCAAATGCGACCATTTATTTTCCACTTGTTGTATACTTGAAGACTGCTGTACGACATTGCAGCTGTGTTATTCTGAAATGCATATCAGTCATTCGTTTGTACAGAAACTATTTATAATCATCTGTTGTAAACTTAATAAATTATTAACAAATTAATCTACAAATTTTGATTTATTCCTCCACTTTCGCAACATAATTTTAGGACGTCATAATTATATAACCATCTGAACTAGATTTACCCAGAGACGGATGAATAGTTGTTCAATTTACGGCTTTATACCACGAAAATCACAGGTTGTGAGGTTGAGCAGAAGCTTCGGGTGTCGTGGATTGAAGGGTTGGAGTTCAGACGTCAAGAGTAAATGCCTTTTTCATGTCTGCAGCTGGTAAATTCACAAAGATGTGTCTTTATTTAAGAAACAGCGAAAGCTTCCAATCGCATTAAATCATCATGCAGCATGTGTAAATATAAGAGACGGATTCAAGGGTAGAAAATGGTATATTTTGAGTCCGTTTATTCAAACTTACCACTTGCACAAACTTAGTTATGTATCTTTTCCACCCATGCATACACATAGGATGAAAATATCATTCCTTATAAGGCGTGGATGTTGTCAAAATTATTGTAACTAAAGACACCCTGAAATATTTCAGGACCTCCATAATTCGTTTTCAGGATATCCTGAAAACTTTCTGGACCTCAAAAATTCGATTGAAGGATATCCTTCAGTAGATTTCATCATATCCTAAAATCGATTTCACGATCTTCTTAAAAAAAGTTCAGGATATACTCAAGAAGAGTATTTTTAATGCTTTCTTATTAATAATGATTAAAAATATGACACTTGATTAACACCAACCACATATATAACGACATAATATACGGTATACAAAATATAGCTGTCCTATAATTCCATAGTGGACAAAGCAATTAAACCTACACGTGAAAACTGAGCGTTGATCATTTAACCCTGAAAAGAATACAAGAGGCTCCCCCCCCCCTCTTTCGTGGGAAAAATTTGGTTGATTACATAGGGAATCACTGAAGCTTGACTGGAGCGGCCCCCTCTTAGGCAGTCAGTGGGCCCCTCTTATGAAAATTTCTGGATCCGCCACTGCAATTGACAGTTTCAATAATGTAGATAATATTTTGATGTACATTTTTGCTATATATTGTGGCTCTTATCTTTTGTTTCGGCAAAAATTTCAGTAAATTGATAAAAATTGTCTTTCAGGGACAATAACTCCTAAAAGGAGTCAGTTGAGTATTTCGGCCATGTTGACTAATTGTGCTTAACATTTTTGCTATTTGCAATTTCTCTCTTTCTGTAATGGTTTCTGAAAAAAAACAACGAAAAATGGATAAAACCATCTTTCAAAGACAATAACTCCTATACCCCGTTAATTGACAATTTTGGCCAAGTTGACTTATTTGTAGATCTTATTGTTCTGGTCATTCTTACTGTAGAAAATTTCTCTCTGTTAATAGTTTTCAAGAAAATAATCAAAAACTGAAATTTACCAAAAAAAAAGGCATTAGAGGGGCAATAACTCCATAACAAGTTGTACGATTTTACTGAATTTCTGCATGAGTTAGACTTTGACCTGTTGATTAATTGTATACCTGTCAGATTTGCTCCAACTGCTTTAGATTTTGAGATTTAATATAATAACAGGAGTGCACATGCTGAAATGTCATGCCCGTTTTACTTATCATTGAATTCATGTTGAAAGTCTGTAATAAGAAGGTTTTATTACAAGTATTACATAAACTTAACATTATCCATGTTCTATGAAAATGAGGTCACAGTTAGATGAACCATGCCAGACAGACATGTACACCTTACAATCATTCCATACACCAAATATAGTGGTCCTATCGCTAATAATACCCAAGAAACAGATCAAACCACAAAATCTCGACATTGATCAATGAACCATGAAAATGAGGTCAAGATCATATGAACCCTGTCAGACAGACATGTACATCATACACCAAATATAATTGACCTATTGATTATAGTATCTGATAAACTGACAAAATTACAAAAACTTGTCATTGACCAATAAACCATAAAAGAGGTCAAGGTCAATTGAACCCTGCCAGACAAACATGTACATCTTACAATCATTTCATACACCAAATATAATTGACCTATTGCTTGTAATATCTGAGAAAAACAGACCAAACAACAAAAACTAAACATTGTCCAATAAACCATGAAATTGAGGTCAAGATCAGATGAAACACGCCAGTCAGACATGTTCACCTTATCACATATATAGTTGACATAATGCATATAGTATCTGACCACATAACTTTTACCTAGATCACTGATCCATGAAACTAGAGGCTCTCAAGAGCCTGTGTCGCTCACCTGGTTCTACTTTGGTTTTGGAAATCATGTAAAAATAGATTGAAATCATAACAGATACCCTAATAAAGATTGAAGCCAAATTTGGTTTAATATTGGCCCCGTAATTTAATAAAAAAATCCTGGTGGCCATCTTGAACAGTAAATCGGCAACAAAGTAGCAACACTTCATCAGCACCTCATAATGAACATTTATGCCATGTTTGGTTTCATTCCATTAAGCGGTTATCTAGAAGAAGACATTTGTATATATTTCCCATAGGGTCCTTTGTTAACCCAAGTTCCCCGTTGGCAGCCATCTTGGTTGCTGGATTTGCTACAAAGTAACAACACTTGGTCAGCACCTCATAAGGAACATTCATGCCATGTTTGGTTTCATTGCATTCAGTGGTTCTCTAAAAGAAGACTTTTGTATGTATTTCCCATAGGGTCCTGTGTTAAACTAAGTCCCCCACTGGCGACCATCTTGGATGATGGATCGGCTTCAAAGTAACAACTCATAAGGAACATTCATGCCATGTTTGGTTTCATTTCATTCAGTGGTTCTCTAGAAGTTCAAAATGTAAAAAGTTAAAGACGACGACGGACCACAGATGCCAAGTGATGAGAAAAGCTCACTTGGCCCTTTGGGCCAGGTGAGCTAAAAAGGTGGAGGTCATGTGAACCCTACCTGATGACTTGTAAAGGTTGCAGGAGTAATACCACCATGGATTTTCCCCAATAAGTCTTTATTAAATTTTCATTTTTCAAAAAATTGTGCAGAATTTATCTTTGTTTCAAATATAGAAATACTTGGCATGAGTAAAGTCTTGACCTGTCCAGTACTATAGACAAACAAAATTTCACATAACATTTCATTGCATATAAGAAAATAACCATCACTGGAAGTTAACCAATCAAATTTTCACCCTATTTTTTTCCTGTGTACAAGCTTTAGTAACCACGTAACCTCAAGTTTCCAAAATATTCTATAGAAACACCAAATAAAACAAGAATGTGTCCATAGTACACGGATGCCCCACTCGCACTATCATTTTCTATGTTCAGTGGACCGTGAAATTGGGGTCAAAATTCTAATTTGGCATTAAAATTAGAAAAATCATATCATAGGGAACATGTGTACTAAGTTTCAAGTTGATTTGACTTCAACTTCAAAAACTACCTTGACCAAAAACTTTAACCTGAAGCGGGACAGATGGACGGACAGACCGAAAAACATAATACCCCTCTACTATCATAGGTGGGGCATAAAAATAAGGTTGCTTTGAAACACCCATGATATATGTTTATGACTCAGAAATTTTTTACTGCAATGAAATGTAGGATTAATTTCCTACAACTGTCAAATTCAAGGAAATATATTTTTTTTACCCTTTTTTGTATGCAACCGGATGTGACGTACTATGATTTGGTGGTATTACACCTGCAAGGAACCCATATACCAAATATAGTTATCCTATTATTTCACTTGACAAAAAAACTAAAAAAATTTCAAGCAGTTACTGAACCATGAAAATGAGGTCAAGGACAATGGACATATGACAGACGGAAACTTCGTAACAGAAGGTATCTGTATACAAAAAGCATCCATACATTATACAAATAGTTAACGCTATCAGCATATTGTAATCCCTATGTCTTGCATTCTGCGACGAAGGTCGCAGTCTAGACAATAAAATAACATTTCAGGGCCAATAACTCAAAAATGTGTAGTGCGATTGTTCTGAAAATTGTACCTTAACGAAATTGACCTGTTCATCATTATAACCCTGTCAGATTTGCTATATCTGCTTCAGTTTTTGAAATATAAGCCAAAAATTTCATTTTACCCTCCTGTTCTATTTTTAGTAACAGTAGCAATGTATTTTGATTAATCAAATCCCTGGATACCTAAATACCCGAAGGAATATTCTGGTAAAGTTTGGTAACCTTTGGTCGCCTAGTAGTTTCAGAGGGGTTTTGAAGTTTGGATTTAAATGTAACAATGGGCATCTTCTTGTCATTATATTCTACCACATATTCAAGAAAGGTTACAAACCATATTTAAAGTATTTAGTAAACATCTGGAAACCCAAGACAACTAACAAACTGCCGGCAATATCAAAACCTATTTACCACACTTCTTCATAGCATGGAGTATAATTAGTAAACACAAGTGATATAATGTTGTAACAAGAGTGCACACACTGAAATGTCTCTTTCACAAGGTAACAGTCTGCAGGAAGACATGTCACCCTACCCAGACACATTATTCAGATTGTCAGCCGACCAGTCTTTGCTCTAACTCCGTTTTTAATGCTGCTTATTTATCAGAAAAGCAGATACTACCAATTTTACTTTGGTTTGACCAGGCCAGGGCTTGAACCCACAACCTCCAGTACTTTTAAGACAAACACGCTGCTTCAATAACACAATAAGCTAAAAGGGCATTTAACTCCTATAAAGGGACAATTAACAATTTCAGCGAGGAAGACTTATTTGTAGATCCTAAGCCTTATTTGTATATATATTGCTGAACATTTTTGTTATTTACAATCTTTTGTAGTGTCAGCAAAAAGGATGAAAAATTGTCTTCAAAGGGCAAAACTCCAATAAGATGGTAATTTAGTATTTCGGCCATGTTGACTTGTTTGTAAATCTTCTTTTGCTGATTTTTTTTGCCTTTACAATTTTTCTCTATTATAGTTTCTGCAAAAAATAGTAAGAATCATATTTCAATGACAATAACTCTAATAAGGGGTCAATTAGTTTTCAAGATAATAAATCAAGGGCATCCGATACAGTTTCACGTTATATTGTCACTTTCATAATTTTGAAACATGTTATAGGCCTGGGTGAGTTATAAAAAAAATCACCAAATATAACATAGGATACCGTGCTTGTTTTCGAGAAAATTAAGGCTGAAAATTGGGGATTTTAGCACTTTAAAAAAAAATTTAAGCAAAGTTATAAAAATTTTAGAGTAGATATTTTTTGTCATCAATTGATAAGATTGGATTCATTTTGAAGCTGTGATAAGTGGAAATAAGGGAAAAATAAATCCAAAAGAAAGAGTAGTTAATTATTCAAGCCATGCTTAACATTACAGATAAGATGCTGAAAGCGGGATATTTTTTTCACCTTAAAATGTAGAAATCAAGAGGTTCTTATAATGTCATTTCTCTCATTTTTCTACATTAACTGCCTTTTGTCATGTTTTCTCCAAATAATGAATAAAAATGATATGTCACCATGCTTGATTTTAAGAAATTGCGATTAATCCTAAAAATTGCGTCCCCCTTGGTAACCTCAATGTTAGTGAGAAAATGCACGACGTCACTGGCAGACAATTTCAACATCTCTTACCAATTATCCCTAAAGGTTATCGTCAACATTTTTCAGGTGTATATATATATTGTTTATAAAGAGCTACATTAAAATAATATTGTTTTCGGAAATAAAAATATTTTTTTTTACTAAATACCTCTCTTTTTTTATTCTGTTCATGTTTTAAGTGAGAAACATTTCAGGTATAGTTATGCGCTGTTGAATTTCTTTGCATATTAATTTTAAGAATTGTGGCAATTTATAGCTAGACATGCTGGTACTGTGTACACACTCATGTATTGTTTTAGACCATATGTTGACCTCTAGATGTTTTTTTTTGTTTTGGTTGTTGGGCTGCTGTTTCATTCACATACACCAAAACATCATTTTGTTCACATTTAAATTCAGTATTTCATGGGATTTTGTTGTAGAGTTGTATTATCGTTAATAATGGCAGAAAACAATTATTACCGTGTGCTCTCATATTTGACATACTAGTAAATAAATGGAATAAAATGCATATGTTCCAGGAGAAAATTTACTTCTTTTTGAGTGTTGCTGTTTTTTATACAAGGCATTACAACAATTAAAACTTGATTTTTGTGCTATCTGAACTTTCGATATGAGATTTTAAAGATCATTGATACAAATCGATATTGACTTTGCTTGCAACTAAAATGCACTGTAAAACTATGTTTTGTGTGCTGTCAGTTGTCTTGAGATTGCTCACTGTATATTTTATTGACTTCATTGTTGAAGACATCACAGAAGCTTCAAGACAAGGAACAGCAGAAACAGTAATATGTGTTCAATTTCTTATGATTTCATTAGACTTTTATCCCGTGTATATATATCCAAAATCTTGGAATAAAATGCACTAATCTTAAGGTCGTAGATGGTGACTTGTGTGAGACATAAAAATTGGAGCATCGTTTGTACTAAATATCGTTCCTAACCATTGTTGAACTTGCATTATAATGTTTTTTTTTCAGATACTCAGTATACTAACTTTGAGGCAATCAATGATTGAAAGTCCAACATATCTTTAATGTATTTCATTATAAACAGGACAAATAAAAATGCATATCACATAAAATACAATATAGAAATGACTAGCACTGAAATCAAAATTATTCTTTATAGTTATTTCGTGTAAAAGTCTGAAATATACAGTTGTGAAATCATTAAACAGTTTTCCTCAATAGTCAAGTAGTATGTTGAGGGATTCTTCAAAATTAACATCTATTTGTCAAAGTTTTCAACACTATTTTATTATGTTACTATGGTAATGTTTTACCTTACAAAAGGAGTCAAAAAGTGAAAACTATTTCTAACTTCTTAAATCAAATGTTTGAATAATGTGTTAAAGCAATGTTTATATCTAACTTCCATATAAGGATCTAAGTCAGTTATTTCTATCAATTCAACTAATAGAAACTTAACACATGTTTCAAAAATGACTATGGAAATACAAGAAAGTAGTTTGATGAAGGCCCTGTATCTATATTAATCTACTGTTTAAGCTTTCTTGATTATTTTCATGTAGTGGTTGATTGATTGTTGGTTGCTTAACAACCATTTTCTGTAGTGAACATTGATACAATAATAATACACAAAATCTGCCATATCCTGCAGATAACTTTATAAGAAAACAATCATTCACCAGTTTTTTCTCCAAATCAGAGATGTTATATTTCATTCTACTTTATTGGATGTTGGGTGGAATACTGTTCACTAAATGTAATTCAAATAAAAAAATCTATTTCAACCTAATTTGAATAGAAACTATGTAGCACTTAATCTAATATTCATTAAGTAGTCTTTCCTAAGGTTTATAACTATATGTTGAAGCTTAAAGGCAATTTAAAAATATGAATGTATAAGTGGCTATATTACAGCATATTGACTCAATTGGTTTTTTTTTTCCTTTGTTGTGATGTTTCAATATACACTGTATCTATTGTGTGTAGTATACATAAAGTGTAAAAAAGATAAGAATCTAAAACACACTAAAGTAATATTGAATCACAACCAGTTTTTTTATCATGTTACAAAATAAGTCAAACATTATAATACTATCATTCTTCTACAGTGAAACAATTTTGTTTCATTCATAAAATAATATACACACTATTTTGAAGTTGTATAAATAAATAAAATTCTGAATAAAATTTTAAACAATACACATGTATCTGTTTATATGCATTCTACTAAAAATTAAGGTTTAAAACACTCTGGATATGCATGTTTGGAAAATTCCTTTTTGATGTATCACTTTTTTCTCTTGCGTTGTTGATTGATTAATTGTCCGGCCACATTCATGACAAGACTTGTACACAAAATGAAGTTTTTAATATTAATCTTTAAATAAACTTTATTGTACTGATATTAAAAAATCAACTCCTTCTTATATACATGTAATGTCAAATATAAATGAATCTTCTTCTTTAAAGATTACTATATATAACAGAACATTAATGTCACTACATTTGTTTGTCTGTTCACCTATTCCATGGCAAAATATAAAGCTCGTCAGCATGATTAGCATTTAAAAAGCTCAATAAAGCAAAAATAAAAAGCTGCTTCTCTAATGCCTTAATTTCTTCCTGAAACCATACTGCAGTACTGACAGTACTAATATTTCATACAAAAAGTAAATCTCCTGTTACATCACATGGTTACATGAAACCTGGGTTAACTGATAGTATTATTGCCTTTCCCAAGGACAAGCCCTGGAGAGATTCCACTCAGATGGCCAGTCAAGTCATGATCAAACTTTTACAATCAACAATTGTCAGGTTCACCTGAGCTTTCATCATCGTCAATTGGACCCAAAGGTTCACTAGTCAGCAGTAATCCATGGTCATATAAAACTGATGCTATGGCAATCTGCAAAATGAAAATGGAGAAAATAGTATTTAAACAAGCATTCTGAGAGTATTGCATGGCAATACATAGTCCCCTACCGGGTAAAACTTCATTTTACTGGAACAAAATGCTAACTTGTTCTATAACTTGTCATGGTGTAAACAAAAAGTAAATATCATGTCAATATCTTCAAGCATGACTAGTGTGGAAAACTGATTATATGAGTGAAAAAAACATTAGATATGATTAATAGTTCTCTAAAATTAGATATGATGTAATACAGTGTATATCTATTTTCAAATTATAATCAAATATAATTAATAGTTCCAAATATTTTTTCTTTCATTTGTCACAAACTAATATAGATTTGTAACTTATCTATAAAATGTCAACAACTTTTATCTACACAATGTAATGTATTGAAATATATACATTAATAAAAATAGATTATTATCTAATTAAAGGATTTCTCTTCATATTTTTTTTATTATATATAGCATTCAGAAAATTAGTTTATACTAAATAACAAACAAACCTGCCAAAAAATTCCTGCAAATAATTCAACAAAGAATGTCTTTTAAAAAATGAGTTATCTCCCTTTGTACATAAATATGGTTTAACATAGTACTCTAGCTAACATTAGATATGGTCCAGAGTTATGGTCCATAACTCTGGACTAAATCATCAGACCAGAACAAAATTAGAAATTGATCTATAACTTGTCATGATAAAACTATATACCAAATATCAAATCAATATCTTCCAAGAACGAAGAAAAAAAGTGTGGAAAGCTGATTTGCCCGGACTGACGGATGGACAGACCTAAAGTCCCCTTCGACTTTGTCGGTAGGGGACTAATAAATATAATGCAATATTACAATAAATTGCTTAGCAGAGCGCAGCTGGATACGACCGCAGAGGTCCAACCCTGAACAAAAATGGACACAATATTCGCGCTTGATACAGGTCTGAATTTGGATTGTAATTAAATGTTTGACACATAATAGGTTTCTGACACAGAATAACTGTAGTCAAAGAACTTAGAATTGGTTATATGATTTCTTTCGAAAATTGACAATTTCTTAAATCTTGAGGAAAAAAAATTGCCCTCCCCCCCCCCCCCTCCCCCTTATTTGAAAAAAATAACATTTGAAGAAATTTTCTATTTGTAAACTGTGGTACAATTTAAGAAAAATTTGTAAGGGTTCCGCGGAACCCAGTGTCTCGCCTACTTTTTCTGTTAATCGCAGGCTCAACAAATAGTATAAGAAAGTTATTAAAATTTTTAAAACTTTAACGACAAGTGAATGTTTTGTTTCCTGGCAGAAAATCTAAGTCCATTTAAAAGTAAAATATGGAAAAAATGGATTTATTTTTTTACAAAATTTCCTTCTAGATACTAGCTTTTGTTCATAAACAAGCTTCTGTCCAAGTTTGGTACAAATCCAAAATAGTATAAGAAAGTTATTAAAATTTTAAAAACTTAAACCACAGAGTGAATGTGTTGTTTCCCGGCAGAAAATCTAAGTCCATTTAAAAGTAAAATACGGAAAAAATGGTTTTTTTTTTTTACAAAATTTACTTCTGGATACTATCTTATGATCATAAACAAGCTTCTGTCCAAGTTTGGTAGAAACCCAGGATAGTTTAAGAAAGTTATTAAAATTTTAAAAACTTTAACCACAGAGTGAATGTAATATTTCCCAGCAGAAAAACTAAGTCCATTTATAAGTAAAATACGGAAAAAATGGAATTTTATTTTTACAAAATTTACTTCTGGATACTATCTTATGGTCATAAACAAGCTTCTGTCCAAGTTTGGTAGAAATCCAGGATAGTTTAAGAAAGTTTTTAAAATTTCAAAAACTTTAACCACAGAGTGAATATTTGTGGACGCCGCCGCCGCCGACGGAATGTAGGATCGCTATGTCTCGCTTTTTCGACTAAAGTCGAAGGCTCGACAAAAATCAAGACCCTTTTTACCCCCTAATTCCTGAACGGTTTGGGCAACTACCCCCAAAATGAATCCCAACCTTCTATTTGAGGTATTGAACCTTGTGATACAATTTCAGAGCAATCACAATACTTATAATACACAAGTTATTGTCCTGAAACTAGAAAAATGATTGTTTTGGACCCCCTTTGGGCCCCTAATTACTAAACGGTTGGGACTATCACCCCCAAAAACAATCCCAACCTTCCTTTTGTGGTATTGAACCTTTTGGTTAAATTTCATAGAGATCCATAAACATAAACTAAAGTTATTTTCCGGAAACCAAATGTCTTCGGACGATGACGACGTGATAGCATTATATGACCCCAAAATTTGTTTGTGGCCGTATAAAAATTATGCATTCATCTCTTATTTTCTGAAATAATTCTTTCAAATAGAACATTTGTATAGAATGCACATAAAATCAATGAAAAATGTTCTTACATATGTCTTAAATTCATCATATCTCCAATTACAAATCCATAGAAATTTCTATAAAAGTTAAATGTTATTGAGACATTAATTTCCATTTTAATTTCTTAAAATAAAAACAAAGTCGCTGGTCTATCATTATTTTACCTCATTAAAACAGACAGCTATTGGCTATATAAGGGCCATCAGTTTTTATTAATGGAGGTAGCCAGAGTGTCCAGAGAGAACCTTGAACTTCAGAAAAACTGATAAACTTAGTCAATTAAAATTAAAACCAAATGCACCTGACACATGCGGGATATAAACTCACAGCCTCATTGATGACAGATGAGTGATACAGTAGATGAACTACATATACCACACTGCAACCTAGGCCCCTCCTCCTTTTGATAAAGTATGCAAACAAGTAATGTTTTCATACAAATACATTCCACAATTTTAGTCTTCACCACAATTTTGCTTATAAAACCTTACTTTTTCATCCAATGTTCCTAAAGGAAGACTGTCAATGGCGACATATTCAGGATAGGAGTGGATGAGGTACTCAACTGCAGGTCCAGCCTAAAAAATATAACAAATATCTATAGGAAAATGGTCAACAGAGACATAATCAGGATAGGAGTGAATGAAGTACTCCACTGCAGGTCCAGCCTGAAAAATATAACAAATATTTATAGGAAGATGGTCGACAGACATAATCAGGATAGGAGTGGATGAGGTACTCCACTGCAGATCCAGCCGGAAAAATCAACAAATCATTGATATATTAAACATATATACTACCATTTTATGAACATATAATTGATTGTAATGATTAATGTTTGTTCTTTGTTTGTGTGTTGATGACAATCCAGATTTTGGACTTTATATCAATACAATCATTGACTTTGACTTCACAAGAGACATAAATATCATTATCTTATAAACTAAGAAAACCAAAGAAGGGACAGTTGTACATGTCACTCAAAAAGTGGTTCCATATTATTGATCAGAACCTTTTTTTAGATGTGGACTTCCTGCTATATGGTGCTCACTAATATCAGGTTTCTTTAGGAATGTCAATTAGGGAATGATGATTTACAATCCAACACAGGTGCACTGTTTCTATTTCTATTATCTTTTTCTTCATATCCTTCAATATTTTATTCATGAATATGAACCATTGTTGAAAATTAAAAAAAAATAAATGTGGATAGTGTCCACATGTGGACACAGATGATGCCCCCGCTTGCATATCATATAGTTATAAAGGGACATAACTGAAGAACAGTAAAAGTGACACTACCCAAATTTGAACTTGATCTGAGTTTTGTGTGTAAGTCTCATAGCATTTGGTTGAGGCTAACTTAAGTAGAGAACAGAAACTAAAAATTCAGCAATTTTTCTATTTATAAAGGGGCATAACTCAATAATGGTTAAAGTGACACTACCCAAATTCAACTTGATCTGTGTTTTATCAGTGGAAGTCAAAATTAAACATTGCATTGTATAAAGCATTCATTGTAGTTGATTCAACTATAATCATGGACAAAGGAAGATAACTCCAATTTTAAAAATAAAATGCTTCGCTGGGCGCAGCTTGATACGACCGCAGAGGTCGAACCCTGAACAGTTGGGGCAAGTATGGACACAACATTCAAGCTTGATACAGCTCTGAATTTGGATTGTGATTAAATATTTGACACAGCATAGTTTTCTGACACAGAAAGAATGTGGTCTAAGAACACCAATTTTTTTAATTTACCTATTATGGTTCAATGTCCAAAATCAAAATACATGGTTAGATTCAGCATATCAAAGAACCCCATATATTCAATTTTTGTTGAAATCAAACAAAGTTTAATTTTGGACCCCAACTTGGACAAACTTGAATACTGGTCCCATAATCAAAAATCTAAACACATGTTTAGATTCAGCATATCAAAGTACTCCAAGAATTCAATTTTTGTTAAAATCAAACTAAGTTTAATTTTGGACCCTTTGGACCTTAATGTAGACCAATTTGATAGCAGGCCCACAAAATAAAAAATCTAAATACATGGTAAGATTCAGCATATCAAAGAACCCCATATATTCAATTTTTGTTGAAATCAAACAAAGTTTAATTTTGGACCCCAATTTGGACCAACTTGAAAACTGGACCAAAAATCTAAAATCTAAATACATGTTTAGATTCAGCATATCAAAGAACCCCATATATTCAATTTTTGTTGAAATCAAACAAAGTTTAATTTTGTACCCCAACTTGGACCAACTTGAAAACTGGGCCCATAATCAAAAATCTAAACACATGTTTAGATTCAGCATATCAAAGAACCCCAAGAATTCAATTTTTGTTAAAATCAAACTAAGTTTAATTTTGGACCCTTTGGACCTTAATGTAGACCAATTTAAAAACGGGACCCAAAATTAAAAATCTAAATACACGGTTAGATTTGGCATATCAAAGAACCCCAATAATTCAATTTTTGATGAAATCAAACAAAGTTTAATTTTGGACCCTTTTGACCTCAATATGAACCAATTTGATAGCGGGTCCACAAATAAAAAATCTAAATACATGTTTAGATTCAGCATATCAAAGAACCCCAAGAATTCAATTTTTGATGAAATCAAACAAAGTTTAATTTTGGACCCTTTTGACCTCAATGTGGACAAAGTTGATAATGGGGCCCAAAAATCAAAAATCTAAATACATGGTTAGATTCAGCATATCAAAGAACCCCATATATTCAATTTTTGTTGAAATCAAACAAAGTTTAATTTTGGACCCCGATTTGGACCAACTTGAAAACTGGGCCCATAATCAAAAATCGAAATACATGTTTAGATTCAGCATATCAAAGTACCCTAAAAATTCAATTTTTGTTAAAATCAAACTAAGTTTAATTTTGGACCCTTTTGACCTTAATGTAGACCAATTTGAAAACGGAACCAAAAATTAAGAATCTAAATACACGGTTAGATTCGGCATATCAAAGAACCCCAATAATTCAATTTTTGATGAAATCAAACAAAGTTAAATTTTGGACCCTTTGGACCTCAATGTGGACCAATTTAAAAACGGGGCCCAAAATCCAAAAACTTAATACACGGTTAGATTCAGCATATTAAAGAACCCCAAGAATTCAAGAATAAAACCCCATTGAAATTGATCAAGAAATAAGCAAATTTATATGAAGTTTCTTCTTTTGCACAATACTGTGCAATTGAATATTTCTTGCTATTGTGCAATACTGTACAATTGACAATTTCTTGCTATTGCGCAATATTGTGCTATTGGATATTTCTTGCTATTGCGCAATACTGTGCAATTGAAGATTTCTTGCTATTGCGCAATAACGTGCAATTGAAGATTTCTTGCAATTGTGCAATACTGTGCAATTGAAAATTTCTTGCTATTGCACAATACTTATTATATAATAATTTACACATCCTGTTTGGTGTGTATCTCCGACCATATCATTATTATTTGCTTTTAAATATTAATCAGAAATAACCAACTTAAAATGGAAAATTTTAAAAGAAAAAAAAAAGGAAAAAAAGAAAAAAAAAGAAAAAAAAAAATCCCCCCCCCCAAATTTTTTGAACCCCCTTATGATTCATCACCCCCAAACTCAATCCCAGCCTTCCCTTTGTGGTATGGTACCTTGCAGTACAATTTCAGAGAGATCCATACACTTGAACACAAGTTATTGTCTGGAAACTAGAAAAATGCTTATTTTTGGCCCCTTTTTGGCCCCCAATTCCTAAACGTTTCGGGCAATTACCCCCAAACTCAATTACAGCTTTCCCTTTGTGATATGGAACCTTGTAGTACAATTTCAGAAATATCCAAACACTTACACACAAGTTATTGTCATGAAACTAGAAAAATGCTTGTTTTTTGCCCCTTTTTTGGCCCCTAATTCCTAAAATTTTGAGGCAATTACCCCCAAAATCAATTACAGCCTTCCCTTTGTGATATGGAACCTTGTGGTACAATGTCAGAGAGATCCATACACTTACACACAAGTTATTGTCTGGAAGTTACAAAAATGCTTATTTTTGGCCCCTAATTCCTTAACTGTTGGTACCATAACCCCCAAAATCAATCCCCACCTTCCTTTCGTGGTATTGAACCTTATGGTAAAATTTCATTAAGATCCATTCACTTAAACTAAAGTTAGAGTGCGAAAACCAATGTGTCTTCGGACGACGCCGGACGACGCCAGACGACGACGACGATGCCAACGTCATACCAATATACTAACAAAAAATTTTCAATTTTTGCGGTCGTATAAAAATCTAAATACATGTTTAGATTCAGCATATCAAAGAACCCTAAAATTAAAATTTTTGTTAAAATCAAACTAAGTTTAATTTTGGACCCTTTGGACCTTAATGTAGACCAATTTGAAAACGGAACCAAAAATTAAGAATCTAAATACACGGTTAGATTCGGCATATCAAAGAACCCCAATAATTCAATTTTTGATGAAATCAAACAAAGTTAAATTTTGGACCCTTTGGACCTCAATGTGGACCAATTGAAAAACGGGGCCCAAAATCCAAAAACTTAATACACGGTTAGATTCAGCATATTAAAGAACCCCAAGAATTCAAGAATAAAACCCCATTGAAATTGATCAAGAAATAAGTAATTTATACGAAGTATCTTCTTTTGCACAATACTGTGCAATTGAATATTTCTTGCTATTGCGCAATACTGTACAATTGACAATTTCTTGCTATTGCGCAATATTGTGCTATTGGATATTTCTTGCTATTGCGCAATACTGTGCAATTGAAGATTTCTTGCTATTGCGCAATACTGTGCAATTGAAGATTTCTTGCTATTGTGCAATACTGTGCAATTGAAAATTTCTTGCTATTGCACAATACTTATTATATAATAATTTACACATCCTGTTTGGTGTGTATCTCCTGCCATATCATTATTATTTGCTTTTAAATATAAATCAGAAATAACCAACTTAAAATGGAAAATTTTAAAAGAAAAAAAAAAGGAAAAAAAGAAAAAAAAAGAAAAAAAAAAATCCCCCCCCCACAAATTTTTTGAACCCCCTTATGATTCATCACCCCCAAACTCAATCCCAGCCTTCCCTTTGTGGTATGGTACCTTGCAGTACAATTTCAGAGAGATCCATACACTTGAACACAAGTTATTGTCTGGAAACTAGAAAAATGTGTTTTTTGGCCCCTTTTTGGCCCCCAATTCCTAAATATTTAGATCAATTACCCCCAAACTCAATTCCAGTTTTCCCTTTGTGATATGGAACCTTGTAGTACAATTTCAGAAATATCCAAACACTAACACACAAGTTATTGTCATGAAACTAGAAAAATGCTTGTTTTTTGCCCCTTTTTTGGCCCCTAATTCCTAAAATTTCAAGGCAATTACCCCCAAAATCAATCCCAGCATTCCCTGTGTGATATGGAACCTTGTGGTACAATGTCAGAGAGATTCATACACTAACACACAAGTTATGTCTGGAAGTTACAAAAATGCTTATTTTTGGCCCCTTTTTGGCCCCTAATTCCTTAACTGTTGCTACCATTACCCCCAAAATCAATCCCAACCTTCCTTTTGTGGTATTGAACCTTATGGTAAAATTTCATAGAGATCCATTCACCTAAACTAAAGTTAGAGTGCGAAAACCACTGTGTCTTTGGACGACGTCGGACGACGACGACGACGACGACGACGCCAACGTCATACCAATATACGACCGCAAAATTTTTTGCGGTCGTATAATAACTTGATATTTGGAAGAAAATAAAAATTTTGCAATTTTTTCCATTTATAAAGGGGCATAACTCTAGAACGGTTAAAGTGACGCCACCAAAATTCAAACTTGATCTGTGTTTTGTGGTAATAAGCATTGTGTATAAGTTTCATAACATTTGGTTGAGGCAAACTTAAGGTAGAGGACGAAAACTAAATATTTTGCAATTTTTCCATTTATAACGGGGCATAACTCTAGAACGGTTAAAGTGAAGCCATCAACATTCATAATTGATCTGTGTTTTGTAAGTAATAAGCCTTGTGTATAAGTTTCATAACATTTGGTTGAGGCAAACTTAAGTTAGAGAACGGAAACTAAAAATTTTGCAATTTTTCCATTTATAAAGGGGCATAACTCTAGAACGGTTAAAGTGATGCCACCAAAATTCAAACTAGATCTGTGTTTTGTGAAAATAAGCATTGTGTATAAGTTTCATAACATTTGGTTGAGGCAAACTCAAGTTAGAGAACGGAAAACCAATTTTGGGACGTACGGACGGACGTACGTAACGTACGTACGTACAGACGAACAAGGGTAAAACTTAATGCCCCCACCGCTACGGCGGGGGCATAAAAATGATAGTATGACGATGGACATTTTGTGTTGTATCAAATGTGTAGGTCTTGAAACTAGAACTAACCTACGTAGATAAAGTGTTTCCAAATGGCAGATGATATCAAACAACCACCAAACATAGGCTTGCCACTAGTAATGTATATAGCTTTTAACTCTTATACTTCTTATCTTACTTACCTCTGCAGATATTTCTATATATTGTGGATCAGATCCATGGTAGATACGAGTATTGTCAAGTGAATGATAAATTCTGACATCATCATCTTCTGTTAATAACCTGGAAACATAGAAAATTTAAACATTTTTATAATTCAGACACAATTTTGGAAAAAAAAACCAAAACTAAATACTTTTATATTATAATAACATGTTATCTGTATAATAGACTCGTGTTTCTGTCAAATTTAAAAAGGAGCATGGTTCTTTGATAAAATCAGTGGCATAACTTGTATGCATACACCATATTTCATACAAAAGTGAAAAAATGAATCTACACATTACGATCCATATGTATTTTTAACTCTTACAATGGTAAATGTTAAAAAATTGAAATTTATTAGCTGTATTTTATGTTTTAGCTTTAAGGTAGATGGGGTGTCTAAATAACAATCCATAGATTTTTTTAATAATTTGTCAAAATGTAGTTTATATCATGCTTTTTTTAAAAAAATAATAAAAAGAATGGGTCACGGGGCTTATTTTCACGCTACAGGTTGTGCAAAATTGACAGATTTTGTATAGATTATGCATGGAAAACCCAATTTTCTGCCATAAAACGAAAACTACACCATAGAATTTTGAGATAAAATATGAGAAGATAGCTCAAATATTATGCTTTCAGATAAGAAAAAGAAAAATTGGGGTCACCGGACCCGTTTTCTTGCTACATAATAAAATAGGGTAAATTCTTAACACATTCTATTGTAAAAATAACTTTATCTGAATTATCTGCCCTTACATTTGAGTTGCCTCCCCTTATGTGGCAAAGTTGGAAAAAATTGAATAAAACAAAAGTTTTCTGTTTTTTGTAAAATACAACCATAAATATGATAAAACATGTCATTTTCTGTATTAAAATGAAAATTCTTACACATGAATTACCTACTACTCTCAAAATTTGCACATTTTCTTAATGATCTAGACCGATTGTTTTATGGTATTTCAAAATCCAAGATGGAGGAAGACACCCTATCTACCTTAAAGTTCAAAAAGATATGGTAAAGTGATACTTTAATTACCATCCAGAAACTTGTGATGGACGAACATATGTAACACTATTTACCCCCCTCTTCAGTGGCAGGGCTTAAATCAAAGTACTTATGAGCACTGAAAGGTAAAGATTGCTTTCAATTTGCAATTTTGTGAATTTATACATAAAACATTGAATTGGATTTTGCTAGGCAAATTAAAAATTTGAGTTGGGAGTTATCTTCCTTTGTTCATGATTGTACATTTTAATTGATCCTATTTCTATAACAGATTCACACACCATGCATTACTTATGTAATTTTTAATAAAAATATGTTTTCTTGACAAGTCTGGTACACATCATATCGTAACTTAAATACAGGGTTTAAGCTAGGATTTTGAGGGCTTTAGTCACTTTTGCACGGGATGAAAATCAACCTTATTTTGGTTAGCAACAAGGGACCTAGGATGTATATTACTATCTATACATCTTTGTCAGACTTTGAAGGACTTCGGCATACTAGGCAGTTACTGCATGATTTAACTGATGTGGCACTTTAATACGAAGATTAGGATATAAGATCTAGAAATCTAGTTCACAATTTCACTTCAGTTAGTTTCAGGGTACATTCCTAATCAGCAAAAGTTGGGATCCATTTTTTTTAAACCAGGAATCACAGCATAAATGAACTTGTAAGGACTATTTCACTACATTATTCATACTCATTATCCTTAAAAACGTTTTAAAGCGATATTTCCAATTAATTCTATAAAGTTGGAACCAAGGATTTGTACAAATCCTTTTTGGAACAATTCTAATGACTTTAAATTGTAAATTTATCATGAATAGATCACATTTACTTTCGATTTCCAAATGAAATGAAAACGGGAAGTGACAAGTGGATAATAAATTCAGAATAAATTCAGAATGAATCCGGATTCATCTACGGATTGGTTCGTGTTTAAAAAAGGCAGGAAATTATCATTTTTTAAATTAAATTTGCTAAATAAGAACTATATTTATCTCTCTCGTTTAGTTTGATACTTAATTATTTCGTATTTTACGTTTTAGTGTCTTTAAATTCATAAGAATACTTTCGCGCGTGCGCAGTTCATCGTAAAGGAGCACCTGTTTGACTCGTGAAAACATTTCTGAATGTTATGAATAAAGTTCTATCTTTTTAATCGAAATTGTCGAAAGTTTTTGATAAAAAGTTATATCAAATATGATGAAAATACATTCATTTGACGAAACTACGACAAGCGATCTGCAAATTGTGATCGTTTGAGAAATATTGAAATTGAAATGCCGACTGACTGATTTTACTGGGGAAAATAATTATAATGATCAATTATGAGGTTGATAAATAAATAACGGATTAGTGACCCATCCGATGGCAATAAGCGGATTATCTGTAATCACAACTTATAACACCTGTTGTAAATGTTAATTAGCTGAGGGTCATAAACTTGTCAGAAACAATAAGACAGGTAGAATTATAGTATTTTCATGCGAAAATATTTTTACTCTTTCCAAATTTAAGTGACGAAATTGATTTGGAATACTTTTGTCATTTTGAAAACCGTTTCGTAAATGACGAAAATGACGAGTACTAGCAAAATCACTGCTTAAATATCATATAATCAATAAACTGCATGACATTGACTGGATTGGATCTAAATAATGATCATTTCACTGCACTAGTTTGTTTGAACTATCAAAGGTAGTGATAAACCTTGGAAGATATAGATATCAAGTCAGTACCATAGGGTTATGATTGCATTTCATGCAATCTTTACCCCAAAACAGTTACTATGTCCTCCTTTTTTGTTATTTTTTTTAAAGCTTTTAACAAGGGTTCTTCAGTGATCCCCAGTCCTAAAGCTTTCATTTGATACCAAAAAATACCTAAATATTTTTACAAATTTTTGAAATTACACTGTGCTTAAACTTGAAGTAATAAGAATCATCAGATCACAGAGATACAAAGTACCAAACAGAGCATTTGGCTTCACTTAAAAACATAAGTTCAACTGAATCAAAGGTTATGTTTTTCTAGGCTTTTCCAATCTGTACAACTCCAAACTTATTGAGAGTCAAATGTTATAACAGACTATCTAGTATCAAGTCATTTTCATAGTAGTAGGTCTATTCTTTAGCTTCTTCATACTAAAATTACATCCCGCAATACTTTCAAGAAAATAGTACCTGAGAACTCCTTTGCGAATAATTTTGATCTGTGTATCTGGTTCCATCTCAGCAGTACCAACAACACATTTTTTACTTTTCTCCCATCGTTCTCCATCACCATGTACACTACAAGATTTTTCAGCTGAAAGTAAACAGCAAAATAGTTTTATTGAAAAGCTATGAAAGATCTACCTCTTAGCTGTCTTGCAATTTTTTTGGGGGGTTTATAGAATTTTCGTGTGAATACAGATCTAGAGTCAATCCAATTTAGGCCCATCAATGTTTTAAAAAAAGGTTAGAGAACTGCCATGAACAATTTTTGATAATTTTGTTGTTGTACATGCATTGTGTCATCATATGTAGATAAGAAATATTTGCCACTGGACATTAAGCAACCAACAATCAGATAAGCAGCCAATTGATTTCACCTAATTCTACAATAAGTAGTCAGTAGCAGCAACATCCAACATTCTGATTAGACACCCTTCATAGAGGAATTTAGGCCATCGCAAAAAATTACATTAACTATAAGGGCATCATTCTTAGTCTCCAAGTTACAACATTTAAAACATATTGGCGATGATATATCTTTATCACATTTCCCACAAATTTAGAGGCAGCATCTCTGCAAAGCAAAGCTAATTGAAATGGAACCTAATGGCTTGTAAAGTGTCATTTATTGGAAAATTATATGATAACATGTAGCTACAGAACTTGAAAATTTAACACAGATAAATTGTAAACGCTGTAAAAAGCCATGTTTTGTACACTTCATGACTTTGCATCTGTCCCATGTGGCCAACAAAGTCAACATGAATAAACCTTGAACCAACAGTTAACTTAAGTGTTGTTGATTTTTAGTAATTAATATATATAATAATTAGCTATTGATTGATTTCTTTGTCAAGCCTGCAGATATAACTTTTTTTTTAATAGCTGTAAAGTGATAATTACTTTTATATTAAAAAAATTCCTGACCTGCTCATCTGTCAATATAATGCCATTTTAATTGAGGTACAAAAATTTGAATAAGAAAAAAAAAGTTTAACAAAATATTCCAACCCCCTATCAAATGACCCTCCCCTAAGCAGTCACCAAAATGTTAAAGACCAATGAAATGATTTGCAGATCTTTATTTTGAGTTTCCATCTTTATCAAATATTCAAAATCGCAGTAACAAGTATTAAACATATGATAAAATACAATACTAGCACAGTGGCAGAATCTGACATATGCCACTAGCTTGGTTAAAAAGAGGAAACAATTTTATTTTCATAGATTGTCAAATTCTGTTTAGTGAACTTGCCTTCCGAAAGAACAGGTGGTAAGCTATCATGTATGTAATGTTTAGATAACTGATCACAAGCAGAGTCCACTGGTGCGTAACTGATCAATTTTGTCATTAACTGCTGAATCTTACGTAAAAATACCTTCCTTTGGGGATTATCCTGAAAATATATTAAAAGTTATTGCATAAAAGATAATACATTTATAGAGAATATTAGTATCAGTACTCCCTATCTGGAATAACTTGTAGACTTATTGTCTAGGTAGATATATTACAGAATTGATACATGTATCAAATTTCTACCAATATCAGAATTTAGATCCCCCAAAATTGAGCCCAAGCTGATATAGTAAATAAAATGCTCCGCAGGGCCCAGCTTGATACGACCGCAGAGGTCAAACCCTGAACAGTTGGGGTAAGTATGGACACAACATTCAAGCTTGATACAGCTCTGAATTTGGATTGTGATTAAATATTTGACACAGCATAGGTTTCTGACACAGAATGAATGTGGTCTAAGAACTTAAAAATTTTAAATTGGACATTCACCTATTATGGTCCAATATCCAAAATCTAAATACATGGTTAGATTCAGCATATCAAAGAACCCCAAGAATTCAATTTTTGATGAAATCAAACAAAGTTTAATTTTGGACCCTTTTGACCTCAATGTGGACAAAGTTGATAACGGGGCCCAAAAATCAAAAATCTAAATACATGGTTAGATTCAGCATATCAAAGAACTCCATATATTCAATTTTTGTTGAAATCAAACAAAGTTTAATTTTGGACCCCGATTTGGACCAACTTGAAAACTGGGCCCATAATCAAAAATCTAAATACATGTTTAGATTCAGCATATCAAAGAACCCTAAAAATTCAATTTTTGTTAAAATCAAACTAAGTTAAATTTTGGACCCTTTGGACCTTTAATGTAGACCAATTTGAAAACGGAACCAAAAATTAAGAATCTAAACACACGGTTAGATTCGGCATATCAAAGAACCCCAATAATTCAATTTTTGATGAAATCAAACAAAGTTAAATTTTGGACCCTTTGGACCTCAATGTGGACCAATTTAAAAACGGGGCCCAAAATCCAAAAACTTAATACACGGTTAGATTCAGCATATTAAAGAACCCCAAGAATTCAAGAATAAAACCCCATTGAAATTGATCAAGAAATAAGCAATTTATACAAAGTATCTTCTTTTGCACAATACTGTGCAATTGAATATTTCTTGCTATTGCGCAATACTGTACAATTGACAATTTCTTGCTATTGCGCAATATTGTGCTATTGGATATTTCTTGCTATTGCGCAATACTGTGCAATTGAAGATTTCTTGCTATTGCGCAATACTGTGTAATTGAAGATTTCTTGCTATTGTGCAATACTGTGCAATTTGAAAATTTCTTGCTATTGCACAATACTTATTATATAATAATTTACACATCCTGTTTGGTGTGTATCTCCTACCATATCATTATTATTTGCTTTTAAATATAAATCAGAAATAACCAACTTAACATGGAAAATTTTAAAAGAAAAAAAAAAATCCCCCCCCCCCAAATTTTTTGAACCCCCTTATGATTCATCACCCCCAAACTCAATCCCAGCCTTCCCTTTGTGGTATGGTACCTTGCAGTACAATTTCAGAGAGATCCATACACTTGAACACAAGTTATTGTCTGGAAACTAGAATAAAATGCTTCGCTGGGGCGCAGCTTGATACGACCGCAGAGGTCGAACCCTGAACAGTTGGGGCAAGTATGGAAACAACATTCAAGCTTGATACAGCTCTGAATTTGGATTGTTATTAAATATTTGACACAGCATAGGTTTCTGACACAGAAAGAATGTGGTCTAAGAACTTGAATTTTTTTAATTTACCTATTATGGTCCAATGTCCAAAATCAAAATACATGGTTAGATTCAGCATATCAAAGAACCCCATATATTCAATTTTTGTTAAAATCAAACAAAGTTTAATTTTGGACCCCAACTTGGACAAACTTGAAAACTGGGCCCATAATCAAAAATCTAAACACATGTTTAGATTCAGCATATCAAAGAACCCCAAGAATTCAATTTTTGCTAAAATCAAACTAAGTTTAATTTTGGACCCTTTGGACCTTAATGTAGACCAATTTAGAAAACGGGACTTAAAATTAAAAATCTAAATACACGGTTAGATTTGGAATATCAAAGAACCCCAATAATTCAATTTTTGATGAAATCAAACAAAGTTTAATTTTGGACCCTTTTGACCTCAATATAAACCAATTTGATAGCGGGGCCCACAAATAAAAATTCTAAATTCATGGTTAGATTCAGCATATCAAAGAACCTCATATATTCAATTTTTGTTGAAATCAAACAAAGTTTAATTTTGGACCCCAATTTGGACCAACTTGAAAACTGGGCCCATAATCAAAAATCTAAATACATGTTTAGATTCAGCATATCAAAGAACCCCATATATTCAATTTTTGTTGAAATCAAACAAAGTTTAAATACTGGACCCTATCTTGGACCAACTTGAAAACTGGGCCCATAATCAAAAATCTAAACACATGTTTAGATTCAGCAAATCAAAGAACCCCAAGAATTTAATTTTTGTTAAAATCAAACTAAGTTTAATTTTGGACCCTTTGGACCTCAATGTAGACCAATTTAAAAAACAGGACCCAAAATTAAAAACCTAAATACACGGTTAGATTTGGAATATCAAAGAACCCCAATAATTCAATTTTAGATGAAATCAAACAAAGTTTAATTTTGGACCCTTTTGACCTCAATATGAACCAATTAGATAACGGGGTCCACAAATAAAAAATCTAAATACATGGTTAGATTCAGCATATCAAAGAACCCCAATAATTCAATTTTAGATGAAATCAAACAAAGTTTAATTTTGGACCCTTTTGACCTCAATATGAACCAATTAGATAACGGGGTCCACAAATAAAAAATCTAAATACATGGTTAGATTCAGCATATCAAAGAACCCCATATATTCAATTTTTGTTGAAATCAAACAAAGTTTAATTTTGGACCCCAATTTGGACCAACTTGAAAACTGGGCCAAAAATCAAAAATCTAAATACATGTTTAGATTCAGCATATCAAAGAACCTCATATATTCAATTTTTGCTAAAATCAAACAAAGTTTAATTTTGGACCCTTTGGACATTAATGTAGACCAATTTGAAAACTGGACCCAAAATTAAAAATCTAAATACACTGTTAGATTCGGCATAACAAATAAATAAATGTGATCACAGAATTTACAAATCTAATGCGCCATACTGTGCAATTAAACATTACTTCTTGAAATTTTTCAATATTTGAAATTTGAAAAAAAAATAATATTTGAAGAATAATTCTTTTTAATTTCTGAAATCTGAAATGAGAAAAAATTGGCCCCCCACAATTTCTTTTTATCCCCCCCCCCCTTTTTCCCCCCAAAAATTCTTTCCCTCAAGATATGGTCATAATCTCAATTCTAATTTCCAATGGAGTTGGCAACCATAATTACCCATTTAAATTTACCATAGTGCTAACTTAATCTATTTTATAATAGAATTAATAAAAATATAGTGTCAAATCTTTCATATGGATTTTTTTGTAAAAAAAAAAGATGAAAACATTTGCAGATATTTTTACTGGTCTTCCTTTATAAATATGCATTTCTTTAAACATAATTTAAAAGCAGTGTAAGGGAAGTAACCAAAACGTTGTATTTGGATTACCTCCCTTACACTGTTTTAGATTATCTTTATTGTTCATTAACCATTACTTTATACATAATTTAAAAGCAGTGTAAGGGAGATAATTTCAATGATGTATTTGATTTATCTCCCTTACACTGCTTTAAATTATGTTTTGTACTAAAGTATTTGTCCATTAACCAGGACAACCTTGTTTTTCCCCCTTTTTTGCCCCTAATTCCTCAACGGTTTGAGCCATAACCCCCCAAAGCAAATCCTAACCATCCCTTTGTGGTATGGAAACTTGTAGTATAATTTCAGAGAGATCCATACACCGTTCCACATTTATTGTCTGGAAACTAGAAAATGCTCATTTTTGGCCCCTTTTTGGCCCCTAATTCCTTAACTGTTGGTACCATAACCCCCAAAATCAATCCCAACCTTCCTTTTGTGGTATTTAACCTTATGGTCAAATTTCAAAAAGATCCATTCACTTAAACTAAAGTTAGAGTGCGAAAACCAATATGTATTCGGACGACGACGACGACGACGACGACAACGTCATACCAATATACGACCACAAAATTTTTTTGCGGTCGTATAAAAATGCTTATTTTTGGCCCCTTTTTGGCCCCCAATTCCTAAACGTTTCGAGCAATTACCCCAAAACTCAATTCCAGCTTTCCCTTTGTGATATGGAACCTTGTAGTACAATTTCAGAAATATCCAAACACTAACACACAAGTTATTGTCATGAAACTAGAAAAATGCTTGTTTTTTGCCCCTTTTTTTGGCCCCTAATTCCTAAAATTTTGAGGCAATTACCCCAAAATCAATTATAGCCTTCTCTTTGTGATATGGAACCTTGTGGTACAATGTCAGAGAGATCCATACACTTACACACAAGTTATTGTCTGGAAGTTACAAAAATGCTTATTTTTGGCCCCTATTTCCTTAACTGTTGGTACCATAACCCCCAAAATCAATCCCAACCTTCCTTTCGTGGTATAGAACCTTATGGTAAAATTTCATGGAGATCCATTCACTTAAACTAAAGTTAGAGTGCGAAAACCAATGTGTCTTCGGACGACGACGACGACGACGCCAACGTCATACCAATATACGACCAAAATTTTTTAATTTTTGCGGTCGTATAAAAACTTAGTCGCTTGTAACAAAATTCTGACATTATCTGTTTTTACTAATGTCCCTAGAGTCCCATAGCTATTATTGGGTCAAAAGAAGGTCAACCATAACAAAACTTATATATGATATGTGACTTCTCTTTTTACAATTATATACCAGATCTTACCTCATGATTATCTTCAATGAGGGTGATTACAGAGAAGAAGACTGTTAGACTGTCAATTAGAAATTTTTGCCATGTTTTTATATTTGCTAAAATTGAGACGGGATAAGTTTTGCAAAAACAAAAACTCACATTCTTAATTTAGATAGTATTTTGTTTTTTACAGCATTTCTTGAATCCAATAATTTAATCTTTTGTTTTTTACCATTGCTTAACCATGGCAATAATAAATGCATGCACAAATTTCTGAATTTACAGTATTTTCAAGATTTTTTTTAAGACCAATAACCATAATTACATCCAAAGTAGGTCAACAAGACTGAAACTTATATGTGATCTGAAAATAATCATTACAAAATTAAAACCCACAACTAGTATAATATCTACAAAGGCTGAAAAACCAAGAAAACAAGCGTTATTTCAATGAAATTTTCTAAGTTCAATGGCCATAATTTGATCAAAAGTTTGTCAATCAGAGTAAAGCTTTGTGATATGTAACTGTAATTAATCATTATTTAATCATAAACCATCAGCCCAATATCGACAAAGGCTGTGAAAATCAAAGAGAAAATTATTTTTTCCAGTGATATTTACTAAGTCTAATGGTCATATTAAGGTCAAAAGTATGTCTTTCTGAGAGAAACTCGTATGTGATCTGTACCTCACAATATGAAACATGGGATCACTTACTATATCAGAATTAGCTATTCCCATGACATCCATGTAATCTCTTGGAAGACCTTTTCTAAAGTCAACATCCTCTTCAATTGCAACCTGTAAAGCTCTTGGCATTAGCTGAAACACAACAAATAACAGTTTAACAGACATTAACTGAAACACAACAAATAACAGTTTAACAGGCATTAACTGAAACACAACAAATAACAGTTTAACAGGCATTAACTGAAACACAACAAATAATACTTTAACAGGCATTAACTGAAACACAAAAAATAATACTTTAACAGGCATTAACTGAAACACAAATGCCTATGTTATTAAATCACAGTAAGAAGGCATTGTTCAATGGTGTCATTTTAGCTGATTGACATCAGGTCAACAAGTGTAACTCATTTATAAAAACAAATCAAGATTGGTCTATTACTTGCTTGTTGTATTGTAAAATGTAAATTCCTAAGTTCTACAACTCTTTCAAAAAGACAAATTTAAAAATTAAATTTTACCTTTTCCAAAAGATCTCCCCAGGTATTTTTCTGGTAACAGGAAACAGTAATATGCAATGAATGTGTATCTTCTAAAGCTTTACCCTGTCAAAATAGAATCAAAATACTGAAGTACTGAACATCGGATGACCACAAGTTCTTGTGGATGGTCACAAGCACTTGTCTCAGAAAAAAAAATCACATCTCTATACCTGAAAGTGAGGTTAAGGTACATAGATATATTTTTTTCTGAGACAAGTTTGTGCATGGATGATGAATAAATGACAGGGAATTCAACCTCACTGTAATAACTATTATATTGTAGTGATACAAATCAGTATACTCTGGTTTGTTGTTATATATTATATCAATATTTGTATATAACAGTTACATGTATATATAATTTTCATCCATTTGTATATCATTCTATTCTACTATTCTAATAATAGTGCAGTGCAAGTGCATGGTGGACACTTTTCTGTAATAATTCGATTTTTCTAATAGATTGGCATTCATATTTTCCCGCAAAACGTTCTTGAGATATTCTTCTGCATGCGTTAACACAAATTTTCGGTATTCTTGATTTGTTATTGATATATATATTTCTCACGACAAAACATTTTCATATCATTTATCTATGTTCTTAAAAATTATTTTCATGAATATTTATTGATGAAGAAGAAATCAGGAATGTGGATCGAGGCACTTGAAGGGGATTTTGGTTTATCACAAATGAATTTTTTTTAATTAGAGAAACAGATTCTTACATAGTTACTCGCGGATTATCGGATTTATCCAATCTCAAAAGTTAACTTATTGAATTTTATAGTTCTCGCCAAGGCTCAGTCTTTAAAATTCGATAATAAATCTGATAATCCACTGGTACCAAAGTAAGAATCTCTATACAAATTGAATGTACCAGAATTCACACTAAAGTATACAGCTTTATGTTAACAAATTCCATGATATCAAACATAGATTGTCATGGAAGTTACATTCTGCAATGTAACCTTCATACAATACATTGTATAGATTTGGGCAATGTAACTTGTAGATTTTCAAAATGAAACTGGTTTTAAAATGTCTGACTTATCAAAGTTCTTGGTCTTTTCAAGGATTTTGGGTTCATGCTCCAAAACTATGATCAGATCATTCATAATTTTTAATTTTGATACTGTGTACTACCGGATGGATTACTCCCCTTGGGAAGTATAACGGATCACCAGGTTCTAGTACCTACCTGATGGATTACTCCCCTTGGGAAGTATAACAGATCGCCAGGTTCTAGTACCTACCTGATGGATTACTCCCCTTGGGAAGTATAACAGATCACCAGGTTCTAGTACCTACCTGATGGATTACTCCCCTTGGGAAGTATAACAGATCACCAGGTTCTAGTACAACATCCAATATAGGTTCTCCTATATCATCCTCAGAAAAATTACCTGAAATGACACAACATGGTAATTATATTATGACAATTAACTAAATTCTTTGTCTAAAAGTTTTAATTTACAAAATCTAAGGTAGAAGTATTAAAACAAATTACAGTTCACAAGAAAAATAGAGAAAATTCATTGTAAGTGTTGTATGCATATTTTATATATGTAATAGCTAAATAAATTCTAAGTTACAAACTGTATTATCCTAGTTAATAAATACATACCACTAGATAATCTTGGCAATGTTTCTGCATCAGACCTGGAAAAAATATTCTATTATTCAAAACAATTCAAAAAATTTCTTTTAAGTTCTTTACCAAATTCTAAATAAAACAACTGCTTACGTTCTTATAAATCTTACTTTCTATACTTGGATGTATAGATTGTTAATAAAAAGATGGAAATCTTTCAATATTTTCCCCCCAAAAGATTGCATCTCTGTATTTCATAGGTATAAAAATATGCAATAACACATTCAATCGTGTTGTACATATTTTATATACATTCAATCGTGTTGTACATATTTTATTTGACTTGAAACAGTTTAATGACTGAGATTTATATCATAACTTAAGTCCAATTCAAATAGCTATGGTTTAACCCACTAATAAGGAAAGCAAAAAACTTAATAATTGTCTGCAATTTATTACAATACCAACCTGGGGCTATACAATCGCCAGTATTTTTTGCCTTCTAATTGTAGAATAAATGCTTCTATATCATCATAATGGGGAGCAAAGCCTTGTGTTCCAGGTGGTGTCAAATACCTAAAGCAAAAATTATTATTATAAATAACTATTTTAAATCCTATGACACATAGTTTTATTATTAAAAAGGTAGTAAAATATAATGCAAATATAATCATGGCAAACTATAAGCTTTTCCAATTAAATTTCAGGTCAATTATCACATGATTATACAAAAAATATTTATTATAATTCCTTACATACTTCCTCACCATAGGAAAAAATAAAGGGAAAGTTCGATCACAATATAGAAGTAAAACATAAGAACTTACACATTAGCACCACAACAGCATCCAAAATATTCTTGTAAAACTGATAATAATTTCCAAACATTTCTGGAATATGTCTGAGGGTTTAACATTCTAACTGAGCAACCATTCTGCAAAATAACAGTTTAAATTATCTAAATTATACAACTATAACAATAATATATAAAAAAATATAAAGACCACAACATTCCCTATACAGTCTGCAGTGTTTAAGCTAGGATTTTGAGTGCTTTAGTCACTTTTGAGCGAGATGAAAATCAACATTATTTTGGGTAACAGCAAGGGACCAAGGTTGTATGTATATTACTAACTATACATCTTTGTCAGACTATGAAGGACTAATTGCATGATTTGACTGATGTGCCATTTAAATATGAATATTAGGATATAAGATCTGAAAATCTAGTTCAAAATTTTACTTCAATTAGTTTCAGGGGACATTCCTGATCAACAAAAGTTGGGTTCCTTTTTTTAAAACCAGGAATCACAGTATAAATGAACTTGTTGAACTTTGTAAGACTATTACACTGCATAATCATCATCCTTATAAGACGTTTAAATCGATATTTTGAATTAATTTCTTCAAAGTTGGAACCAAGGATTTGTACAAATTCACATGGAACGATTCCAATAACTGTAAACTGTAAAATTAATCGAGAATTGATCACGTTTACTTTCGATTTTCAAATGAAATGTAAACAGGAAGTGACAGGTAGATAATAAATTCAGAATGAATCCGGATTCATCTACCGATTGGTTCGTGTTTAAAAAAAGGCAGGAAATTATCATTTTTTTAATTTCAATTTGCTTAGTAAGAACTATATTTGTCTCTCATTTATTTTGGCACTAAATCTATTTCGTATTTTACGTTTTAGTGTCTATAAATTCATAGGAATACTTTCACGCATGTGCATGCAGTATATCGTAAAGGAAGCACCTGTTTGACTCGTTGATGATGATGGAAGTGTTTAACGTGAAAACAATTCTGAATGTTTTGAATAAATTTCTATCTTTTTAATCGAAATTGAACGTTTTATATCAAAGTTGACGAAAATACGATCAGCTGACGGAACTACGACAAATAACTGCAAGTTATGATCGTTTTAGAAATATTGAAATTAAAAAGCGAATTGTCCGGGGAAAAACAATTTTGTTCAAATGACGAAACTACGACAAGCGAACTGCAAATTGTGGTCGCTGGCCTTGAGAAATATTGAAATTAAAATGCAGACTGACTAATTTTACTGGGGAAAATAATTACCAGGTTAGTGACCCATCCGATGGCGATAAGCGGATTAGCTGTAATCACAACTTTATAACACCTGTTGTAAATGTTAATTAGCTGAGGGTCATAAACTTGTCAAAAACATGTAGACAGGTAGAATTATAGTATTTTCATGCGAAAATATTTTTACACTTTCCAAATTTAAGTGACGAAATTGATTTGAAATACTTTCGTCATTTTGAAAACAGTTTCGTAAATTACGAAAGTGACGAGTGCTAGCAAAATCACTGCAGTCTGCACATTTTTTTCCGCCTGGGGACAGGAAACAAACATATTGTTGTGTTTTTCTTTGTGTAATACACACTGGACACATGTTTCTACTACTTCAAAATAACATGACAGAAGCCCAAAAATGGAATAAATCTCAAGGATATTCCAGAAATAACAAAACACTGGCCATAGTTTTGGGGGACACTCTAATATAATTACATAAGGTGTTGGTTACTTTTGTTTTATGGTGACAGAGGATTACAAAATAATAAATAACAAAAATATGTGTCCATAGGGCATCATTCCCACACTATATCATTTGTGTACTGTGAAATCTAAGCCAAAGCCCTAATTTGCCATATGTATTAATATGTCCCAAGATACCTGATAAAAATCCCAAACAACAGGAGCATGGGCTCGACCTGCAGGATTGTGAGTTTCTCGTTTTCCATCAGTGAATGTGGTCACATCTAAATTTACACCAAAGTGAATATTTTCCTGAAAAATATAATCATTCAATGACATTTAAATGCTATTGATATATTTTTAGGATTTCATTAAAAGGGATTATGTTTTAGAAATACTCTAGGGGTTCATGCTTTGTTATGTAGGATTGAAATATTAAATCTTAAGTGTGAAACATAATTGGTTGTACTGAGAACCTTTCTTACCAGTTCAAAGCAGCAATACACTTTTTTAATGATGTACAAACAACACTTCTGTTTTTTTTTCAGAACAGACAAGAATCTCTACAGGGTTAAAAGGTCAGTTTAGTTCTATAATGCCATTAAATCCTAAAAACGTGGTAAAGTAAAGTTTCTAATATTGTTGTTTGAAAATTTGAATGTCAGGTCATGTCTGAAAGTGAGTGGAGCATTTTTTTAAGGAAAGGGTGAGGAATCTTAGTGATTGACATGCTTAACTTAGGAAAAGTACAGTATTTTATCCCCAACAGCCACAGTTAGAATCTGACCACAGCTTGAGTGTGACTTTCTATCTGTAAAATAACATTTAATCAGGTATCAGAACCATTCCCTATTGCAATAAAAAAAAAAACTTCATGTAATAGTAATTTTCAACTTAAGATGCGTATCGTTCTAAATCTTAGCAGTGGCTGAGTGGTCTAAGTAGTTCATCTATAGTTATGGCTAACCTAGTCAACTCTAACAGTTGTGGGTTCTAATCCTATTTCAACCAGGTGCATTCAACTACGATCTTAATTGACTAGGATGGTTAGTTTACCTGCAGAAGGTTGGTGGTTTTCTCTCACTACCTACAGCAATAAAAGTGTGTGGCCATGCTATAGCCAAGTGTGCTGAAATAGGTGTTAAACAACAATCAATACTATACCTGTCTTAAAATTTTATCTAATTCAGCAGTACTAAACCAGCCATCATTATAATTCTCTAAATGTCTTCTAACTAACAAAGGTTTCCTCTCCCATAGCTCTCTGAAATATTAATACATCTATTTTTTAATAAAAGGAGTAAATTAAGTATATACATTTTTTATGAATTATTTATTAATTTCAGTTAATTCTTGTTTGGATAAACACTTTATTTAATTTCATTTTATAGTTGTGGAAAAAGACTTGTATCAAAACAATACTTTTTAATGTTTGAGTTTGACAAACATGCATATCTATTTTGCCTGAAATTTGTTTTGCTTGTGTATGACTTTTTCCACTCTGGATACAAATGAAATCTTGTATTTGATTAAACAAGACAACAATACTAGTTTTATACATACTTGAAGAACTTATCAGGTTTGATGGGGTGAATTAGACACTCAAATATTTTCTTGGCTTCTTCTGTACTGTTGAACATATAAGGCAAGTTATGGTCCCACACTCCTGTGTTGTTCTCGTCAGTAAAACTCATCACTTGTTCTATATCCTAACAGAGAAGACATGATTTCTATAAATCACCATATTAGTATTTTGATCTTGCTTTCAGACACTGCAAGGATTCTTTGATACAGTACTATTTAGTATTGGTATATAGTTGTAACTCTTTTTTTATACGTTTGTAAAATCATTTAAAAAGATAGCTCCTTTTGTTGTCCTGATTTTTACTTTACTAAATGTTTTTCAACTGATCAAGAAAAGGGGGTGGTCGAGCTATGAATAAAACTAGATAAATGTGTAGTTCTTAATCAGGAACCTGATCACTGGTTGTTGGTTTATATCTTTAAGTTTTTTATCATTTCAGGGGGTACCCAAAACTTTGACTAAAATAGATTTGGCTCTTTTAATTTTCATAAAATTTTGACAAAATATTTACTTTTACCTGGTGACAAAAATTATAAAAATTTCAAGAAATTTGAACCACACAATGAATAATTTCATTGGATATATAGCAGTTTGACAAATGCTAATTTTGATCATTGAGAAGCTTGATTCTCTTTACTAATAGTATGTGATTAAACGTTCAGCTGATTTTTAAAGATTTTACTCCATTAGGTGTTCTGTACCCCTTTAAAGAATTTGTTGATGATTGCAGATTTTTGGTAGTTTGTTTTGTTAAAGGAGGAAGTGCATTAAAGGTCCTATTTGGCCAAAAAAAATAAAGGTTAAAAAAATCATGTGATTTTGGGAGTACAAATGTATGTGCTTAGTTAAAACTGAAGGATTTTTCGATTTTGTTGACACATACAGTTGAACCTCGTCATGTCGAAGGGACAGGACCAAAGTATTCAACTTATCCGAAGTTCTACTCATCCGAGGTCGAGTGTGTCGTCATAAATTTGGAACGCATGAAATACTGTATGAAATTTTGTGTAAACTAGATACTTTGAACAGTGTGCCTTTTTTTTATATGATGCTTTATGATTGTGTATTCAATCTCCATATTTTTTAGTTCTTCATAATAATTCAACACACAAGTACAGATACAAATCATGCACAAATAAAATCAATAGTATACACAAATATTTACAAAGGTCAGTCACTATAAATTATGAAATGGTTTCGATCATTTATCTTTTCAAGTTTTTGTCTGTTGTCTATATATAGTCCTATGGATTTGTTTGTTTATCTTTCCATGTTTTTGTCTGTTGTCTAAATATTATCCTGCAGATTTCAGTTTTTATTGTTTAACTTTTTAAGTCTGTAGTCTTGATCTTGGTCTATGGATTTGATTGTACCGTAAGTGCTCTGAATTATATTTTCTTTATAATAAAAAAAGTCTTTATCCTAAAAATAAATGTATAGGTTAGGCAGTACAACAAGGTTACACTTGATTACACTTTACCTCCATACTCTTGTCTTCTTTCCCAGTTTTCTTCTTTTTACTGGGCTCTGTGTCACCATCTTCACGTTGTCTTTTCCCTGATTTCTCTGAACTCAAAGGTCTTGCAATTTGTAATGCAGCTACACCAAGGTTTGGTGATGATTTCGATTTAGGAGATGTTTTCATAATATTTAGAGAATTTTGTGATCCAGCATTTGTTGGTTTTTGACTCTTTGGAGGAAGGCCAATTCTAACTGGCTTATTGATTGGAACTTTTGGCAAAGATGGAGTGTCATTGGTAGCACTGACAAGAACTGAAAAATTCAGTTGCAAATACTAAATAAAATAAAATTGAAATAAAATTCTAGATTTATAGATATATCTTATTTGTAATTGCAAAAGATTAAAAATATTAGGATCCTGTCATTGAAGACTGTCAAACTATGAGGTACTTGCAGAAAACTCTGGTATTTTAAGAACAATCTTCATTTAATTGTGAATGAAAAGAGATGTGGAGAAAGTGACCAAAATGACACAAAAAAAACTCAAAAGACATCTATCTAGGTCTTCATCATTAGAAATGTGTCTACATAATATATCGCACTCAAAATAATTTCATTCTGAAAACTTATCAATAAACCAGAAGTTATCAAGAATAATGGATGTGTACACATAATCAGCGAACTGTCTCATGTAGAGAGCTGATGTCATTGATATGTACATATAATTAGCTTACAGTTTACTAACTTTGTGCACTGAAATTTGCTTTAAATACCTGTTGTCTTTGGAGATCTTTTTCTAGTGACCATACTAGATGTTGAAGTAACAGTCAACAGATCTGGGTTAGACTTGACACTGGTCAAGGTGACAGAATCTGAGTCCCCTGCTACAGCTTGATCCTCCACCATCTTTAAGATCGATGGCCTAGATTTTGGGGTTCCTCTCATACTTTGCCTTAAGCTACCACCTTTCAACACTTTCTGAAATAGAAAGGCTCATCAAAATTTGTTATCTTCAATTACAATGTGATTGAAATGTTATGAAACATATTTCATAATGCCAATTCCAAATATTCAAGGAATGTTTTTATAAGCAGACAAGGAACACCGGAAAAAATACTTTTCAGTTGTATCTGGAGAAAAGACTATTCAGGTCAAGATTGATTGAACTAATCAAGGGTTGGCAAAAACCTGGGTTTCAAGAGTATTGCCAAGCCCAGTGGGAAGTATTGGGAAACCCCAGATTTTGCCAGGTAATACTGGGAAATATGTATACTGGGTAGTATGAAATAAAGGTTTGAATCTTTAAGAGAATTCAGTGATTAATTACAAATGCAATACATAAAAGTTACTGATCCAGCGTTTTTTCTCTCAAAAAATCTACAAGGAACACCAATTGATTTCATTTTCATTATAGTAAGTGCAGATATTAACAGTTTCATTTGAAAGATGGATATATTTGGTTAATTTCTATGGGATATACATGTTTGTTCTTTTTCATGTGTGTAAAATATAAAAATAAACATTTTTATTTATCATGTTTAAGATACTATACACATATTTTTCATTATAACTTAAATACAAATATTTACCAAAAGTTTTTTTCCTTTTGCACTCTTGCCATCATCAGTTTTTATCATTGGTGTACTAGAAGCTCTCCTGATATTTCCTTTCTCTTCTTCATTACTTACTTTAGGTGTGTCACCTTTTTCCTATTAAAATATAAAACAGGACTTCTATAGGCCTATTCACATTTTTAAAAGAATAATAAAAGCTGTATGCTTTGAACTTTATTGGAAAAAAAACCCCAATTTTTACACAAGCACTTCAGTAAGTGCATATATATATATCATGTTTGTGGTTTACCATCTTTGCCACAAGTTAATTGTTTTCTATTTGGTATTAAATTAATATAAAGATCCACTTTGTTACAACTTGTGATCAATTTATTTGGCAATCGTCAATGACAGTCAGCAGGGTTTAAGAACATCAGTTGTTCGACCTGTTACTCAAATGCGTTTTGTTAAAATATACTTTTTCACTTTTTTTGGTCTTTTGGAAAATGTTGTTTGTGCTGTTTTTAGACCCCTCTACAACGAAATTTGTTTTACATGCACACGTATAAAAATTGCGGTTTTTATCCAACGCAATCATAGGTTTGAACGTTGTTTTCAATTTAGACTTGTTTATATATATATTAAATGACTGAATAATAGCCAACAATAAATCTTACGGGGCGATGGATCATATGATTATGATACAGTACACTACAAAATATAATATATAACCAGTCTAAAAGGGTACAACATCACCAAAAAATAACAATAAAATGAACAAATGCAACTTTAAATATTTCGGATAACAGATATCCTTCATCAGTATGATCATGATGTAAAATGAATCTTATCAACCTATTCTGATTATAAAACTATAGCAATCTTGAATTCTATACAAAAAAACAGTTTTGCCAGAACATCATAGAGACGCTAGTACAATTCTAAAATTTCCAAACTCGGTGCAACGACATACGGTCACATACCTAAAATAAATAGTAATAATTTGCGATATGAGCTTGCACAACTTTAAAATTCCAAAGGTGACGACAGTTAAGATGTTACAGCTACTGCGTGGAAATACATTCCCAATAAACAGCACTGACCGATCTAAGCTTGTATAATATTTCAAATTTGACAAAGGTAGAGTAATTAAAACACAGAGGCTGCGTATTTAAACACCCCAAATAAATAGCAGTTTGATAATGATAAGAAAAATAATTGAAAGTGACTGCATACTTTTACATCCATCCCAAATGAGTAGAACCCTGTAATTAAAACTAGTATAATTAAAAATTCCTTAAAAATGTAGGAGTCTAGTACAGAAGCCGGAGTTACTGGAAACAAGTGATGGCAGGAAAAAAAGTGATAGCATGAAAATGAGTGATGGTAGGCAAAATGAGTGAAACATTCTATGTTTTTTTCATTTATGCCCTCTGAGGAAACTGTCCTTAGCTTTCTTATTCAAAACCTTACCCTAAGGATAAGAATGCTGTAACATCTTAACTGTCGTCACCTTTGGAATTTTAAAGTTGTGCAAGCTCATATCGCAAATTAGTACTATTTTTATTTTAGGTATGTGACCGTATGTCGTTGCACCGTGTTTGGAAATTTTAGATTGTACTAGCGTCTATATGATGTTCTGGCAAAACTGTTTTTTTGTATAGAATTCAAGATTGCTATAGTTTTATAATCAGAATAGGTTGACAAGATTCATTTTACATCATGATCATACTGATGAAGGATATCTGTTATCCGAAATATTTATAGTTACATTTTTTCATTTTATTGTTATTTTTTCGTGATGTTGTACCCTTTAAGACTGATTATATATATATATATCACTTAGGCAAAAAAAAAGATGCTTGTTTCCTGCCTCCTGACAGACTCTTAAGTTCAATCGCCAACCCTCAAATATTTGATTGCCTTTCCAAAAAATTATTCAAGAAAAGAATTGAGTCTCCTTATTTAACTAAAAATCAAATTTCCACTGGATTATTCACAAAAATTTGTAATAAGATCAACCCATATCGCATGCAGAACATGTCAAATCCTTTAAAATTATAAAAGTATCAACATGCATGCACAAATTACCAGATGCATACGTACATAAAGGTAATAAACTTGGAGAAAACATGAAATTTTTTCCAGATTTTGTCAATATGCAAAAAATCAAATCAAATCAAAACATAAAATAAAATCCTGACAGACCAACAGTGTTTTAAACTGGTTGGAGGCAGGAAACAGACATATATTTTTTTCGCCTTACAGTAGTTACATATAGATAAATTCATAATTATGCACAACTCTGAAATGTTTCATCCTGAAATGTTTCCTTCTGTTATTTCATTGTGAGGCCTTTTAGGCTTTAGTTTGGACTCCAATTGACCATGTTGACCAAAAAGTTACTGAGAGTCCCTGTTTTATTTTTGAATTGAGCACACTATCACTATGTCATTATGTGAATCAACCTTCTGTGAAACAAGTTACAAAAAAGACTAGCATTCACTTATTTGTCATCATTACTTGTGACAATATAATGAAGGTTTGGTAAACTTAAGCTGCATGGGTCATACAAACAAAAAAATCATCTGTACACCTCCCAATTCAAACATAGTAAAATAAGTGGAACTTTTGAAATTAAGTTCATTGAATTTTATCAAATTCCATTGTTTTTATATAACAATAATAAAGAATGCAAACAATGAAAATGTACAAATACAAAGGAACCACAGGGTTTGAAGCTAGGAAAATAGAGCAGTAGCCAAGTGGGCAACCAAAAAAAAATAATTGGTAGTCAATCTAATAAGTAAGGGCCCACAGGTTGGCATAAGCGTGTCTATGCGCAAGGTGCCTTACAGCGAAGAGTCTGGGGTAAATTGGGCAAAATCCTGCAATCTGGCACTCTCCTGGCAGCAAAATTGTTTTTAAGGAAATCATGATTTTATATGGAAAACTTAAGAAATTTCTCAAAAAAAAAGTGAAATTCACCATTTAATTTTTTTTCTTGGCCTGGTCTTTAATCCTCAACTGTAAATTGTTTGTTTACCATAAAGGCATTTAATCATTGGGTCCCTTGGTTCCCTTAGCTTGGTTCCCTGTCATATTCAAAATGTACCAAACCAGAGTTGCAGACATTTAATTTTAATAAAAACATTTAATTTATCAGAAGAAAAAAAACATTCTTGACCTTTTAGATGGATCGATACTTTGGTAATATTTTGTTCTTTCTTGTTTGCCTCCCCTTTTAGGTGGTGCGGGTTGGTGAAGAAAGTGTTCAAATTGTCTGGGCAAGATATTTTCGCCAGTCGGATATTATGATTGAAGTATAATAATCGCAAAGTCATGAGAAGGGTGTATAAATTTACGTATGAGAAAAACAACAGCGACAGGGAAATTTTCGTCTTCAGATCAATCACTGCTTAACTTTATTCATCAACTTTTGAAAATAGAATAATCACTAAAATTTAATTACGCTTGGTGAAGTATTAAAATTGAAAATGACGCCACACTTCTGTTTGGTGTCATTTGGCTGTTCCGTTTAACCTGTGACGGGTTAAAGGGAACAACCGAACCACACCAAATTGCTACGGATAAAGTTTTATTTCCATAAGAAGAGGCAGAAGCATGCACACAAACTAAGTAAACAAAGTAGGAAGAATCCGATTAATATTAGAAATATATTGTTAAAATTTCTGTTTTTTAAATTTTTATTTACACTGGAAAAGTGGGCGTCAGAGATTGGATTTTTATTGGCCAACACTGGAATTTGATATTCACACGCCAAGTGGGCGACAGAGATGGAATTTTTATGGGCCCACACTGAAATGTACTCGTTGTTGGAGAGTGGGTGACCGCTAATTTCAAACCCTGAACCAGTATGAATTAAAGACATTGCAATCGGTTTTTAATTTCAGAAATTTTTTTATGCTAAATATTAATTTATAGAGATGTGATATGACTTCAATGGAAAACTATGTTTTCAACATTTTTCTTTTTCCAACAATAAAGCATATCTTCTCATTCTCATCAAAAATTGTTACATTGTTTTCAGTGTGTTAGATTACTAACATTTTGTAACTAGCAATTTAAATGCATTTGTTTGCAATTACTTGATAATTAATTGGCTCCTTCAAAACTTTTTTTCTTGCAGGTTTTTACTTTTACCAACAACTTACTATCACTTTTTAAATTGTTATTTTCACATATATCATTTATATGTTGATGTACTATGAAGATTCCCTAATAACTTGGCCAATAACTAACTAGGACTATACAAACTGAGACTACTAGAAGAATTAAAGCTAGATAAACAATGGTATCTACTTAATTTGAAATTAATTATCAATTAAAATATTCAAATACCCTTGTTCATGTAATATCTTTCTCAACACCAGATTGCAGGAAATAAATATAAATAACAATAACAAGATAAATCAAAGAACCTTTGTGAGCACGCGGACATATCCCACACCCCCCCCCCCCCCCCTCCCCTTGTCACTGGGCAAACAAAATCACTCCAGATTCCTCAGTTCAAAAACTCCCAACTCCTACAAAAGTCAACTCAGTGTTCTCCCCAGGCCCTTAAAGCACCACGGACCCGTGGTCCTATAATTTCCGAGCGTGGTCCTATCAGTCCTCACGCAGTCCTATATTTCTCTTCCGTGGTGCTCTTCTTCTTCTTCCAGGTAAGGAACCGGATTCAATAACTGAATGTATTAGGTCCCACGAAAACTTGGCGCAGTGTCGGACAACACAGAAAGTTTTCTCTTGGCTATTAACATTTAAAACATTATCTATATATACAAAACTATGTACAGGATGTTACTGTCTAGGTTTTAGCAGAGCATGCCTTCAGGGCAGCTCTGAATCCTTCGACTGTGTCTGCTGCTGTCGCTGATGTTGGCAGTTGGTTCCATTCCCTGATGGTCCTTGGAAAGAAGGATTGGCCGAAGGTGTCTGTTGTGGTCCTTTCTTGATAGAAGCGTTTTTTACCTCTGGTCCGACCATCGTTTGGCGTCATATATCTATGTCAATTAGATCATGTTGTATTTTGAACAGCATGCATAGCCTATTTTGTTTCCTGCGGTTTTCAAGGCTTTCCCATTTTAATGATTTTACCATGCGAGTTACACAGCCAGGTGTGCGGTCTGTATAGTTGTTGTTTACAAATCTGGCTGCTCTTTTCTGCACTTGTTCAATTGCCTTTATTTTAATCTGTTTTGTTTGGTCCCATACCAGTGCATGCATATTCAACTGAAGGTCTTACTATTGTTGAATATGCTGCTGCTTTAACCATTTTAGTGCGGTCTTTTAGGTTCCTTCTTATGAAGCCTAGTGTTTTTGTTGCCTTTACTCACTATGTTGTCATTATGTCTGTCCCAGGTTAGGTTATCACTGATTGTTACTCCTAGGTAATTGCTGGCTTCAATGGTGTCTAGTGTGTGTCCATGTAGTTTGTAATAAGTTGGTATCACTGGACGGTTCTTGGATTGTATTTGGATTACAATGCAGTTTTTAGCATTGAAGCTCATTTGCCATTTATTTTCCCAGTCCTCTAATGACGTTAGGTCTTTCTGCAGTAGGTCGCTTTCTGCTTGGTTGCTTATTGTTCTGTAGAGGAGACTGTCGTCCGCACATAATTTGGTCTCTGATGCTGTTGCTGTTTCTGGCATGTGGTTTATGTAGGCCAGGAACAGCAGAGGTCCAAGAACTGTGCCTTGAGGTACACCAGAGTACTGGTACCTGTTCAGAGACAGCTCCCTCTAAGATAACGCTTTGCCTTCTGTTTTGTAGGAATTATCTTATCCACTTGTTTGTTTTAGGGTTAAGGGTTAACTCTGTAATACTCAAGTTTATGTAGTAGGCAATGGTGTGGCACTTTATCAAATGCTTTTGTGAAATCTAGTAGGATGATATCTACTTGGCTGTTACTTTTTAATTTCAATGCAATATCATGAATGGTGATAAGTTGGGATTCGCAAGATCGTTGTTTGCGGAATCCATGTTGTGCGTTTGTAAGAATTTTGTGCTATAATTTCGTTAAATTAGATAAAATTGTGACTTGTAAAATCTCATCTGTGTGCAGTGGCGGATCCAGAACTTTTCATAAGGGGAGGAGGGGCCGCTGACTGACCTAAGGGGGGCCCACTCCAGCCATGCTTCAGTGATTCCCTATATAATCAACCAAATTTTTCCCACAAAAGGGGGGGGGGGGGGCAGGGGCCACCCTTGGATCCGCCTATGGTGTGGTATAAAATTACAGGTGAAATGATAATTACAACAGGTGATTGATTTACCTGATGACGGTTACCTTTTGCTGATTGGATTTAATCGATCAATTACTTGAATTAGCACTTGTAACTTGTTTCTTTTGTGTTTTAATTAATATGGAGATAATTTATGACTTCAATCAACAATTTTATGGTAAGGTTTAGGGTAATTGACGGTTTAGTATAACTCTATATGAGTTAGGACCCCATGTCACGATGAGTAAAACAAGAGCATGAAGACTTCCAAAGTTAGTTGTCTTGAGAGGATTTTTAATTTAATGGGTCCTTGAAATGTCATTTTTGATGAATTTTATCACTGTGAGCATTACACGTGTTTTATTACCTTACGTGAACGAAAAACAGAAAATGCCGACACTTTCTTCATTCTCAAATCGATAAAATAGCTATGTTTAAATTTTCATGTCAAACCCGCCATCCACATGGCTTTTTTAGAACGGAAGTTGTTACATGGATGAATCTATTGTTGTGGGTAACATTTTTTATTTAGAACTAACAAAAAAATGCAATATTTCTTTATTTGAATTAAATTTTACCTTTGCAATGAATGAAGCTTAATATAGTATAGATAATTAATATTTCTACGAAATTTATACGAGAGACAGAAATATTTTTATTATAAATATTGAATAAAAATCACCTATCATCAGAAGTAGAATCGTCTGGTGAAATCGGAAGTCAGTTACCGGAAGTTTTGATTTTTTCACATACCAATGGATGTCAAAAGCTAGTTTTCGTCCAGAATGAATTGTTGAAATGTTACCTAGACCTCTAAAAGTTATCATTAATCTGTAACTTTTAGTTTACGTCTCATTTGACCTGTTTGTCTTTGAGAAATATGCTTTATTAGGCTATGTATTTTGTCTTGAAGTGAACTTGAATTTTTGTCCGTATAATCACCATGGAAATTGTGTCAACTATCATCTATTTCTGGTAATTTATTATGTTTTATACAGTTTATTTCCTAAGTTAGAAGTTTATTCCACTAATTTATTATGGACTAGTTCTGAATGTAATGCCTTTTACAACAGGGAAGGTGGTGGTGGTTGATGTGGTCTGTTTTACTTTTGAATCCAGGTGCAAGGTCCCTTATTTCCATTCGCCCGAGTTGATCATTTGCGAAAACAATTTTCAAAATGATGAGAGTATATGCAATCTTTTTTGTCACTTAAATTTTAAAAGTAAAAAAAGAAATTGTACAAAATTTTACTTGGAGACAAGTTTATAATAACCCCAAGCTAATATTAATAAACGATTATAGCAGGTGTCAATATTTGATGTTATACATGTAGGTAATCCACTTACTCAATGGATAGTAACAGACTTCCCGGTGTCCTAGCACTCCAGTGGTGTTGGGTTGGGGATCTGTCCTTGGTGGTGGGCTGTACGTACATGTGTAAGTGACACATGTATCTCCATTAATCCTGTTAGGGAGTGTTCATGGATACCACTGTACCCTCGCAGCTTTCAAGGGGAGCTCCAAATAACAGAGGTCTCAACCAGAACATACAATGGGTCATTAATGATCCTCTAAAATTTATTGATAAAAATATAATAGATTATTCGGCATTTGAAGACGTATGAAAATCTTTATTGAAATCTTTTCAAAAAAGATTTTCATACGACCACACATTTGGGACATTTTCTGTTGTTTCATGTTACAAAATGTAGTAACATAATTAACATATAAATGAACACTGTAATGAACTCATTAGAAAACATTGTTTTACTTATATTTTCCTCTGTCGTGTAGTAAGTAATCTCATAAACATATATGCCATACAATTAAGTGTGAAAGTGATTTCTTGTACACATTCATTTTGTATTTTGTTTAACCAATGTTTAAAGGAATACAACAATTATAAATGATATTTATTTGGCATATTTACAAAAAAAATGTATTGGATCTAAATTTTCAAGGTAAAAAATCACTAAAATTAAGTCAATCAAATGATATCCGCTGATCTGAATGTCGCACACAACATAGATTACTAGGACTGGATCACAAAACCAAAGTTACAGTGTAGTTTATGCCAAATCATGTTCAGAAGTCCAAATCCAATAATGCTGGTTACTTGTGAAAATCATACACAACAACTCAATTGAACCAATTGGTTCGTTTTTTAGCTGTAGCTGTTGGCAATTAACACATTCACCTATCTAACTATTAGATTCTTATTTACATTAATTTTATTTTTTAAAAATTGACAGATGTTGAATTTCACAATTTCCTGTGACTGGATTATGTTATATACCATTACAACAGTGTCAGTTTAAATCAGAGAAGGTTTATTGAAGAATTTACATAAAAAACAATGATGAATGGCCTTAGTGATAATCCAGATTTAGAAGTAAGTTTAAATTGTAACTCCGCTTATTCTGTATTCATATATAGGGTTCATTTATTGGGGATGAAAAGTGCAAAGCAAAAAAAAACAAGTAATATAGCACTATACTTTTTTTCAATCTGACAGGTCCCATACATACTAACAAAATGACTTATTGAAACCAGTTACAGATATATACTTGTACAATGTATATTCTTTTCAAAAGGGAGGATGATTATCAGTCTACAACATACATATCAGATAAAGAAAGATAACTCAAACACACATAAATTGAAGTATTAAAGATTTAAATTTTTAAAATTGATTATTAATATTTAAATTTTTATTTCATATACCGGTAAACTAAAAATACCTGTACTGTGTCTTAGCTAGTATTTAAGGGTAGAGGGACATAGTGTTAAGATGAAGGGCAATTTAATATGGTTTCTTGTCAAAGAAGGGACAACTTAATCATGATATAAGGAGGAATCATATTAATTTGATGTGGTCATTTGGACAGACTTGGTCATGATTTATGACCATCAGGTAACTTTTGACTCTGTATATTTTGGACAACACATTTTGCTTATTTGCTTGCATGCAGATCATGCTTGAAAACATGATATAGTTTTGTATACATGTAAATGCCAAGAGTTTAAAGATTAAAACAGTCAGATATAACAGTTCACACTTTAGTTCTTATATAATATGTTGCTATTTAATCTTTTCCAAAAGTTTGTAATTCCTTGACCTATTAAAAGAAATGTTTTTAACTTTTCACTTCCAGGACATGGATCTTCATTTAAATCTTGAATCACTGGATACAGCCAAATCACATTCACATTTTGAAATGTCTGATGAATCATCAGAATGGGAAGATGACCCTATGATGATGAATCTAGAAGTTAAAAAAGAAAAATTACCTGATGAACTTTCCTTAAATTTAGAAGGAATTGATGGTGCTGAGGGAAGTGAAAAGCAACATGGAGGACTTCTTCCTTATGGTAATGCAATATTATTGCTATTTGGCATATTATTCCTTTAAGTTTTTTGTGATAATTTTTCATATCATGATACTCTTCTGAGATAGAAAATTATTGCTAAAAACATAGGACTTATGTGCCGTTGTCAATGTAAACATCAACAACGTCATAAGCAAAATAGCAATAAACAGATTATCAATGGTCTATCAAACTCGAAGATGTTGCCCTTTAATGAGATTGTAGCTGAGAAACACCCTCTTTTTGAAAAACCATTGATAATCTGTAATTCACTATAAAATGTTTGTATACACACTTTCATATCAAAACTTTGAGTATTACTAATCAAATGATATGTAAGTTCATTACTTGGAACATTTTCCTACTTTTAACAGTGAAAAGGTGTATTTTTAAGGTATAATATTTCTAGAGATAGATACTAAGATTAGGAAAAAGTTCTAAATAAGATTGTCATTCTATAATTTGAAATGGAGCCGGTTTCTATACATGTAGGAACTACAAATCAGATTTTCCTGAAATTTTTTATCAGTCATCATGTGAACATGCTTTACAGTGTAATGCAGTTATAGATCCATTGATCCTCAACTGCTTGCTTACTGAATACTTTATATTCTATAACATAATTGCCATGTTTGAAATTTTCTTCACATTTTTCAGTGCTACTACAGATAGGAGCTTCCTAAAATTTATTATCAGGCTTCATGCCAGGATGCTTTACAGTGTGATGTGTTTTCAGATTTATAGCTCATCAACTTTCTGTTTACCTAAAAGCTTACATAAAGCTGGGTTACCATTAGTGAGCAGTAGCTCAAGGTTTTACTTGTTATATTAGAAGTTAAGTTTATGTACTGATTTCAGTAAAGTAGGATGTTCACTATCAAAATAATATACCCACACATTAATTTTTCTGTACATTTTTTTTTATTTGACCACATATTTCTGTTGGGATAAATATCATTCTTAAAAAAATGATGATGATTATATGTGATGAATTGTAGAAGATGGTATTGATGTGGATAGTGATGAAGAAAAAGAAATAATGAAAGAAATAAAGGATGAGATTCAAAAACAGATCAGAGGGGAAATGAAATCTGAATTGGAATTGTACCAAGCCAAGGTGGCAGCCTTAGAAGCAGGTAGTTCTAGGGCAGAAGAGTCGGACAGGGATACAGGTCAAGATGACATTGATCCAAAAATGAAAGAAGCCATTTTGAAAATGAGAAAGTTGGACAGAATTCTGTCCAAAAAGATAAAACGAGAGAGAGAAGTTAAGAAGGACAGAATGGTATTGGAAAGGAGGTAAATTAGTATGAAGCTCGTTATGCACAAAATACCAAGAAAATTAGAATACATTAAACCAACACTCATACAGTATTTAAGCAAGAAAATTTCAATGATACCAAGAACAGCTATCTTAATTCATAAATCAAAGATTTAAGACAACTAAAGACACCATGGCTAAAAAAAAGACAGGGATGCAAATTTTAAGAGCATTAAACAGGAAAGCAAAATTTAGCTCCAATCTGCTTACACATATTTGTCTATAAACTCAGAATAAAATATTATTTTTTGGGTAAAGAAATGCAATCAAAACCCTATTGTACTGACTTGATTTCTAAATCTTCCAAGGTTTGTTACTACTTTTGAGATACACAAAATATAGTGCATTGATCATAACATTCTAAACATTCTATCCATGAACATTTCCAGAAATTTATCAATGAAATATATGCTCGGATATTCAAGTTACAAAATGAAGTTATACTTGTCAAGAAAATAACATAACTTGTGCAAGGTGCAGTAATCTAATATCTGTTCCCAAAAATATCAATGATGTCATTGTTAAAGTAATCTGTAACATTGGAGTTATCTTCCTTTGTTCATATATAATTGTAGTTGAATCAACTACAACCAATGCTTTATACAATGCAATATTTAATTTTACTTCCCACTGAAAAATTTAAGCAATCTTTACCCTTCAGTGCTTACAAGCACTTTGATTTCTTTGTCCTACCAACCTCCTTTTAGCAAAATACAATCTGTGAGATCCTTGTTATCTTTTAAAAACAAGAAACCATTTAGAAAATATCTGTGATAGACTGCATCCTTAGTGAACAAGAAAAAGAAAAAAAATATCAGGATCTCTTAGTTGAATAAATATATAAGTGTACACTATGCAATAGCTTCTTAATACAAAATCACCAAATACTGGCATAGTACCATGCATGGGGACTACCACTTCTTTAAAGATAGTTGAGAGAATGTTTGTACTATTTTTAGGTAGTTAAGCTGCCTTATGCAAGCACCCTAGATTTGTGTTCTACCCAATAAATGCTGAAATATGTGCCATTGTTATTATCTAGCTGGCTATTATGTTATTTATAACTAATTGGACATTTTTTTAATACTTTTATTTCTGGAATACAAAAAATATGACCAGAAAAACCTTAAATGATCGTCGAACTACCGAAAACTTTTGAAGTTGCACATAGGAAGTAGTGCTCAATAGAAATCCGTACGTAGTTTATTATCCCCTGTGCTTTTGGCTACGATGTCAAAGAACAATTGTATGAAATATTTCATCGCCGAAAATCGGTAATTACAAGTCGTTTATATTTCCCAAATGGTAAAATGCGCAGGAATATTGTTCATGTACAACAATATAAGTGGGCGGTAATATTTAACTTATCTTGCCAAATAAGGTTGTTGTTATTTTATGAATGATACGAGGTCATGAAACAGATGCGGAAATCGACGTTGATAGGATGTTTTAAGTAATGTGGACAAACTCGTCCCCGAGACAAGTCGGACCGAATCTAATCAAACCGTCTAAGAAGACAACTTTGACCGTTTGTCAGATTTACTTAGGGTTTCATAAAATATTAGACTAAAATGTCTAGCGGAACCATTAATCTTTTGTTTGTGCATTGGTGTCTATTTAGGGGTACTTGGAGGGGCCTGAAAAAGGGAGGAAATTTTTGTGATTTTACTTTTTACTATAGAACCCTATGGGATTTTTTTTTTTTTTTTTAATTTTCAAATGACTATTTCTCTAAAACAGTATTGTCCTGAATATGCATGAAATATTTGCCACTGGACGTTAAGCAACCAACAATCAATCAATCTAAAACAGTAAGTGATAGACACATGCAGTCTTCAGTAATGAGAACAGGACAATAAAACAAATCAACCAAAATATAGGGTGAGTCCCTGGGGGTCATCCTAACCCCTTCAATTTGAAAATGTACTTTTATCTTATAAACCGTCGCGATCCCCACCCCAAACAATATATATACTAGTACTTGTATGGGACAATAAAAGAAATCAAATGAAAATAATTTGGGGGAGTCCCTGGTGTCGTCCCACCCCCTCCTGTTTGAGAACTTGGAAATGGTCGAGATCCCCACCCCCTAAACCATAAATATTCAAGTTCGGGACAATAAAACAAATCAAATGAAATATAGGGGAGTCCCTGGGGTCACCCCACCCCCTCCTGTTTGAGAATATATGGGGAGTCCCTTCAACCCCTCATGTTTGAGAACTTGGAAATGGTTGAGATCCCCACCCCTAAACCATATACATTCATGTATGGGACAATAAAACAAATTAAATGAAATATAGGGGGAGTCCATGGGGACACCCCACCCCCTCTTGTTTGAGAACTTGTAAAGATCCCCACCTCTAAACCATATATATTCATGTATGGGACAATATAACAAATCAAATGAAATATATGGGGAGTTCCTCGGGTCACCCCACCCCCTCCTGTTTGAGAACTTGGAAATGGTCGAGATCCCCACCCCTAAACCATATATATTTAATTTGGAGACTTATTGTTTTTGCTCAGTTCTTATTATTTTTCTTATTCTTCTTCTTTTTCTTTTTCTTTTTCTTCTTCCGCCACTATAAAGATGAACTTGTCTGCAGCGGTTCTCCAAAACCCTTGTCAGATTTACTTAGGGTTTCATAAAATGTTAGATTAACATGTCTAGGGGAGCCATCAACCAATCGTTTGTGCATTGGGGTCTATTAAGGGGTATAAAGAAGGGAGGGGTTTGCTTAAGAAACCTATGAGATTTTATTTTTTTAAATTTTCAAATGACTTTAACTTGAAAATTGTAAGTGATAGACACACGCAGTCTTCAGAAATGATCACAGAACAATAAAACAAATCAGATGAAATAGAGGGGTGAGTGCCTGGGGTCATCCCCCCCACCCCCATTAATTTGAGAATGTGCTATTATCTTGTGAACGGTCCAGATCCCCACCCCTAAACCATATATATTCTTGTATGGGACAATAAAACAAATCAAATGAAATATAGGGGAAGTCTATGGGGATCACCCCCTTATATTCTTACCCCACCCCCTTCAATTTGAGAATGTGCTTTTATCTTGTAAACGGTCGAGATCACCACCCCTAAACCATATATATTCCTGTGTGTCATTTCAAGAAGATTTGAATGACATACAGGGTTAATCCATAGGCATCACTTATGCATATCCCAAACCAATTTGTACTGGACTTGTCAGGCGACCATGGGAATGACAAATTATTGGAGCTTTGTTTGGGAGACTTTGTAACAGCATCCTGTTACAATTATTTCTTGTCATGTATGGGACAATAAAACAAATCAAATGAAATATAGGGGGAGTCCAAGGGGACACCCCACCCCCTCTTGTTTGAGAACTTGTAAACAGTCAAGATCCCCACCTCTAAACCATATATATTCATGTATGGGACAATATAACAAATCAAATGAAATATTTGGGGAGTCCCTAGGGTAACCCCACCCCCTCCTGTTTGAGAACTTGGAAATGGTCGAGATCCCTACCCGCTAAACCATATGTATTCATGTATGGGACAATATAACAAATCAAATGAAATATAGGGGGAGTCCCTGGGTTCACCCCACCCCTCCTGTTTGAGAACTTGTAAACGGTCGAGATACCCACACCTAAACCATATTTATTCCTGTTCATTATTTCAAAAAGATTTGAATGACATACAGGGTCAATCTCCTAGGTGTCACATATGCATATCACTTTACTAGACCAAACCAATATGAACTGGACTTTGCCCAATGTCAGGAGACCATGGGAATGACGAATTATGGGGGCTTTGTTTGGGAGACTTCGTAACGGCATCCTGTTACAATTATTTCTTGTTTATTATAAAATTTTATTGATGCAAAAAATGAGTCTAGGTTAATTGAATTTACTTTAATTATTTATTAAATTATTTCTGGGTCTATAATAATTTTCATTTATGGCTCATTTTAAAGAAAACATATAAATCTTTCAAGCAATGTAAAGCCCGATAATGTTTGACCAACTGTTTTATAATCACCTGTCATTTTATTCCAAACTTGGTATGGAGTAACATCATGCATATGGGGGTGAAGATGGGGGTCATTTACATTGATATATGAGTTGCTTTTGAAAACCTTGATGAAATATTAATTAATTTGCCTTAATAATCAATTCATTTAATGAACATAAAATTGTACAATATACGAATGTTTAATGTTTGTTCTTTCAAATCTTTAAAAAAAATTGAAGCAACACTGCCACAGTTTTCATAATTACGTTTGCCTTGGTTTTTGGTTAACTGCCTACAGCACTTACAGTGCTTTGATTTAATTTTTTTTTATATTTATTTTCAGGATAAAGAATGAATTAGAAGCTATCAACCAACAGAATACTGATGTCAAATTAAACACAGAGAAATTTCTGGCTCTAACACTGCCACCTAGTCACAATGAAGGTATTGTTCCTGTTTCCATAATAAACAAATAGTAGTAGTAACTGTACTGGTACAGATCAAAATGTATCTACATATATTGAAAAAAATTGATTCTTTATAATTTCCATAAAAAAATATTAATTTAGACAAAACATCAAAATTTCTAAAGATGACTTCAACCTTATATCAAAATTTACATGTTATAAAATATTTATTTGGATATATATGTGTGGGAGGGGGTCAAGGATCATGCTCATATTCATTAAGTTTAAAGAAACTTATGCATGTGTGAAATGAGTATTAAAGAAAGTATATGAATATTTTGTACATGGCTTTACACAAAGACTTTCCATTACTGTTTCTGGTATTTTGATTTTAGGTGATATTGCAGGTTAGTTGAATCACCATGTCCTGCATGTCTGATAAACTATCGTAATTATTTGCATGAATTGTTACAACACCTGATATCATTAGAAAAAAGGAAATAACACACAAATTTCTTTTGCATTTTTCAAATTGCATGATTTTTCTGGAGACTTGGAAGTACGCAGTATGAATCTTTGATTTCCCTTCCAAAATGTCAATTTTGTGAAAGCTATTGTGATTTTTATTCAAAGAGCAAAGCTTAAAATGTTGATTTTTAACAACACACAGAGCAGAAAGGAAATATAACCGAATGAATTTCCCTAATGATACAGTCTGTAGTATGCCTGCAGATATTGATCTGATTTTTGGTTCGTAAATATATATATGGAATAGAGATTGCATTTTATTCTGGTTGACTTCCTTTTGGCAGAATTATGGCCCTTGGATTAGAAAATTTCATGAAAATTCCAGACTTTTTTTGTAATGCCTGAAAATCTGAATCTCATTTTTGTCTCGTCTGTGACAAAAGAAGCAGAATGCTACCTAAGTATTGCAATCCCCCAGTGGCGGCAGGGAATACAGATGCTTATGTTACAAAGTTTTAGTCTGTCATATGTCACAGTTGTCCTTGACCTCATCATCATGGTTCAGTGACTGATTGAAAAAAGTTTAGTTTTTTTATTTATGTGAATTTCTCAGTTATTATGAGTAATATGATAACTATATTTGGTATATGGGTTTCTAGCAAGGTCTACATATCCGCCAGACAAAGTTCACCTGGCCTCGATCTAATTTCATGGATCAGTGATCAAGGTTGAAGTTACATGATTAGGTCCGTGTCTCAGCTACTGTAAAACAGTAGGTCAACTATATTTGGTGTATGGATTGATTGTATGGTGTACATGTCAGTCTGGCAAGTGTCATTGACCTTGACCTCATTTTCACTGTTCATTGGTCAATGTTTATTTATTTGCGTTTTGGTCTGTTTTGCTAATACATTTACTACAGTACACACAGAGAGGATGTAATCTCATACTCCCAACACTGATTCTGGTGTAACACAGTGTCACACTGTGAAACACAGATTTCTCTCCCAAAAAACACCAAGTAATTACTCCCATCTGGGAGGGTTTTATGACCTGTTGATTGCAGGTAAGAGTAATAAAAATCAACAAAGCACGACTGCATGGTCTGACAGTGACATAATTACATGTCAACTATTCTCTCACTTCTTCCTATTTCAATCATTTCCTATTTAGTTTTATTTCTGAAAGCTATAAAAAAAGGTTAACGAAATGATTTTTAAAATTTTTATACAAATATGTATTTTTAGATTGGAAAATTATTTACATTCTTTCATAATCTCATAATCAAGAATGGCAACTTGATATTTACAATAAGTTGTATTCATAGTCAATGATAGTCAGTTTAAACATATAGATATTAGTATATACATGGTTTAAAAAATAATAGTAATGATACAAAAAAAAATAATGAATAAAATAAAATAATGTAGATAAATTACATATATATATTATATTTATATAATCTTCCTTTATTTCTTATCATTTAAATTTAGAAAAAACGATTGAATAAATTCAACTAAAATATATGTCTTTATTTTCTATTAATAATACTCCACTTACAGGTGATGTTTTGTTTGTTTTTGTATGTTTCTTAGGTATGAAAACCCAACACTGTCAGAACAAATGCTGAATATAATTTTAATAAATAAAGTTGTACAGGATTCTTTAATAAAATCAGATTATAATATGTCTCTGATTAAATTTAACAAATCTCACACTTTTCATCATTTTTGTGACTGTCATTTAATGACAGGAAACACAAGAAATGTTTATTGTAGTCATCAACTACTGGCACACTTCAAAGGTAATCATAGCAATAAAAATCATGTTGTTGGGAGAAACCACACCAAGGTAATAAACAATTAAGGAGTTTTAGGGAGGAATTACTCCAAGTTTCTCCCAATTTCCTCCCAAGATTTGGAGAGAGTTGCTGGAGTTTCTTGGTGTGACACCAAGTTTTTACACAGTGTAGGGAGTATGAGATTACATCCTCTCTGTGTGTACTGTATAAGCAAAAGGTCAACTATATTTGGTGTATGGAATGATTGTAAGGTGTACATGTCTGTCTGGCAGGTATCATCTGTCCTTGACCCCTTTTTTCATGGTTCATTGTTCACTATAAACTTTCAATAGTTAGGTCCTTTTCTTAGATACTTTTTGCAATAGGTCAACTACATTTGTTGTATGGAATGATTATAAGGTGTACATGTCTGTCTGGCAGGTTTCTTCTGACCTTGACCTCATTTACATGGTTCATTGGTCAATGTTAAGTTTTCATGTGTCTTTTTTTCAGATACTATATGCAATAGATTAACTATGTTTGGTGTATGGAATGACTGTAAGGTGTCTGTCTGGCAGGGTTCGTCTGACCTTGACCTCATTTTGTTACTTTATTGGTCAGTGTTCAATTTTTGTGATAAGGTCTGTTTCTAAGATACTTTAAGCAATAGGCTAGTAATATTTGATGTTATTATGTATGATATGAAATAAAAGTGAACATGTCTGTTTAGCAGGGTTCATCTGACCTTGACCTTAATTATATTAATCATTGATATTGTTAGGTTTATGTGATACTTGAAGTAAGACCTTCACATTACACACTTTTCACATTAATATAATCAAGACAACTAAAGCAGGTATATTTTTAACTTAAGTTACAAATGCACATATTGATTTCAGAATTATAGTCCCATCTTTTTCGAAAATAAAAAGGCAACCAGTTGCTCAAAAGAGTTTTTGTAGTGAAAGTAATGTACAGCTTTGTTTGCATTATCTCAATTACTGTCAACAAATATGTATTATTCTCTTATGATCTATTAAGCAGGTATTATGTTTCAGTGTATACATTTTGATAGACTTGTAATGTTTTCAACTTTCCTTTTGTCTGTCAGCTTGTTACAGTTGTATAATTCTTGTCAATAATCCTCTTATACATGTATTCTAATATCACATGGGAGGCTGATTTGTCCCTCTAGATCTATTTCTCAAATCATATAATTGAAGGTCATTTCATGAAATGATTTTGTACATATATATCCACTTTGAAGTCATATAAACATATTGATAAATTATATAACATATTGTAGGCATTAAGTTATCAGATCTCCCAGATGAGCCAGTATTTGCCACACAACTAAATGAACAGGATTATCCAAACCTGAAAAGTGGAGGTGCTAAGTCTAAAGGTGTGTATTTATATAACTGTTAACATCTTAACACAAATAATTTCTCTGAATGAACACATATTTTTTGCCCGTTTTAATATTGATGAAGTACCATATTTTTTTCCTAACATGATTAAGTTTGCTTATCACATGTTTTATTAATTAAATCATTTAAAAAATATCACTCAATGATTTGTTAAATTGAGTATTTAATGATAAATGCAATCAAGGTTACATCTATTGACCTCATGCTTCCTCTTTCCTTATCTTACCTTCAATCAATTATGAAGTGTAGATCAGGGTAATTCCTGTTAAATATTTATGAAGCTGTTTGTCACTCAGTTCTTGTGTACTGGATCTGTGGATGTGGATTGAAGCTAAGGATACAACTGATATCCCTGAATTTCTATTCTTGGTGGCTTAGACATTAATAAAACTGGGAGGCTTTTATACTAATTTATGAACAAAGGTTGTCTGTAAACTTCTTAAGATGACTAAAACTTTACACTAGTAATGTAACTCTAAACATTTACCAAACAATGAATTCATGATAATGACCATGTCTGTCTATAATTGAATGTGTCAGCAATTTATCATCTTTTTTTCTTTCTTTGACTGCTATAAAATTACAAAACAACTTTTAAATCTGTCTATTATATGAATGAAAAAAATGGTTTAATGACTTTCCATTTTCAATTTGACAGTAAATTCAAGTAGAAGTGAGGCTTCCCAGTCAGCTAAGAGTACAGATAGAGATGCGATGTCAGCAAGTGATACTACATCTATGAATGGCAGCATGAAAGGATCAAAGAAACATAAAAAGAAGAAAGATTTTATAAAAAGAAACAAAGAGGTATCATTTTCAGCATTTAAAGCTGAAATTTAATTTACATGCTTTGCTGCTTGTATGATTTTAAATAAATAATTCATCAGAATTAAATTTTTGGGTTTGATACAGAATATTTTATTGATTAAATTATAGAAACAAACATGTGACTAAGGTTTTGATTTTTTTTTTAATATTTTCTTTGTTTTAGCTGTATTACAATGCATTGACTTGGGTAATTCAGGTTAATACTGATAGTATTCTGAGGAAGTCATTCAACATACTATTGAAAGAAAAAAGGAGGAAAAAAGTACAACCCTTTGCCACTAGTTGCGTCACACAATTATTACAATGAATCCTAAAGAATGTCATGATGTTAATGACTTAATGGACAGTTCTAATTTTAATAAATTGTACTGAGTCATCTACAAAGGAGGAATTTTTAACAATTATTTATTTATTTTCAGAAATCTTAGCAGTGTTCAATTTTATGAATTGACATGACTACATATACTGTTATAAGTTACTGATTCTGATTCATATAAGTCAGAATTTAAACTGATATTAATTTTTTCAATATAATCTAGACATAATTATTATTGTATTTTGTAGCTTGCTGCAGATGCAGAAAACCCAATACCAATGACCCAAGAAGAGAAAGATCGTATAGATTCTCTTTTAGCTGACCTTGACCAATTGCCAGAGATAACAGAGGATGAAGATGTTGATGTACGTTATAAACATGCTTATATTGCTTGGAAATCATGAGATTTGAACTCTAATTTAACATTATTTTAAAATAGTTTTATATGTTAAAATTACATAATTGTTGAAAGTTTGAATTGTTTGCAATCTTTATTGTTAATAAAGATTTTTAATTTGGTGTTGTCTTTCTTTTTGTACTTTTATTGTGAGTTTTATAGATGAGTATAAAAGTTCTTGCAATGGAACCTTGTATGGCTTTAGCCTATAAAATAATAAAACAGATACATGAACTTCAAACAAGTAAAACTTTAGAAAGGAAAAAAAAAAGAAATAAACAGGAAAACTAAGTAGAAAAAGACTTAAGAAATTGAAAAACTAGAGATACAAGATCCATAGTATGTATGCTTCATTCACAGGAGTTCAGAATTCCAAGATTTGAGTTAGCAGTACATTCTGGTGAAGGATTTGTTCCAGATGATGATGACCAGAAATCTTTACGAAATATTGAAAGTAGGCTTAAGGAAATAATGCCACCAGAAGATTTTGAATCTGTCATGCATACACCTTCTACACCTCAGGTTGGTTTAATTTCTTATGCAGTTTATCACTTCTTATTTGGCAATATGTTTACACTTATATATGAACACATCACTATATTGTTTCATCTTGCAATGAACAGTTGCATGCCTCATGATTTGAAAGTGAAATGCATGATTTAAAAGAGAAATGCATGATTTAAAAGAGAAATGGATGATAAAAAATCTATGAGACAGCAACCAAACAATAGTTGGTGCCAAAACTTAAAAATTTAAAAGTCAATGAATGGACATCCATTTCCTAACTCTACTACTGTATGTTTTAACAAAGGCTGCATTCAAGTTTACATGTAATTTTCCTTCATTGAACACTTAAATTTGTGGTTCACCTATACAAGCGAAATTCCATGAAAATTGGTACTCCATGAATAACAGTGAATCCACAGTATTGGATATGTGTTGTCATACAAAAAAACTCAACCCTTTATTTACATTGATAAGTCTTTAAATAACTTAAAAACTGCAGTATGTACAGGTATACACTGCTGTGAAATGTTAAGATATTTACAATTCAGGATTTCTGATTGATCGGAATTTTGGTTGTTGAATCACTTGAAAAAATGTTGCTGGCTAGACAAAAAAACTGAAACTTTTTATACTAGACTTGGTAAAAAGCAGACATGAATGACACTGAGAATCTCGGACTTCATTGTTACTGGCTTTAACACAATGTTTATTTCTTAACATGTATCTCTTTTATTTCTTCTATAAATGCATACACTCTTTAAATAAATGTTGTTTTATGTCTGCAAATCTGAAATCTTTTGGAGAGAATGTATTCGGATGGACTTTAAAGCAACTGCAGCTTCAACAACAACAAAAATTTCTTATGAACAAATAAATAAGCATGACAAGATGGAATGAACTGTTGTGTACTATTTATTTTATTTGATTTTCAAATTTTATTGCACAGTCGTATAAGTTATTCACACCAGTATCAATTAAATCTAACATGGACATAGAACATTTTGGAGAGAAGGCTTTATTAGAGTATAAAGATCAACGAGAACTGAGAGAAAGGCTGTTTGATGTAGATGAACAATTATCTAATTTGAGTAATCGGGATGAAGATGAGGTAAGTGGGAACTAGATTGGATTACTTGAAAACAGCTTTAAAATCAGTACTGTTAAGTAAGGTCGTTAGCTATTGCTAAACTTAAGAAAAGTTAAACAGGAGATGCAGTAATGGTATAAAAAATATCAGGTCAAAAGTTGAGAACAGAAAGTCAAACATTATGATGTTATTGATAACTTCCGGTTCTACATACATATGTAAATAAAAATCAGCAATAGAAATCAGTATGATATAGACATAGAGAAATATTGTTTTATGTTGAATAATAGGTATTTAAGAATGCAAGACTATATGGTATGGGTTTTGCTCATTGTTGAAGGTCAAATAGTTACATCCACGTAATTTGGATTCTGATGGGATAGTTTTCTCAATGACAATCATACCACATCTCCTTATTTTTAAATATACCTGATGTCTTTTAACTTTCTTTACTCTGGTTAAAGTATTTAAGCAGTTTCATCAAACTCAAAAAAAATTCCTTCAAGCAACAAAAGAGGGACGAAAGATACCAGAGGGACAGTCAAACTCATAGATCGAAAACAAACTGACAACGCCATGGCCAAAAATAAAAAGACAAACAGACAAATAATAGTACAGATGACACAACATAGAAAACTAAAGACTAAGCAACACGAACCCCACCAAAAACGGGGTGATCTCCGGTGCTCTGAAAGGGTAAGCAGATCCTGCTCCACATGTGGGACCCGTCGTGTTGCAACAATATGTCTTATCAGCTGAAATCAAAATATATCTAAGATGCATGCCATCAATTTCTTTATACGTTTCCAAGATCAATATCCTGATAAACATCCTATTTTTTCTCTTAAATAGTTCTCAGTAGTTATCTCAGATCTGTGTCTTTTGTAAGTTAATGCAAAAATCCTATTATCTCAAAGTGTATGAATAAAGCTGTAAACTAGTCCCATCAAACAATACTGACCTTGAAGGTACCATCACACCAAGGCTTCCAAAACGGTCATATATTCAGGACATTTGTATAATGTCCGGTAAAAGTCCAGCTGGGCAAAGCATGAAACGGACATCTACTTTTTAGTTTTCAAGGCTTAAGAGACGGTCATTTTTTACATAATTCGCGATCTTTTTGACCCAACCTGTCGCCTTTAACAGCCACACATTTCCGGTCATAAAAGTGACATGATCATTAAGTATTATCAAAACAACCCCTACTTTAATACCTTCTCATTTTAATCAAGGCTAATTAGTTGTCGAACAGATGAAATTTACCTGTTCAGGTGACAGGTAAACTATTTTGAACCGGACATTGATCGGTCTATTCAAAGTTATTTTCTTACATTTCAGCGGTTTGCATCTAATTAATTTAGTTAAAAAGATTTAAATTATCAGAAATACGTTTACAAATATGATTTGATGAAAAAATTAAAAAGATGAAAATGAAAAATCGTCATAACCACGTTGTTTGAACCAGAGACATGTCTCTGTTTGAACTAGTACAAGTGTGCGCATGTGAGCAGGTGTTTAATTTAATAATGCTAACTAATTTCTTAAAAAAATGCTTAAATTGTCATTGATACCTTTATCTCACGTTTATTTCGAATATTTTCTTGAAGAAATAACTACGAACACTCATTCATGCTTTGCAAACGTACACGGAATTTACGTATCCGTCTCTGGTCCATGTTTTACCATTGTCAAGATAACATCCGGTTTAGATTTAAAACGAAAGTAAAGTTTTTGACAACGTTATTTTGCACAAATAAAGAGTCTAAGCAGATATAAGTACGCTGATGTTGCACACTTCGAATGATGCACTGCCAATTTAACAGTTTACGTCAGAACTTCGAATATGAATCAAAGAAAGTTTAATATCGTTTTTTTTTTAATGTCAATCATTGGGATGGCCAACTCGGCAACTGATTACCATAATTGCCTTTTATTTATTTAGTCTTAAGGGATTAAAATCGGGATAATATATAAAATGTCCGGCTGGCTAAAAATAATTTTGGAAGCCCTGCATCACACTTACTAATAAATCTATGGAAAATTATGTTTTTCATTTTAGTCGAGCCTTCGACTTTAGTCGAAAAAGCGAGACATAGCAATCCTACATTCCGTCGTTGGCGTTGTCGTCGTCGTCGGCGGCGGCGTCCACAAATATTCACTCTGTGGTTAAAGTTTTTGAAATTTTAATAACTTTCTTAAACTATCCTGGATTTCTACCAAACTTGGACAGAAGCTTGTTTATGATCATAAGATAGTATCCAGAAGTAAATTTTGTAAAAATAAAATTCCATTTTTTCTGTATTTTACTTATAAATGGACTTAGTTTTTCTGCCAGGAAACAACGCATTCACTCTGTGGTTAAAGTTTTTAAAATTTTAATAACTTTCTTATACTATTTTGGATTTGTACCAAACTTGGACAGAAGCTTGTTTATGATCATATGCTAGTATCTAGAAGGAAATTTTGTTTTCTTCCAGTTAACATTACATTCAGTCTACAGTTAAAGTTTTTAAACATTTAGATTCATAAACTATCCTGGATTTTTACCAAACTTGGACAGAAGCTTCTTGCAATCAAAAGATAGTATCAAGAGGAATATTTTTATTGATTTTCTTCCTCATTTTTGTTGAGCCTGTGATTAACAGAAAAAGTAGGCGAGACACTGGGTTCCGTGGAACCCTTACAAATTTTTTTTCAAATGAACATTTTTTGTATTTAAAAACAGCCATTAAATTGTGTATTGTTCATTTCTAATTCTAATATCCTGTCTCATATTTTCTCCTTTGAAATTTGGGACGGAAGCTAATTTAAAATGAAGTTTTAGAGGACACAGATTAATTTCGTAATACTATTTTAAATCATCTAAAGACAACACATATTTTAAATTACACAGAAAACAGATTACTTTTGTTAAAAATATTCTTTATTACGTATACAATTGAGCTTTTCAAGAAATAGGTGAAATGGAGTTACACACTTTGACCACAGGATAATGCATAGAATTCTAAATTAAATATAATTCATGCCCTTACGATTTAAATTGCAATTTAAGTATCTCCTAGTTACAAATGATCTCTTGGAATAACAGGATAGCAAATAATGTCTTGTGAAACTTGAAACAGTATAACTCTTAGTGCATATATATATTAAATTAGTATAAATTAGGTAATTTTAATTTTTACTTCTTTATTTTTGCAGTTGTCAGAGATTTCAGGAGTTCTACCAAGGTCTCAACTAAATGACTTGTTAGATCAATGTGCTAGGTCATTATCTAGGACATCATATTCTGACATATCTTCTAGAGTATCAGAAGCTGATTCAGAATCAACATTGTGTAACTCTTCTGAATCTACACCCAGGTAAGCATTTCTATATTTCTCAGATCAAAAATAATTTTGAGATAATTTATAGCAAACTTGTTCCTAAGTTTCTTATAAAAATCTTAAAATTTTATGGAAAAAGGAATTTCTGTTGCAATTGAAGATACAGGATATGAAGATAGTCAAAGGGTATGTTTTATGTCTCAAACAATTTTATTGCTGCTTAATGTTTAAATCTAGTATTAAAAATAGTTTGGGTCAAGACCATCTTTTTTGCAGAAATTCAACAAGCTTTGGTTTACCTCAATTTGAAGTCAGTTCATGCATAGTAGATCAATAATGAAGAAAACTATTTAAGTAATAGTGTTTGTGCTCTTATCAAGTTTTAAAAGAAATGTTACAGACATGAAAATCTGTTGCCAGATAAAATATATATAGAAGATCTGTTAAAAATTGCCTTTATCAATACTAACATTGAATTTATTTCCAAAGTTTAGTAAATAAGTAAACATATTTTGCTATCCAATTCTTAACTCTTATGGTCCTTCATCCTGTGGATACTTATACTTTCACATTGCACAAGGTCATGCTTTGCCTAGACTGCTAATAACCTCTTTAATCTCAATCCATTGGAATTTGGAGTTGTACTGTCAGACAGATTTTTGTCGAGCCTTCGACTTTAGTCGAAAAAGCGAGACATAGCGATCCTACATTAAGGTAAAAGTTTTTGAAATTTTAATAACTTTCTTAAACTATCCTGGGTTTGTACCAAACTTTGACAGAAGCTTGTTTATGATCATAAGATAGTATCTAGAAGTAAATTTTGTAAAAAAATAAATCCATTTTTTCCTTATTTTACTTTTAAATGGACTTAGATTTTCTGCTGGGAAACAACACATTCACTCTGTGGTTAAAGTTTTTAAAATTTTAATAACTTTCTTATACTATTTTGGATTTGTACAAAATGGACAGAAGCTTGTTTATGATCAAAAGCTAGTATCTAGAAGGAAATTTTGTAAAAAAATAAATCCATTTTTTTCTGTATTTTACTTTTAAATGGACTTAGTTTTTCTGCCAGGAAACAACATATTCACTGTGGGGTTAAGGTTTTTAAAATTTTAATAACTTTCTGATACTATTTTGGATTTGTACCAAACTTGGACAGAAGCTTGTTTATGATCAAATGCTAGTATCTAGAAGGAAATTTTGTTTTTTTCCAGTTAACATTACATTCAGTCTACAGTTAAAGTTTTTAAACATTTATTAGATTCATAAACTATCCTGGATTTTTACCAAACTTGGACAGAAGCTTCTTACAATCAAAAGATAGTATCAAGAGGAATATTTTTATTGATTTACTTCCTCATTTTTGTTGAGCCTGCGATTAACAGAAAAAGTAGGCGAGACACTGGGTTCCACGGAACCCTTACGAATTTTTAGTCAAGTTTGTTAGTTGGAGTTAGACTTTGAAATAGCTATCAGTAACTACGAGTGTTCTTAGATTATAGCATGGGATTGGTATGTAAAACATTACTGAATTCAGACCTGCCAACTTTAGATTTATGGGCGGGGGGGGGTTTTCACCAATGAGAGGTGTTGACCCGACCGTTGAAATCCTCCATTTTATAAACTGAATACCTCAAAACAGGCATTTTACAGAATTGGAATTAAAATTACTTTTTTGGCACATATCTAGTCTTTCAAAACCACAGTATATTAGATTAAATCATTAATAACATGTATAAGAATATCAGAAGGTCCTCCTCCTAAAATCCGCCATTGAGATATTGAAAATTTGGCAGGTATGAGAATAACATTCTAATAGTCATTTAAATTCTGGATACCTCAGTGGGAAAGCTTAAAATATTAAAAGTTTTATATGTCTTCAGTACACATTGTAACTTGTTTTATTATAGAACACCCAAATCTTCCAGGGAAATGCTGATGGAAAATCCACCTAAACTATCGGGTGATGTTTTACACAAACTGTTGACTGATGCACATACAGCCCTTCCTTCGAGACTGTCTACACTAAGAGAGGAGGATGAAAATGGTTTGTTAAAATTTTTTAAATCCTTTTCTCCAATTCTTAGAATGGTAATCATTTCTCATTCCATGTAAAAATAGATTATGCCACTACCTCTTTCGGGTTAAAAAAAATTGTGAAATACAGTGAATTCAGAAACTTTTGTAATGTTTTTATTATTGCAATAATTGTACAGGGATTGATTGCTTTTTGCAAAAATTAAAACTAACATTTTAAATTTTGATAGCACATTTGGAATGATATATCTCACACATTTGTTCATTGTTTCAACAATGGCAATAATATAAGCATCCACAACTTTCTGAATTTACAGTACTGGCCATCGTTTCCAAAAAAAATCTACGACAAAAATAGATTGTAAGTACATGAACATTTCAGTATACTTACGACCAATGTAAGATTTTTATTGAAACACAGGCCAGATAGTTACATCTAGAGTAATGAGATGTGATGTCACATTTACATAACTAAATTACAATGATTCAAAATTCAAATTTACTATTGAAACTGTCAGATGGAAAAACATTCCTAGGGAAGAAATATTGCATATTATGTAAAGATAGTCAAATGGGTATGAACTTCACATTTTATTTACCGTTATTTGTCAACACGTCAACACACAGATATCAACTTTCAAGGGGAGAAATATATAGCAGATTATTTGAGAATAAATCCTAGTGATATGATAAAATGAAATGGATGCTTCATTTTGTAGTACTAAAGTCCTCAATAATTTGTCTGTCTTTCTTAAGAAAATCACATAATATTTACGACTTAATGGTCAGTTAAAGATTAAGGTCAATTGTAGTTTTACTTTGTTGACATTATAAAAAACAAATGAATATCATAATGCTTCGCTATGTCATTCACAATTGCCTTCTAATTATTATGATAGTTTGCCTCTTATTCCAAGTTATGCTATCTGACAGTAAATAAAATCTTGAATCTTGAATCTCACAGAAGAAGATGTGACTCTCTCATAATGTTTAGAATATAAAATAGAGTTTTCAACAGCTATTTCTGATTTGGCCAAAAAAAAAATCTTTCTATTTTATGATGTCATGAGGCATAATTATTGTTCGGAAGTAAGCTTGCACATGCAATAGGTGGAAATTTCACTGTCAATATTTTACAGCTGAAAAAAGACCTATACAAAAATGCAACAAAAAATAATGACATTAAAATAAACAAAATGCCATAAGCAAAATATAAATTTACTTTTTAGTGTTATGACTGTCTGTAACAAAGATGTGATGTGGCTGTAGAATATCCAATTCTTTAAAATTATGTCAGAATTAAATTAAATTTGAATATTCATTTTTTTCAGATGACGAAATTGAAAAAACTTTTGTTGAGGATGTTTCTGCTCGAGTTGAACGATGGCGGAAGATAAGAGAAGATAATGAAATCTATAATGATGTTGAATTGAGCAACGAAATATCAGGTGTTTTGTCTGAAGAGGCTGAAAGTGCTCGAACAGAAAGATGGAAAAAAATTCAAAAACTTTTGATGAATATTGAAAGTGAAGACAATGAAAATGACAATAGTCAAACAGACCGTCCATATACAGAACGTCCTTCTAATGAACCTAGTCAACAAACAGATACAATACAAGAATACAGTTCCAGAACAGTAGAAGAAACTAATGGGTCAGAAACAGACATTTATCAACAATGGGTTCCTAGTGAAAATTATTCAAAAGAAAATTTAAAACCTATTAATTCAATGAATGAACCTTATTTTCAAAGGAAGGCTCAAGTGCTAAAACATGATAATTCTAGTTTGGAGAGAAGTGATTCTGTTACTAGTGATTCTAAAACTTCATTTTTACCAGAAATCAACCGATCTGGTAGTCTTGTATATCAGGATTACAGCAGAGCTTCTAGTGCTCAGAGTGGTAGAAGTTCTGCTTCTTCAGTTCGGACTAATATTTATAATACTAAACATCAAGACTCTATAGAGATTATGTCCATAGATGGGGAATGTATAACACCTAGGCCTCCTGATTCGGAGAGGCCATCAAGTAGTAAATCACGGACAGTTACACCTCTGAATAGGTGATGATATATATCAGTATTTATATACATTCCATTTTTAATCTGTGATCAAGTTTTTACAGAATGTAAGATTTATAGAAGTGTCATTGCTACATGAAAATATCATTTCTGTGCATAAAATGTAATTAAAGTCAAAAGTGTTTTTAGGTTTTGCTGCTTTCTTTAAAGAGTTCATTAGCATTTAGCAACACCGTTTAATCACATTGTGAAGTTAATTACTTTATCAGGATGATATTTATTTGCTTATTACCATAATTTGTTTGATAGCAATTATAAAAGTCAAAAATTACAAATTAATACAAATTTGGAAATCCTAACTTGAAATTTATACATATTTTACAGTATTATATCAAAGCTAGCTTTTTTGAGTTTTTCTAATGTTTTATCCACAGAAAATACTAATATAGTATTTCTCTGAAAATTACTTAAGTCTGTAGACATACAAATCAGGGAAAATATCAACAGTGATTATGTTTTTGTCTCGCCTTGACAGAGTGAAAAAGCGAGACATAGATATGCTGTTTCAGGCGGCGGCATCAACAATGTATTAGTTTATGCTTAGGTTAGTTTATGGGGAACCACTTGTGGTAGGTCAAAGATGTTTGGGATGCAGTTGTATTAGCATCGGCACATCTCATTTCCATGGAGATTGTTTGGCCCTGCCCCCGCAATCATGGTCTATTGACTTTGAAATTTTTGCTTACTTTACGTGTATTAGTTGTGATTAGGTCAGTTTATGTGGAACCACTGGTGGTAGGTCAATGATGTTTGGTATGCATTTGTGTTAGCACTAGTACATCTCATTTCTATGGAGATTTTTAGGCCCTGTACCTTCAGTCATGGTTCATTGACTTTGAATATTTTGCTTTCATGTAAAAGTATTGCTATTTCAATTTCAACATATGAATTTTGCTATCAAAATAACAAAAAGGCGAGACATATCTCTGTGTTAACTGTTTATTTTTAAGTTTAAGAAAGTTGAATGCAACATTTTTACCAAAAAAAGATTCTAGATTTTCATACAATGATATTTCTTCTGATAGATTTTGAAGAAGCAATCTATGTTCATTTCAAAAATATTACACATTTTGAATTTCCCACCATTGCTCACACAGAAGGAAATAAAGTTCACTAAAATTATCTTCTTATTTCATTTAATAGAAAGAGGGATAAATTTTGTTCAGCAATGGTATTAGCCAAAATGATAATCTGTTTAAAGGAAAATAAAAGAAACACAGTGATCCCATAAAATGCTGACACTTTTTGAATCTGTATTATTATGCAATATGCAGAATAGTATTTTTGCTATAACAATGTATAAGACAGACAAAATATTCCTTACCCGAAATTATCATGCAATAAAAGTTTTCTGTTTTAAAACATTCAAATTTAAATAAAAATGTTTCACTCTCCATCCAAAACACTATAAAGTGCATTTTTGCATAATATCTTAAAATAGTCTGTCACAAATAGCAATAACTTTGAAAAAACCAACATAACTTACGGTTTGAATGTGTATATGCCTTTTAATGTAATCCAAAGGTTTACAGATTTAATCTCATTTGAAAGAAAAGTTTAGAGTATCGGGTATATAATTTCATTATGTGATTTGAAAATTTTCTTCAAAGCAAAGGATAATATTTGCTTGGTATAAATGTACAAACAAAGTTTGCTTCCTCCAATGTTTTGATTGATATACAACAAATATAAACAAATCGACAATATATAAATATTGAGATGTCATATTATTGCTGAGACATCTATCAAATAGTGAAAATGATGGTGATACATGTATAAGCAACTTTAGCTCACCATATGACCTTCAACAATTAGAAAAAACAATACCTTATAGTCAGCTATAAAAGTCCTTTACATGACAAATGTGAACAATTTAAAATAGAAAACCAATTGCCTGATTTATGACAAAACAATATTTAGATTGTTGGGTTGCTGTCTTGTTAGCATTTTACCCAGATCTTTTGTACAAGTATTGATCAATTTGAACATGTTGTTGTAGGAGGTGATTCTGATAGGCTAGCTAGGATGGTGCTAAAAAATAAATTTTTAATGTATGTAAAATGAACTCTGAGAAATACAATTACATGATGATAATAAACAAGGTTGTTGGTTGAACAAATGAGGCTACAAAGTATTGAATACAGAATTTTGTTATGATATGCTATTAATATTAAACATAATTTCTTTAAAAGAGTATGGAATAATTTATGAGGAAAAAATGTGATTTAGTGTTATACACTGGTTAATACGACTTTTTTTAATTGAGTATTTATTTCTGTATAATTTATTATGTTACCTATAAGTTAATGTTGGTTTTATGTAAAGCCAATTAAAAGATTTAACCTAATGATGTATTTATAATTGGCCATGATACACTAATGATTTAATGTCTTTAATACAGTGACTAATAGATGTCAGGTACCCGGTATATGTCAATAAGAACCCTAGACAAAAAACTGGGCATTTAGATATCATCTTATGGTCTTCAACAATACACAAAATGGTGCAATATTGTATGCAATATGTCATGGTGTACAGTCTAGAGAACTTTTGAATGAATTTAACAGGAAACCTCATAGGTCTTTCATCAACACTTAATTCTCTGAAAGTATAAAAAAAAGTAAGCCGTAACTAAAGACAACCCATTAGCATGGTAAGCCTTCCTGCCTTGACACAGGTAAATGAACATTTTATTGTGTTGAACTAGTTTATTGAGCACTATATCTTCCCCTTTTATTAACCTTTACCCATGGAATGACAAAATGTGCACAAGGAAAAGTTAAATAAAAATCGGTTAAGAAAGAACACATAACTCTGTAATAATGGTCAAAGAAACAACAAAACCACAGCTACAAGTAAATTAATACTACATAAGGCTTGACTACCATGCAAAAGTAGATACATTTTGTAATCTTTTACGGATAAATGGCCAATCTCTTATTGTGTCGGTTTAATGTATTCACAACTTGTCTTTTCTTGACCATGATGATTTAGAGCTTGACATATTGTATACCTGTCTATTGTTGCCCTCTAGTTGTCTTTTGTTATACCATGATGATTTACAGCTTGACATATTGTATGGACACCTGTCTATTGTTGCCCTCTAGTATCTATATGTCTTTTGTTATACCATGATGATTTACAGCTTGACATATTGTATGGACTGATAATGGACACCTGTCTATTGTTGCCCTCTATATGTCTTTTGTTATACCATGATGATTTAGAGCTTGACATATTGTATGGACACCTGTCTATTGTTGCCCTCTAGATGTCTTTTGTTATACCATGATGATTTAGAGCTTGACATATTGTATGGACACCTGTCTATTGTTGCCCTCTAGATGTCTTTTGTTATACCATGATGATTTAGAGTTTGACATATTGTATGGACACCTGTCTATTGTTGCCCTCTAGATGTCTTTTGTTATACCATGATGATTTAGAGCTTGACATATTGTATGGACACCTGTCTATTGTTGCCCTCTAGATGTCTTTTGTTATACCATGATGATTTAGAGTTTGACATATTGTATGGACACCTGTCTATTGTTGCCCTCTAGATGTCTTTTGTTATACCATGATGATTTAGAGCTTGACATATTGTATGGACACCTGTCTATTGTTGCCCTCTAGATGTCTTTTGTTATACCATGATGATTTAGAGCTTGACATATTGTATGGACACCTGTCTATTGTTGCCCTCTAGATGTCTTTTGTTATACCATGATGATTTAGAATTTGACATATTGTATGGACACCTGTCTATTTTTGCCCTCTAGATGTCTTTTGTTATACCATGATGATTTAGAGCTTGACATATTGTATGGACACCTGTCTATTGTTGCCCTCTAGTTGTCTTTTGTTATACCATGATGATTTAGAGCTTGACATATTGTATGGACACCTGTCTATTGTTGCCCTCTAGATGTCTTTTGTTATACCATGATGAATTAGAGTTTGACATATTGTATGGACACCTGTCTATTGTTGCCCTCTTGATGTCTTTTGTTATACCATGATGATTTAGAGCTTGACATAGTGTATGGACACCTGTCTATTGTTGCCCTCTAGATGTCTTTTGTTATACCATGATGATTTAGAGTTTGACATATTGTATGGACACCTGTCTATTGTTGCCCTCTATATGTCTTTTGTTATACCATGATGATTTAGAGCTTGACATATTCCTGTCTATTGTTGCGCTCTAGATGTCTTTTGGTTGATGTTTTCGTTTGGTTGCTGTCACATTGATGTAGACCCCACATTTTATATTCTTAAAAAAGTATATTCAAACCCTTCAAGTGCTTGATGCTTGTTTTTGATTATACATACTTCCAAATAAGTCGTGGCATTTGATCTGTACATAAGTTTGTTTGTTCATACATGTAATTGTTCGGTCCTTGTTCAGTTTTGCATAAAATTTCAGATCCAAGCAGCTACAAATCATATTGGACCTTATGTCAGTTGATGAATCATGTTGAATGACAAGTGTCAAGACAAAAATTATGTGTCCATGATTTTCATTTCACCGGTTTATATAAAATAAGGAGATGAGAAATAATTACTAATGACAAAATTATCCACCAGTGTCCAAATTATGTGGATTTAAGCAACTACAGTAGATCATTGTAAGGCCTTCCACAAAACCCATACCATATAATCAGCTATAAAATGCCCCAAAGGTTAGATCAAAGCAACTACCTGTCAGAGAAATTCTGTTTTGTCAGTTGAAGAATCATGTTAATGACTAAGGCCACATATGATTTAGACATTATTGATCTTCATTTTACTCATGAAAGCTTTAATCAAGTTTTGCTAGTTGATACATTATGTTTTAAACACCATACAAAGTTCCATACTTAAAAGTGTAAAAATATAAATATATATATATATATAATGATGATGAAAAAAATCCTTGATTCTCATCCCCTGCTCCAATTTTTATACGATCGCAAAATTTTTGCGGCTGTATAATGTTATCGCATTGTCTGCGAAGTCTTAGTCTGAAGACATTTGGTTTCCAGAAAATAACTTGAGATCTCTATGAAATTGTACCATAAGGTTCCATACCACAAAGTGAAGGTTGGGATTGATTTTCAGGGTTATTGTCCTAACCGTTTAGGAATAAGGGGCCAAAAACAAGCATTTTTCTTGTTTCAGGACAATAACTGTATAAGTGTATGGATCTCTATGAAATTGTACAACAAAGCATACCCCAAAAGAAGGTTGGGATTGATTTTTGGTGTTATGGTCCAATCTGTAAAAGAATTATGGGCCAAAAAAAAAGGATTTTCTGTATAAGTCTCTTTGAAATTGTACCACAAGGTTCCCTACCAAAAAAAGAAGGTTGGGATTGATTTTGGGGGTTATGGCCCTAACTGTTTAGGAAAAAGGAGTCAAAAACAATACTTTTCTAATACTTTGTATAAATTGCTTATTTCTTGACCAATTTCAATGGGTTTTAATTCAAAGTTTTGAATACTTAGGGGTACTTTGATGTGCTGAATCTAACCATGTATTTTGATTTTTGATTTTGGGCCCGGTTTTCATATTGGTCCTCATTAAGGTCCAAAAGATCCAAAATTAAAGTCTGTTTGATTTTATCAAAAATTGAATTCTTGGGGTTCTATGATATGCTGAATCTAACCATGTATTAAGATTTTGAATATTGAACCATAATAGGTAAATGTCCAATTTCAAATTTTTAAGTTCTTAGACCACATTCATTGTGTCAGAAACCTATGCTGTGTCAAATATTTAATCACAATCCAATTTCAGAGCTGTATCAAGCTTGAATGTTGTGTCCATACTTGCCTCAATTATTCAAGGTTTGACTTCTGCGGTAGTATCAAGCTGCACCCTACAGAGCATTTTATTTTATTTTCTTTCATTCATCTATAGGTTTTCACCATAAATGGTGAACATTAAAAAATTAAATTCACCCCTTCTCCAAATTTTTTTCAAAAGTGGGATGAGAATCTACTAATATTATTTTAGTGGCCTAAATACAAGAGAGAGGATTAGCTATAAGAAAGGAAATAAGATATTAACATGTTGGCAACCAAAACAAAATGATGAAAGATTATCAGACAAGTCACTATAAATTAAGAGAATACTAAATAGTAAACAGTATTAGGCCTGGGGCCTTTACATTGCAATGTAATGCATTACATTACAATTACATTTTTTCTCACATGTAATGCATTACATTACAATTACTTTGCCTGTGTAATGCATTACATTACACATTACTTTTTCAATATAAAAACTAAAAACATTTCAAAAACAGATTTTTATAAGAAATTGATAAATATTACCGGGGTATATGTACATATATATACAGTGTTAGTGACATAGACTTCAAATATTTTAAACCACACATTAAGGTAAGAAATATAAAACTTCTTTAATTGGCAAAGGGGGCGGGGTATGGTGAAAATTATCAAGTCTTGATCTTGGTTTCTGATATTTGTATAAAATGATATTGGGAATATTTTGGTGTTTGGTGGTCCATGAAAAATCTTCTAAAAAAATTATTAAACAAAACTATATAGATGAATGGAAAAAAATATGAAGATGAAATTTTCATAATTCTATACACACCTTACATGTATTTCAATGAAAGATTGAATGTGTCAATCAACATTTTTACACCAAACTGTGGTTTTGGTCCTGTCTGTGTTGTTATTTCACCTGATTAATATCAAATTTTTTTTATTGCAATCAAATCTTCTCAACTTATGTTTGTCTTCACAGAGCCCTTAGGCATTTAACAAGATAATCCTTTAATGACACATTTATTATATCCCTGTTTTTGTTAATATTTTATTTTTATTTTACTATATTCTTCAATTTTATGTATTTTACCAATTTGTAATGAAAAGTAATGTACAGTAATGGAGGCATTACATTGATTTTTGACTAAAGTAATCATTACATTACATGTAATTGTAATGCATAAAATGTGCATTACAAATTGCTTTGCATTACATCAAAAAAATGTAATATTACAATGCATTACAATTACAAATTACCATTACCCCAGGCCTGAGTTACAGTATATTGAGCAGCACGAACCCTATCAAAAACTGGATGATGAACTTATAGGTGCTCTGGAATGGTTTGCAGTTCCTAATCCACTTAAGTTGCACCAGTCCTGTTGATGGTGGCAAGTTAGTGTCTGGTAAAAAGTCACATAAGGTGATGTCATGAACCAGGAAATGAGAATGGGATTGTGTTATTTTGTGTATACAAGTGGATCATATTTGTGGTCATCTGTGACAAGGCAATATTTTTAGGAGTTGGACTTGTATAAAGTCTATGCATTAACAATATATGAAGCTC